ATCTCAGAATAAAGATTAGTCTCAAAGAGTACTTCTTTTGTCTTTGTCTTGTGTCTTATAAACCATTACATAACACTCAGTATCAAATCTAAACATCACGTTTGTCTTGGCTTCATAACAATTATACATTTATGTATTAATATACCTCTTTTGGCATGCATTACACCATGTCCATACCCATTTCTCCATAGGCTTTGGTTTATGCTTTTTGATAGTTGCATTGACCACATGAGTTGAATTGTTGTCATCTTTTTCAAGCTTACATATACGCATATGGGTACTACACGTATATACTCGTACGTTTTTTAATTACCTCAACTTCAAGTATCTCTTCTATCGTGTCTATTGTCTTCATAGTTAACGCTTCTAAAGCCCATTCAGTTATCACAAACAGTCCTTTTTTTTCCCTTCTAGGATAGCAATGACGATCCACTTTTTATTCAATCACAAGCTTGGTGCTCACGATAGCAAAGCTCAATCCATCTCTGGGATTACGTTAGGATTTTAATCCAATCTTGAATTGTCTTCCATTGCAAAATGAGTTTACCATGTTGTCAAGTTCTACACTCTACACAATTCAAAGTCATTTTTTTGCTGCATACATATGTATGTTACACCATCTCCAGAAAGGGATGTCGCGCTGACTTGTCGCTTTTTCGTATAAATAGTATTATAAAAACTGCAAAAATACGACTTTACTTTCTGAAAAGACTGTACATTTACTCTTTTCGGGTATAATTAGGGAGTAAGATCTCCTAAGTAAAAGCGATGATTATTATTCTTTCTAAATAATTACACAATATTGAACAAATAGCTTTACCTCGGAGACATAAGAATACAAGTAGATGGAACAAGTCTTTTTATTAACAGAGAAAGAAAGATATTCATGGCAAAAAAGAAACTTATCTTTAAATACATGAATAAATGTTGTCAACATCTAGTGAATTATATCAATATGGTTTGTTATATACTATACATAGTTCAATTAAGCCTGAAAAGTATCACTCATGTAGGTAATTCCAAATACAAGTACTTCTCTTTGAGCTTGACAACAGCTCCCATCATGACCATGAACAGCTTAATCTTTTGCTCAAAGATGTTTAAGGAACTGTCATGAAATGACGCTGTTTGTAATAATGTAACAATGGGTTCTCTCCTTCTCTCTCCCCTCTCGTCTTGATCTTAATAAAGAGGTTATATAGGGGCTCTTCGACACATATTTTCCTCATCACCTCTTTATTCATTCGAGACATATCACACTAGCGCCTTGCCTAATTGTGATCATGATGTAGGATGTGTTGACAATTCTTTCTAACATTTCCCTTATCAACAAAAATTTCGCTAATGGCTTCAAGATTTCAAGAATACAAACAGCAGACTTTTTCACTATTGAATATTATTCGATCCATCATACTATTAAACCCAATTGGTATTGATCTTCTTCCTAAACTCTCTACTCACTCATCAAGGTGTTACCATAAAGCATAGAAGCACTGTATTGTATAGTATATCTCTTCAAATACAACAATCAGGCATCCACAATCACTTCTCAATACAAATATTCATGCTGTACCCTCATTTACTGGTTTTCCTTTCTTTTCTAATTGTAAATGTTGTCAATGAGCTCTTTACTGTTTTCCGCTTATAAGTAAATACTACACTAGCTTATGCTTGCTTATGCTTGCTTATGACTCAATCATTTATCTTTCTAAAGGCATTAGGAAGCTTCACGTATGTGTTTACTGACGCAAAGCGTAAAGGACAGCCTTGGTAGCCTACCCCAAATGAAGGGCTCTTTCCTTGGGAAATAAGGAAAGTTTCTATGATGGTGGATATCATAAGAAAGCAGAAAGAAACAGAAAGGAACAGAAAGGAACGGTAAGTAACAAGTTGACCCTTGTAGACTTGTTATTGATTAAATAGAAACAGAACATATCCTTTAATCAAATCACGAAGCATGTAATCAAAACATGTAATGAATTGGCAGATAAGGGTATTCTTCAAATGACAGACAAAGAAAGGTTTAAGTTGATTAAATAAAATGAATCCATGATACTTTTTAAAGCTTATGTCAAAGCTATCAGTATTAGAAATAATACCTTTCATATGATTTACTTGATCATTCTTACTTTTAGCGCTGGTCTAAGGAAAGGAGGGACTACACAGTAAGTGTAGGCAGTATGTTCAGTTATGTGAAATCTCATGAAATGAACATCTTTATTTCCTGCTTACTCTTTCAATCGTCTCAGAAGACTCATAAACTCTATATTTTCTTCATCCAAGAACCATATCAATACACCAAGGCTTAAAATGAAGGCAGTAATGAAAGCAGCCAAGTAATCGTTGTCATCCTTCTAAGGAAACTGAATTGAATTGATATCGAGTGCTCACTTTGACCAATTAGCTAAGTTGGACTCATTTACACTTGAATCAACTGAATATGGCAAGTGCATGAAATTCTAGGTTCTTGGAAGTCTTATTTCAAAGAAGTGTTCAATTTAAAGTCCAGCTGAGACTGGAAGCACAGCACGAAGTAATCATTACGTTATACTTGTTACACAAAAAAAGGTCAAACAGGAAATAAGATTTTTATTTTTAAATGTAATAGTTACATTCTGTATGGATAAAGAGGAAGAGTTTGATGCATGTATAAAAGGGAGAATGAGTTAATGAAGGGTTATCACTTTTTAATGATCAAGAATACGTAAGCAGCCAGTGACGACCTTATTTTCGAGAACAGTTCCAGAAGGAATATCGATATGTTCTCCATGGTTAGCAACAATAATGACTGTACCGCGAAGTTCGACCTTGGAACCGAAGCAGACATCACCTGTAACTGTCAAATGATCAAGTTCCAAGATCTTGGGAATAGTCTTGAATCGAGTCAAGAAGTCACTGACTTTCTTGAAGTGATCTCCAAGCTTGACTAAAGGAACATTGTTGAACATACGATCAGGGTTCATCATCAATTGACCATGAACAAGAGAGTACAAGTTGGATGTGACCAAGAAAAGGTCAGAGGTTGATTTGACAGGTAAGAAACGAGCACGAGGTACGTTCACACCATGAGCGTTTCTAAAGTGCTTGATCGCAGCACCCACAGCGGTTTCCAATTGAATTACCTTTTCACCTTGAGGTGTTGTCTTGTGATTAACAATAATTTCCAAATCCATGGCCTCTTCATCCATAACACGCTTAATGGCCTTCAAGTTGATCCACAGGTTGTTTGTGTTGAAGATTTTGAACTTTTTAACAGACTTGAAGTCTTCGACATGTTCATCGGGTACTTGAGCAATTTCCAAGAGACGAATATGACCATCATCATCAACAAGAGTACCACCTTTGATATCAGCCTTTGTCTTATCGGTTACTTCCATAATAAATTCAGCACCACTCTCGACCATGTGGTGAAGAATGTTGAGATCAACAGTAGCACCCAAATTATCGACGTTGGATACAAACAAATATTCCTTGCCTTGAGCAATCAATTGATCAAGTAGACCTGAGTTATAGATGGACTCGTACAAGTCACCGTGACCAGGAGGATACCTGTGATCGAGTAGGTTAGCAATGCAATTTCTCTTTCAATATCAACCTACCATTGTTCAATAGGGGAATCGGGGGAACGAGGTACAGGAAGCATAGATTCCTTATTGATACGGGGATGACGACTTTGATTAAAGGTGATGATATCAACATTATGACTAGCATACTTTTGAACAATACGCTTTGTGTCTTCATCCGTATTGAAAGAGTTCATGAGAATGAATGGTACACTGACATCATGCTTCTTGTTCAAGTACTATTGAAATGTTAGTTTACCCCAAAAAAATTCTTGTTTATTTTTTTTTTCCCTTACCTCGATTTGTCGAACACTTAAATCCAAAAAGGTCATGCCGTCACGTACTTCGATAGCAGATTTAGGCCCAACACAGCCCATGGTAGTACCCAAACCACCATTTAGCTTCAAGACAGCCAACTTTTCGAGATCACCTGTTTGGTTGCATTCAGATAGTTGGGCATAAGGAACGATCTGTTCACTGGAGGGTGTTTGGATCTTTTCCCAGTTCCTTTTTTTTTTGTTTTGTTTTAGCATAAAAACCAATACATCATCAGATATACTTACAATTTCTTGCCCTTTGCCTTTTCGTCCAAGTAACGAGTAAAGAGCATATAGAAACCATCCATTTCTTGGGTGAAGTACTTGTAAATGTCAACACAACGTGTCCTTATCAGTGATGTTAAAATCTTACCTTTCTTTCTTCTTCATTTTCGATTTGAGCACTAAGTTTGCTCAGCTCTGATTTCATAGCTTTAGCAGCAGCAGCAGAGCTTGCACCTTGGAAATCCTAATGTAAAGGGTTAATGCACGTGTTTGTTATCTTTGACGCGTAACTTACAAGAGTAGAGAGTGTATGAGGATGGTGACGTTCGTTACCAACAGATACAGAAGAGGGCTTTCTAGAGTAAGACATGATTTAAATTGTTTAAAAAATGAGAGAAAGAAGAAGAAGAAAAAGAAAAAAGAGAGAATACGAAGATAGTTATTTATATTTAATAATGATGCGTACACTATAATTTAAATTCCGATGCAGCAAACTATTTTATGCTGTTAAAATGAATAAATGAAGGGAACCATTGTTCGCTTTTTCCTTGCACATATTTTTTCCGTTTTAGTTTTGATCCGCTCAAGATGGATTTTTTTAAAGTTGACTTTCTATACATGTCTCATATCAAGATGACACTAAATAATAACTATGATTTCATAACATGAAGACGACAGTGTGTGTGTGTATGTTTGATTTACACCGATCGCAGAGGACTTTGAATCCTGTTGGAACCGCCAGGAAAACAGTGGAAAAAATGAAGAACGGAATACACCGGGTACATTACAATAGATGATATCGGATAAAAAACAAAAAGGGGGAGGGGTTTTTCCGCAACTGTAGGAATACATTTATGCGAGCCATTTATTGTTGTTGATAATTTATGTGTGTGGTATGCTATTTACAGTTATGAAGCTTGTTTTTCAATCTTTTCTAATAAAACATCCATTCTAGCTGCCATTTTTGGTTGACCTCTCTTTGTCTTTGAGAGCATCTTTCTTCTCTTTTCACTTCTTTCTTTGTAATAAGTGTGTCTTTGTTCTTTTTGCTCTTTTAGCTTTTCTTCTTTCTCTCTTCTCTCCTGTTCACTCTCTCTTTTACGTTTTAAGCTTTCTTCCATCTGTGATTTGAAAGGATTTGGCTTATTTTGACGTTTATCTTGTTCACTTTCGTCCTCAGGTTTATGCAGTTCGACAACATTACCATCTTCATCAATAGTTCGTTCTTGCATACCAAAAACCTACATGATCTAAGTTCCTACTCTCTCTCTTTCTCTCTTTGTTTTTACCTCTTTCACATAATCAGGTGTGTCATCCTTTTGTTGATTGAGTTCTTTATAGTATTGACTTTTAACTGTTGCTTTATGGATCAACTCTCTTTTTCTTTTAATTTCTAAAACAAAGGCAGTTCAACATTATGTTTATTATTTAACAAGAGTATTTACGTTTTCTTTGTAAGGGAGTCAAAGGCTTTCTATGTTTCTTGGGCGGCATCACTATAATAGCAAAAACGAAAAAAAAGGTTGAGCCATAAGCCACTTTTCTTATGTTCTTAGTCCATTCTCAGCTGCCAAAAGTTCTATGTCAGCAAAGTCTCTTGTCATACTTGTCGCGTCCTGGGTCTGACGAAGGACGCAGATGATAAGGATAGACAATATACAAGCAATACACGAGATAGTATCTGACCAATACTTATAAATGTCTAATTCAATTGACTGTAAAGAAGAGGAAAGAAGATATCTACAAAAAAGTCAACATTACATATGATCCTTTCTTATATCTTCCTTACTTGTATTCTAAAGGCAAGTTCAATTGAATCATTAATACTGAGCTTAGAAAGTACATTCCCATCACTTGAGCTATGAGTAAAAGAATATTGTTTGTAGAGAATGTGATCTTGAGCAAGAATATCTCCAGTAACTTTGATAAAAGCATTAAAAAGCTACGAACAGAACTAAACACGATGATGCCAGCAAACCAAAAGCTTAATTGCTGTGACCAAAAGGTAGGATCAATGTTATAGCTGTCAAAATGACTAATAATCATCGATAGTGTTCGTGTGATCGGATCCATCGAACTTTGCCTTTGTAGTACAACGCTCATCGTTGTCTATGATTATGCTCATTAAGATTATAAAGTTGCTCTTCTTCCTATTCTCGATAACTTACCACAATAAATCTATAAGCACAATAAATTGCAAACATCATATTCACCAACTTCCACGCCTTCCCCTTCCATGTCTTGGCGTACTTTGTTCTTGCTCTATCTCGCTCTAGTTCTTCCAGGTCATTATTCATGCTCACTGCTAAGCCTTCCAACTGCTCAATCTCTGTCTGTAATAACTCCATCTCTTGATCCTTTCCTTTGCTAAATAGAGATGAAACAAATCGACTGACATAATTTGAAGTAGACTATGACAAGGAGTCAATGAGCTCTTGAACAATTTTATAATTACGTCACTTACTGCTTGTTCAGTGGATGACTGACGTTCTTGTTGCTGCTTCATCCTGTCAAGTGCCATCTTTTTTTCTTCAATCATCTTGTTAGTTTGTGCATAAGCACGCTCAGCAACGCGATAGTCATGTTCAGATACATGTCGTTGGTACCAAACAGTTAACGGGGCATTGGCCATACCAAATCCTGCTAAGACCGATATGACTGTGACACCAATCATGCTTGTACGTATTATGCTTAACTCTATCATTGAGGACGTATCTATCATTTCCCGTTTAGCCTTTTCTCTTTCTTTTACTTGTTCATGTCACTTACTGATCGTTGTTGGTGTGCCTATAAGTATATAAAGATAGCCACATGTTGTCACTAAGGCTATATAGGCTGCAGGTCTATGTTTCCAACCTATAAATAATATAAGAAACATCTGTATCTTTATAAAACACACATACGCACCTTTGTTAACTTTCAAGAAAGTGTAGACCTGAGACCAAGGTACAGAGAGTGTGACTAGTACTAAGAGCAAATATAGATTGAGCTTCCAATAGAGGGATCTTACTCTAACATGTGCGTTTCATTAGCTTTTATAAGATATTCAATAGTTAAACAGTACGAATTAGAAAACACTTTGGTTATTTCTCCAAACACAAGCAGAAATAGTGTACTTGAGCAACTGAATGTCAAGGAGAAGAGTAAATAAGCATAGTGTTCTGTGCTGTACTTTGTTGACAACAAATTAGGTGGTATATGATTACGAATGAGTAAGTTTGTGAGTCTATTGGAGCCAATAGTTAGGAAAAGAACTTGAATGACAATAAAGATAACATATTCAAAGAATTTCTGCATGGTGTCTAAAAGAGGAAGGATAAATTAGTTTATGCACTACTTAGTGATTACTTTTAGTGCGCCCACATATATTTACCCTCAAGCCCAGAGGAGTTTTTATATGCTTCTTTCATTTTTTGAACTGGTCCACTTGGGTTTAGTGGATAAAAAATTGTTTAATCGTATTACTTTTAGTGCGCCTACATATATTTACCCTTTCCATACGCCTCGTCAGACTGGAAACTGGGAAATGTATTGCTATTTTTGTTACAATGAAAAAAGAGGGCTTTCGTATTTACTGTAGTGTGGTAACGCGTTTCAATCGAAAGATGTATGAACTAGAGGATTAAACTGCTGTGGGGCTTTCTTTGGTCAGCAGCCGTAACATTATATGATTACGGACCTTCAGAATTAAAAAATAATGATTGATCTAATAGTTAAACTATGATATTTATCCTTTGTCTCCTTGATTTATTTATGCTTTTAGTATCAAAACTTTGTGTTCTTGTTTAAGCTTCGCTATAAAACAAGCCACTCCGCTTGCAATGATTTATTTTTTTCTTTTCTTGCTTTACAAAAAATGAGCGCCACACTGACTATTCCTGAGAAATCCAGTCAAGAAATCAAGCTTGTCTACAAGTTTCTTCAGGCTAAGGTTGAGACCACAGCTGGAAAGGATCTTTTGTTAGAGGTATAGTAGGTTATATCATTAAAAGAGGGAAAAAACAAATAACAATAATTAGGTCTCTGGAGAAAAAATTGACACGCCTAATGCTATTGTCAAGTACCTTGTTGCTCAAGCCAATAAGCCTGAATTGCTTGGCAATAATAATGAAGAACAAGCTCAGGTATTGTTATTTTTAATGACGCGCCAAAGAAGAATAACTAACTTTGAACCAGGTGGATGAATGGTTGTCATTTGCTACCCAAGGCTTAAGAAATGCTGGTAAAAAGGAAGTTGTTTCACATATTGAGGTAAACAGTTGAGGACTAGGATCGTGGTATACCACAGAATATACTTAGATATTATAGAAAAAATTCAATGAACACTTGAGTACACACACTTTCTTTGTTGGCAACCATTTGACTATTGTTGACGTTGTCATCTTTGGTATCCTCCACTCTTATACTGTAAGGTCATTATACTTTACTACTCAATATGCTCATTTTTTTTTTATAGAAAAACTTCAAGGCAACCACTTGCCCAAACACCTTGCGTTGGTTTGACCTTATTCAACACATGGTCATCAAAGCAAACAATTTGACTGAAGATTTTCCATTGTTTGAAGTCAATTTGGATGATGTACCTGAGCCTGCTGCTCCTGTTGTAGTTGTAAGTTGTGATAACTGTATGAGAACAATGTTGTTTATGGTATTACCTGTAGAAGAAGGACGATAAGAAAAAGGATGATAAGAAGCAAGAGAAGAAGGACAACAAGAAGGATGAAAAGAAACCTGCTGCTGAGGGCCAAAAGACTGAAGGCGGTGATAAGCCCAAGAAAGAAAAGAAAAAGGTCGAAAAGAAGCCTGCTGGTAAGCTGCATTTTAGACAAGTCAACAAATAGCTTATGCTCACTTTAGCTCCTGCTCCTGCTGAAACCGATCAACCTGTTGTTTCTCGCATCGATATCCGTGTTGGTTACATTAAATCATGCAAAAAGCACGAAGGCGCTGACTCACTTTATGTTGAAGAAATTGACGTTGGTGAAGAGGAGCCTCGTACGATTGTCTCCGGTCTTGTTCGATGGTATCCTATTGAACAAATGGAAAACCGATACGTACTTGTATTATGCAACTTGAAGCCTGCTAGCATGCGTGGAATTAAGTCTTATGGTATGGTATTGTGTGCTAGTGCTGCTGATGGTTCTGCTGTTGAATTGCTGGGCCCTATCGATCCTTCCAAGGTGAAGCCAGGTGATAGAGTCTATGTTGAAGGACAAGAAGGAGAACCTGAGAAGGTACTGAACCCCAAGAAGAAGTACTGGGAAACTGTTCAACCTGAACTCAAGACAAATGATGAATGCATTGCTCTCTACGGTGACAAGCCTCTCTTGATTAAGACAGCATCTGGTGAAGCCATGCAATGTAAGGTTGCTAGTGTAAAAAACGGTGGTATCAAATAAACAGTGTCACTTGTATTATTATTTAAAAATACCAGTTCAGTCATTATCAGTACCACCACGAATAAATAGACATGAAGCTAGACTGTTTAACTAAGATACCTTTGAATCATATCGACTCATTGAATACTGAGTACTTTTATGTGTTTGAGAGAAACGAGGACTTGCTTATTCATAAAGTCATCTTCTCGTTTTGCCACACATATACGCAAATAGTTGATTGGCTGTAAACATTAAGCCGCGGCAAGAAAGATGGCCAAGAAAATAAAATTGCTTGTTTTGTAGATAAAATTTGATCCGTGACCTTTCGTCATCAAGCATATTTCACTGAAGAGTTTGTAGTGTTCAGATTGATCATGAGCACAGCCTCCTTATTGAATACTGTTTATTATGCTTAATAAAGAAACAAAGTTATGGTAATATTCAAGACGATGACAGACGAACAATATACTTTACTGGAAATGATATCTAAACATGGTTAGTGGTAATGTACTATATTTAAATAATCCACCTCCTTTCCTCCTGACGTTTCCAGCAGCTTTACTCTATTTTACATGGTTAAACTTCCGTGGAGCGGAGAAAGGTTAAACGTGGAAATTGACTAAATAAAGGGGCACAACGAATGGAAGGAAAGGCACACAGACACGAGTAGAAAAAAATAAAAATAAACAGTTTTTTCTTTTTTTTAGTCTTTTTTCTTTTTTTTTTCCCTTCTTATTCGAACGCCTCTTATCCCCCCCTTTTTTTATGACCTTTTAGACTTTTTTCTTTCTTATATTTTGTGTGTAAATAAATCTTTATACATATACGAAAAAAAAAAACGCGTTTTATCAATGCAGAATAATAAAAACAGTTTTATTATTCGATCAGATTTACAACAGCCCAAAGCACGAAATCAACCACAGGGACAAGTAAATACAATCTATAATATATCTTGATAGTATATAAACCCTATAGTAGCTTGCTGCACTCATGAGAGGTCGATTTGAGCCTGATAGCGATTTGTTCTACTTGGAACAGCAAGAACAACGATCTAATAGTGCACCCCCTGATCCACTCATTCAATTTCCAATATCACAAGAGGAGCAATTGTTGATAAATAACTGGAAAACGAATAATTATTATGATGCTGCAGGATCACGCTGGAATACGGTCAATAAACGACCTACACCGATTGATACACTTTCGAGTAAAAAGACATGATATTATACAAGTTCATAGCTAATGTCTAAACATAGACTTACAACAACAAGACCATAGCGGATATTTTCATCAACCTCGAGCGTCATCAAACGAGGCAATGTATGCTCAGAATACCTGGATACCTTCTGAATTGATGAGTCAGCAAGAGGTAAAAAGTTTAAAAATAAAATAAGTATATATACATATAAATATAAATATACAAATATAGGCTATACATACACCCTCATATCAAACTACAAAGAAAGCCAATTCTTTTTCAATATTTAATAACGATGGCAACAACAACGGTAACAATAGCAGTATCGGCGTTGGCATGAGTGGCAATCAAGACGAAATATTGTTATCCAACTATAATAGATCAATGTCTCCCCCTATCCGCAGCAACTATGTAACATCTTCTCCTATACCTCGTGCAAACTCCACTCCGCCTACCAATCATCATCCAAGTATGAATCAAAAGCAACAACAGCAACAACAGATGGACGAGTATGGCCAATTACTAAATGGTATGTCTCATATAAATATAAATGATAAGGTAAGATAAACTTCTATTTTGACTCCTTATTTTTTACTAAACTCCTTGATTGTCCTTTTGCTTAGCATCAACAAGACTATAAAAAAAGAAATCCTCAGCATCAACGCTATTATCAGTGGATGAATCAACAAAATAATAGCAATAACAGTATCCAAAGTTTAGATGCTGTTCTTAATGATAACTGGCCAACTAGTGGTAAATTATAGTGATATACTTATATATAAAAATATTCATGTTTGAATAGACGGTAGACATACACCTTGGGAGACAGACATGATGAGATCTAGATCTCCAATGTTACATTATCACCATAATAGTCAAAGTTTACCCACGACACCCACCGTGCCTATAGCAAATAATTTCCATGCATTGACAAATAATGATAGACTTTTATTACAACTTCAATCTCGTCAAAGGCAGATCTTGATGCAGCAGGAGCAAATACTGATGCTCCGTGAGCAGATGTTAAGACAGCAACAACTCGCCTCTTCTAATCCTCCTTCTCCTGCTCCCATGGCAAACGTAACTCAGCGCGTGAATCATCTGGACATGTCTACGGCTATCATTCGCAGCCCCTTACTTGAGGAATTCAGAAGTAACAAGACTAGAAAATTCATGCTCAAAGACATTATAAACCACGTTGTCGAATTTAGCGGAGACCAGCACGGTTCAAGGTTCATTCAGCAAAAGTTAGAGACGGCAACAAGCGAAGAAAAGCAACTTGTCTTTGACGAAATCTTGCCCAACTGTCTTCAACTCATGACGGATGTGTTTGGAAATTATGTCATTCAAAAGTTATTCGAACATGGAAATCAGGCACAAAAGACGGTTTTGGCTAAACAAATGGAGGGACATGTCTTGTCGCTTTCACTTCAGATGTATGGTTGTCGTGTTGTGCAGAAGGCATTAGAATATGTTCTGACTGACCAGCAGGCTACTCTCATTCGCGAACTGGATGGGTGTGTACTTAAATGTGTCAAGGACCAAAACGGAAACCACGTGGTCCAAAAAGCCATCGAGCGTGTGCCTTCCCACCATGTTCAATTCATTATTGATACGTTTCATGGACAAGTTTATCACTTAGCAACACATCCTTATGGTTGCCGCGTTATTCAGAGAATGTTTGAACATTGTCCAGAAGAACAAACGGTAAGTTACCTTTTTTTCTGGGAGTGAAAAGCATACATGCTCATTGTTGTTTTTTCTAAAAGGCACATCTACTTGAGGAGCTTCATAAAAGTACTGGCCAGTTAGTACAAGATCAATATGGCAACTATGTCATCCAGCATATTTTGGAGCATGGAAAACCAAGGGATAAGGCGTTGATCATTAGTAAAGTCAAGGGCCATACTCTTCAGTTAAGCAAACATAAATTTGCCAGTAACGTGGTTGAAAAATGTGTTGCTTACGGTAGCTCGGAGGATAGACAGGCTTTGATTGAAGAAGTTCTGGCAACTCGTCCAGATGGGTAAGTTTAGAAAGATACCTCCATATGTTCATCTGTTCATGTCTCTCTAGTACATACCCACTCATGTCCATGATGAAAGATCAGTATGCAAATTATGTAGTCCAAAAAATGCTTGATGTAGTTGATGGATCTCAAAAAGACTTGCTGATTGCCAAAATAAAGCCACACCTTCAGGGCTTAAAGAAGTATACTTATGGAAAACATCTCATTAGCAGTAAGTGATATAACCTTTTTTCTTGGAGTACGTATATTTATTTTATGATAAGCATGTTTAGAAATTGAAAAGCAAATCATGTTTAGTAATAACGGCAATAACAATAATAGTAACAACCCTTTAATTGTAGAGAACTTGGGTATTGCCGAGTCAAACTAATTATATACATATATTACATAATTGTATTCATTTCCTTTTTTCCCCCCTTTCTTTATTATAACTTGCTTTTTATTATGTATTTCAATTCTTCATTATATTCTTGTTACATACTACTAATCCCCCCTTTCTCTTTATTTACCTGCTTTTTATATAATAACATTCTTTTACAATACATGACACGGGTTTATAAGCTAATAAAACATGCAAAAAATGACTTTTAGATGGTTTTCATATATCCTATTTGCTGTATGATAATCATAATCTACTTATCGACTAGTTGCTTAAAATGAACTAGAAAGATGTGACAGCATAACGTACAAAATATTAATTCAATTCAGTTTCCTTAGAAGGATGACAACGATTACTTGGCTGCTTTCATTACTGCCTTCATTTTAAGCCTTGGTGTATTGATATGGTTCTTGGATGAAGAAAATATAGAGTTTATGAGTCTTCTGAGACGATTGAAAGAGTAAGCAGGAAATAAAGATGTTCATTTCATGAGATTTCACATAACTGAACATACTGCCTACACTTACTGTGTAGTCCCTCCTTTCCTTAGACCAGCGCTAAAAGTAAGAATGATCAAGTAAATCATATGAAAGGTATTATTTCTAATACTGATAGCTTTGACATAAGCTTTAAAAAGTATCATGGATTCATTTTATTTAATCAACTTAAACCTTTCTTTGTCTGTCATTTGAAGAATACCCTTATCTGCCAATTCATTACATGTTTTGATTACATGCTTCGTGATTTGATTAAAGGATATGTTCTGTTTCTATTTAATCAATAACAAGTCTACAAGGGTCAACTTGTTACTTACCGTTCCTTTCTGTTCCTTTCTGTTTCTTTCTGCTTTCTTATGATATCCACCATCATAGAAACTTTCCTTATTTCCCAAGGAAAGAGCCCTTCATTTGGGGTAGGCTACCAAGGCTGTCCTTTACGCTTTGCGTCAGTAAACACATACGTGAAGCTTCCTAATGCCTTTAGAAAGATAAATGATTGAGTCATAAGCAAGCATAAGCAAGCATAAGCTAGTGTAGTATTTACTTATAAGCGGAAAACAGTAAAGAGCTCATTGACAACATTTACAATTAGAAAAGAAAGGAAAACCAGTAAATGAGGGTACAGCATGAATATTTGTATTGAGAAGTGATTGTGGATGCCTGATTGTTGTATTTGAAGAGATATACTATACAATACAGTTCTTCTATGCAACGGAGTCACGCCAGGTATAGAACGCATTGCTGTACTGTCTATGGTTAAGCCATACTCTATACTTATAACGGTCGCTGAGGTCGGCTTACCAGCCTGCATGGGAGAATCTATCACATAATGAATAACAGAGGTGCAATCAGGCCTCTTAAAGGTACTCCGTTCGGCGCTAGAGATATTGTTCATGATAAGCCCGCTGAAAACACTCCATAAAAACCCTGCTTTTTGTACGTGGATACTACTGATAAGATTCACCACATTAACGAAAAGCTCGCCGAGACAGTGTTTGACACAGATAACGAAAAGGGCCATCATTATCAAAATGATCATGCGAGAACAGAGTACCAGCCATTCAAAATGTGGAAAGTGAAGAAAAAAGAGAAAGTTTCCTTCTCTTTATCTGCAGAATTTGAAACTGGTCACACAACATGCTGTTAAGTCAATCATAGCTCATTAAACTAAAATGCATGGCAGACTTGAAATAATTAGTGAAAGTAGAGAATTGAGACTAGTTATTCTTTTTAATAATGGCTGAAGCTGATTATATTTTAGACATGTTGTTGTGGTACCAAGATGTGCTTCGGCTGATCTTGTAGCGGAGTACATTTATAATTCAGACAGTAAGGATTAAGTGAAATGTTTAGTGGGGTAAAAACTGTATGATTAATTAATATATTTATTAAAACTCTCTACTAAGAACATTAAGTTAGCAAGCACAGCTACTAGCGGTTGATTCGCTATTATTAAGATTAATTTTTTGCACTAAAAAAAAGTAAGTAAATGCTTCATGTATCAAAGGAGCATAGTTACTAGTATCTTTTGTGTCTGATTGGATTGTGTTTCCATCAATACCAGGTAAAGACTGAGCAATCTTTTTGAATAATGTTTTTACCTAAAGTAAAGAGAGGAAATAGGTTAGCTTTTTTGTTTAAATGATGCATATAAAACAGGTTTACATTATGGCCTGCTTTAGCACTTGTCTCTATAAACATAACATGCAGCTCTTTGGCTCTCTTTTCTCCTTCTTCTACTGTTACTTCCCTATCATATGGATAAGTAAACATATGTTATACTAATATATTATTTCCTTCAAACCTCTTGTCGCTTAAATCTGATTTGTTACCAACAAGAACAATAATCACTTCTTCGCCTCTCTCAGCCCTTACATCGTCTATCCATTTAGATGTGTTGATAAATGATTGCCGATCTGTTGATGATGTAAGACAAAGTATATGACATAAACATAATAGGACTCACTTGATATGTCATAGACAATGACAGCAACTGATGAGTCACGGATGTAACTAGGGATTAAACTACGAAATCGTTCCTTTTTTTTATTTGGTTAGTGAAATCGATTAAAATATATAAGAAAGAATAAACTTTACTTGCCCAGCTGTATCCCACAGTTGTAATCGGACTGTCTTGTCCTCAAGATACATCGTCTTTGACAAGAAATCAATACCAATAGTAGCCTATAGATATTCATCAATATAACCAAGCCTGTTGTTTCCTCTTCTTTATTTTATTTATACTTTACTTGATACGTGTTATCAAAAGTATCATACATAAACCGAGTGATGAGGGAAGTCTTTCCGACTTTTTGACAGGTTATAAAAAAAAAAGAGGAGTTTATTTACATTACACATATACAAGTATTCTTATAGCTTTCTTTCTTTGTTCTTTTTCTTTACCACTTTGCTCGCCAAGAAAGACAAGCTTATACTTTCTCAAGGGACTTGTTGTGAATTCAGTACTCTGCATTGTTCAAAAAGCAAGAGAAAGAGAGAGAAAAGAAAATAAAAAATGGGAAAATTTAATGAGATGGAGTTTAAATTAGTTATGCTTGTACTCTTGCTTCATAAGCATCTTGAGCCCATTTTGCCATATCCACATCTACTGCTTCATACTTTTTGATAAATGGATGTTCTAAAAGATCTGCATAGGTTGGTCTCTTATTGGGATCTTTTTGAAGACAGGCTGCTACAAAGTCACATGCTTCAGTAGAGAAAGTCTCTGAAGGTAAAGCGGGAGGCTCATCGTCAATGATAGCCTTCAGTTGAGCAAACATATTGTCATATTTGTAAGGATAACGACCAATAGCCATTTCGACAAGTGAGATACCCAATGACCAAACATCTGATGAGACTGAGTATGTATTAGCTGCTTTAATACGTTCAGGCTAATAATAACAAAATGATTAGTTTCAAATCTAAATGCGTTAGTCTATTTGTTATTTACAGCCATATAGCTTTGACAGCCAATATTGGTTTTTGCCAACGATTTCTCCAATTGGCCTGATACACCAAAGTCACATAGTTTGACTTGTCCCTGTCTATTAGCCAGTACATTGGTAGGCTTAACATCTATTGATTGTTAGCTATCGTCAATATCATGTTAATATCAACATACCTCTATGAATGATAGAGAGTTCGTCCTTGAGAAACTTTAATCCTTCGACCATCTATAGAGTTTATCATTAGAAAAAGAGAATGTATATGAACATATATAAAACATGTACAGATATAGCAATCTTTGCCAATACTTCTTCAGGGACACCATCTCCATATAGCTTATCAAGTGAGCCAGCATCCATATATTCCATACAATAATATACACAAGACTCAATAAAGAATGCTCCATAAAATTCTACAATGTATTCGCCTGAGCTTTTATGCAAAATATCTAATTCCATTAATATTTGATGTAGTTTGGTTTCATCTAGTTCTAAGCGTATTTCCTAAGGTAAAAAAGGATTCGATAAAGTGTATATATAAATATATATAATAAGGCTTACCTTCATAGCCATAGTAACATTAGTAACCCTATGCTTCACTTTTCGCACTGTGCCATATTGTCCTTTGCCGAGTTCTTCTTCTAATATTAAATCATCCATTTTAATCGTAAAACTGTTGCCGTTGCTAAAGTCAACTCCATCTGCATGAATGATGGCTTTTCCAGCGAAATTAAGTTTACCAGAAGGATCACTATTTAAAATGGTTAGTTCATTCACACATTCTTTTATATGTATTTTATATAAATGAGCTTACACATATTTTGAAAAGTTGGCAAAAGGCGTTTGTTCTTGCTTTGGTGAAAGGCCCAGTTGAGACAAGTTCAAGCCTGGTTTTCCCATCCTTCCACTACCAGGTCTTCCTCTTAGTCCTCCAACTGGACTAGCACCTGACATGGGAGGTAAAGGTGATCGTTTATTTTGTTGCAAAGGCACCGACCTACTCATTGGAGGTAAAACAGAACGTCCTGGTATTCTGGGCGGCATTGGCCGAGGAATTGGAGCTGTGTTTGACGTATTTTCTTCAACTACTGGTTCTGTTGCCATGTTATCTTTATCTAATGCCATTACTCTTCCTCTTTTTAAATAAAAGAAAAAAGAAAAAAGAAAAAGAGCCCAGCGGTTCCTAAATAAGGCATTCCATAATAGAATATAATACGTCACGCTTCATTATTCTTTTCAGTGCCCAACATTAGTCTCTTTTTGTATAGTTCAAAGTTTTTGATCTTTTTTAACAGATATTTCTCTTTTATAGCTTTTGGTTCTAGGATGTATTGCTTACAATGAATGAATAATGAAGTCAAGATAAAACGCAGCAGGTGTCGATGTTTAAAATTCTTAAACAATTTTAGTAATTATTTATCACTCCATCCTTCTAAAGTGAAAGACTAGTACTGTATTTTTATAAAGTATTGTCGTAAAATAAAAAAATTGTTTACGTAAAAAGATGACAAAGAAAAATACGTTTGAACAAAACACATCATGTCAAAAGAGAGAGAGATAATGAGTATATGTAGAAGAAGAGAGAAAAAGCATGCTAGTATTAGAGCACATATCCTAATATTAGTTTTACTTACCACCAAGGTGCATTCTAGGGAGGGTAGCGATAACTACCCAGGAAAGTTAAAACAAAAAAAAAGGAACGGAGGACAGAGAGAGTCCAGAGCACAAGAAGATGCAATTGGGGGAACATTCCAGATACACGCCAGAGAGCAAAGAGGACGGGACAAGCGAACCAGAGCAAGGACCGGGCATTATTTTTTGGAAATACAGTATCTCCATGGATGTTAAGGCTGATATTACGAAAATATTCTTGGCGACGATGAATTTGCATTTCGTACAGCATGAATTTTGTTCTCACCATTGGTGCATTTATTTTCGATCACAAACGAATTTACTTTCCGGAAAGACTAGTATAGCAAAACAGTAATATATTAATGACTAAAGATATTAGAGAAGAAAGGCTTAAAAACCAATGAGACACAAAGATATAAGATGGGCAGAAAACAGGACTATGACAGGGTTTAGTACATTTGTTTATTGTTTTTTAAACACCAAAAAGGAGCTTCGGTTGTTTCGAAAGACACAGACTTTTTAATTTGTAATCTGTCGATTAAAGTCATTGATAGTTTATCAATATAATATCCAATCGATTTCATTCATATTTGAGCATGAAATGGAAACATGTCCATTACACAATAGTCAAAGACAGAATTCCTTTGAGATTTGAAGAAAGGAAGCAGTAGTAGTATTGATAGATGAATACCTGACTCTATAAATATGGAACTGGTCTTCAACAAGAACATTTGAAGCACTGAGTGTATCGACTATCGTGAATAAAATGTTTTAGAGTATGCTTTTGACTTCATATTACTCTTTTTGCAGCATTGAAACGCTATGAGACAATAAAAAAAGTTCTTAATTTAGGAAAAAGTCTACTATGCAACTATGTACCAACGATAATGAAAGTATTGCAGTGTAAATATCGTCATGTATTATTTGCTTCACTCAAGCCAGTTATGAAAAGGGTCACGGTGATTGGCGGAAATTGGCATTCCCCCCTTTTTCTCTAAAAAAAAGACTGGATTTTTTTTTTCCCTTCAACTTTATCAATGAACTTTACCAGCACAATATCAGGCAACAAAGCGTTAGCTACTAAAGCTGAGCCATCTCAAGCATCACGCTCAGCTGCTCGTGATGCTGATCTTAGACGACGATTACTACAAAAACAGCATCAAGTTGCACAACGACAGCAGCAACAACAACAACAGCAGCAGCCTCAAGACACTGCTCCACCACCTTCAACAAATACCAACAGAAAGCTTGACCCAGTTGAAATACAACATAAAAAGAAACTATTTCAAAAGTTCAAATTCTTTTTATACAAAATAGATCCTGATCTTGAATCTAAAATAGCAAGAAAGATTCTTTTATTAGGAGCTGTGAGTTTAATCATTAGGCAAAAAAAAAAGAAAGCTAAATTGTAATTGTAGACAAGAGAAGCCTTCTTTTCATCGAAGTGTACGCATGTTATCACTACTTCAAAGTTTATACCTGCCAAAAAGGATGCGGCTTCTACTGATACTGCGTCTACGGTATGTGTTGGATATATATATACATATACATGTGACATTAAATTTACGTAAACATTGATATAGCCTGACTCAAAAGATTCCATGGATCCAACTATTCAGAATGCACAAAAATTGGGTCTTAGTATATGGAGTGTAGAAGGTAAAAAAAAAAAGAACATCCAAACAAATGCCTAATATTGACTGTATAGGCGCGTTAAAGATAATCAATATCTTAATGGAATCATCCACAGCTAGTGCAAAGGCTCACGAAAGAGCATCTATTGATACGAATGGACGCGATAAGAAGCCCACGTTTGTTCCATTCACTGGATACTACATATTGGTAGAAGATGCAACAAATGTGCATTGTCCAGTGCTGATAAAAGAATACACAAAAGAAACATTTGGAGAGAAACCCAAAGTTATACCATGGCCAACACTGAGAAAAAAGAGAACAAAAGCACAAGCAGACGCTAAACAAAATAGAGAACAACCAGAAGCCACACAAAATAATAACGATAAGAATGAGAAGCAAAAAGAAACGACAGCAGAGTGCAATAAAAATAATGACAACAAGCAATCATCGAAACATGATGACGACCAAAGGACAAATAAGAAGAATGATCACACAGATCCAACGAATAAAGAAGCCGATAAAGAAGTAGACAGCCATAATCACATCGATGCGAAATTAAACAAACCTAATGATGATACTCGCACAGAAATGAAGAAGCCGATTGACAATAGTAATGACATCAATACAAAACCAAAGAACTCTCTAGATAATAATGATAAAAAGACTGATAATGAAAAAGATGAATACAAATCCATCCAAGTTGAATCAAAGCAAGCAAGTAGCATCTCTGCAGCAATGCCAAAATTAACAAATCAAGATAAAGAATCTGTTTGCCCAAATAGAAACCAAGATGATACAGATACAGCCGATGCTAGCAATGTAGATAAGACGAAGGAAAAAGCTGTTACAGATCAAGAAAAGACACAAAAGCAAGCACTAAAAAGAAAAAGAGATTCAGCTCAGGAGGATGACTCACCAGCGACAAATAACGATAATAAGCTAAATCAAACAGCAAAAGAAGATACTCAGGAGGCAAAAAGACAAAGATGTAATAATGATGACAACAGTCAACCCAATGTAAATAAAGAAAAAGAAGCAGACAACGTAAAGAAATCTAAGGAACAACAAGAACAAAATCAGAAAGGAGAAAAAAGAAAAAGAGATGTTGACTTACAGTATTGTGAGAATTGTAACGAGAGATTTAGTATATTAACAGAGGTAAGCTTGGCCACACAGACCTCTTTTTTCTTTTTTTCTTTTTTAACCGTGTTCCTATAGCATATCAAAGCTCCAAAGCATTTGGCATTCATTAAAAATGTTGACAACTTTGCAGAGCTTGATCGAGTATTGAAAAAAGTAAAAAGACTATGATGTATCAAGTATAAACCACCCCAAAGGAATAAAAAAAAATGAGTTAGCTATTGTAGCTCTTTATTACTTGTATTGATTTGCCTGTGTAAATAAGGAGGGGAAATAGTAACCCAAACTGCAGTTTGCAACTCTTTAACAGCTTATGTACTTTCTCTTTCAGACAAAAGTTCAATGTAAAACACATGAAATTCATGAAGTGGGGTCATATTCTTTACTTGGGAAGCCTTCATTTGCATACTCATATGCGCATTTCTATCTGCCATCACAAAGTGCTAGACACTCTTCAATGAAAGCTTATTCCATAAAGGATGGATCACCTATTGGTTATTTGCGTCTCTTATCGTTAGTAAGCATGTAATTACTAACAGTGCTTGCTTGCTTCACTAATGATGTTTGAAAGTGAAGTGGATATGCCTTTGGATTCTTCTGATACTGTAACTGTGTTTAGTAGAAAGGCATTGTTATAAATTGACAGCGATTTGCCAGATAAAATGATATACTTGGTAGATATGAAACGTGAACATGGAGTATCAAGGAAATGAAATGAAACAGTAAATGAGAACCCCTTCGTCTACTTAGGGTCGCTTGTTTTTTTTTTTTTTTATAGCGACATCTAGTTTTTGTGTGATGCTTGAGCCATAATACGCTTATGGCATTTATTGTCAAAATAGTTTCTTTGAGAGTTACCAACTCTTTAAACACAATCGTTTCTCAGATTATGTAACATTCGAACGGTGAATCAATATTTCTGATTCACAATAGGGAAAAAGTTCTTATTTCAGCGCTTTTTGTAAAGTAGCTGTAAGATTGCGTTGCCTCGCTTAAATCTCACACAAGAGCTCAATGTTATAGGCATCCCATGTTGAATTATTACATAATGGCAAATTGCCATATTCGTGAAATTTAAGGTATTTGCATGTACTTATTTTATACCCAATTTAAAACAAGGATGGAAAAGCATGTATGTCGATGAGGCTCTTGAACATGGTTATTAAAGAGAAAGCAAGATAAGCCCATAAAAAAATAAGCCTTTGCAGACAAATTTAATATTTTAACATTCAACGTGTGACAATTTACATAAATAACAGTAAACAAAGGCTAAAAAAGCTCGAGAAGGCAAAAACAAGGCAATTTTATTTATTTTTCGTTTAAATGATATAAAAAAGGCTAGAATCTTCGTTCACTAAAACTATTCAGCATAGCTTGGATCCATCCCCCACAGGACGAAAGCCTGTTCTAGCATCGTGAAGGTAGACCCTTGAGCCCAAAACTATTGGTAGCACCGGGACCAACGGAGCCACGCCAGGTATAGAACGCGTTGCTGTACTGACTATGGTTAAGCCATACTCTATACCTATAACGGTCATTGAGGTCGGCTTACCAGCCTGCATGGGAAAATCTATCACATAATGAATAACAGAGGTGCAATCAGGCCTCTTAAAGGTACTCTGTTTGACGTTAGGGATATTGCTGACGATAAGCCCGCTGCTTTTTGTTATGGATAAAGGGCCATAAAATAAGAAATATTTTATGTGACTGTTTTTCTACAGAGTGATTTAATCCTTTCGACTTATCATCAAACCGGAGTTTGAAACAAAGACAGCAACCAGTGATTCACAAAGGATAAGCAATTTCGCACTTTATTTTCTTTTTTTTTCTGCACTTTCAAATATGGCTCAGAATCTCATCAACGCTAATCCAACTATTTATAACACAAAGAATATTGTTCGAAAAGAAACAGAAGCAGAGTATGATGACAATATTGAAGATCCTATTGATTCCCAAGAAATATTTGATCTCATACGCTCCATTTCTGATCCTGAACATCCTTTAACACTAGAACAATTGAACGTTACTCAATTTGAACATATTGAAGTGGATAACAAGAATAATAAGGTGTTGATTGAATTTACGCCTACCATTCCTCACTGTTCAATGGCAACCCTGATCGGTTTATGTATCAGGGTACGCTTGCTGCGCAGTTTGCCTGATCGTTTTAAGGTAAATCACACATATACTCATATTTGGAACATGGCTTGAACTAAAGTATCTATAGGTTGATATTAAAGTACGTAAAGGAACCCATCAATCTGAAGGAGCAGTGAATAAGCAACTGAATGATAAGGAAAGAGTAGCAGCTGCACTGGAAAATAACCATTTACTGGAAGTTGTCAATCAATGCTTGTCAACTGCAAGCCTCCGTGGCATGGAAATCAAAACCAACTAGACCGATTTTATTTATTCTTCATAGTTCTTTCTATTATACACACAAATATATATATAAATGTAGTAATCGTAGCACCAATACGATATTCTTTTTTTTTTTGACAGTAGGTAGTTATGTTTTTTATAGCTTATCAATAAAATAAAGGTGTTTATTTCTTCTACAAAGACAGACAAGGGAGAATATTCGATAAAAGAGAAATGATATTACGGATCGAACTTATGTCATGTTGGATTACTGAGGCACTTGTACAAAAATGCGCCAGATTACCGCTCTTGCAGGACAAAGGTTACATCAAATGATCATCGTCTAAGATTCTGTAGGATAAGTTTTAATGGGGTTTCAAAGTAAGGCGAACCACTAAAGCGAATGGGGTTCTGCTGTAGAATCGATAAAATTGTATAGAGCTGAGAAAGGTGTACGTTTTGATTTATTTAATAAAACTCAATGACTCTGTATTTACTGTATCAATAAGTGCACATTAATGTAAAGAAGAGATGCACATTTTATTGAAATCACATCATTCTTCTTCTTCTTCTCTTTCTTCTTGCATCAGCATTTCCAGTCTTCTAGTCTCTTCAATCAGTTCAACCATATCCTCTGTTGTCGCAACAGATGAAAGAAATGGGTGCTTTAATAATGTATCTGCATCAGGTCGTTTATGTTGATCCTCAGTTATACACAGCTGAAGAAAGTCTTTAAATTCATCTGACCAACGTTCTGGTTCCTTTAGTGGGGGAAGTCCATTTGATGCAATCAAGAATAGAGCCTACATAGTCTCATTAAAGGACCCGACCTTTTTATGATACACGCATAATATTTACCCTTAATGGAGGATGTTCGACATAAGGTGGATCTCCTTCTGCCATCTCTAGTATTACTACGCCCAAACTCCAAATATCTGCTTTTGAGTTATAGTTCACTCCCTTGATCACTTCAGGCGCCATCCAGTAAGGTGTTCCAACAATGGAATTCCTGTGAGGCTGTGATGATGTCAATTGAGCACAGTGTCCAAAATCTGCCAGTTTCACTTCACCACGTAAATTGAGCAAAATATTATCGCTTCTAATATCTCGATGAATACGATTCAATCTGTGTAAACGTGTTAATGCCCTCAAGATATCCCGGACAATTCTTCCAATGTGAGCTTCCTTTAGTCTAGTTCTGTCATCAATGGAAATAATATCTGCTAAAGACACATCCATACATTCCATAACAACCTATCAAGGAAGAAAAACAAAGGAGAGTAATTAATCTCTAGCCAGCAATATCTTGTTATCAATAAAATACCCATATTTCTTCTTTTGTCGTATAACAGGCGATAAACTCTACAATGTTGGGATGTCGACTCATTTTCATTGCAATCAGTTCATTCTTTATCTTGCTAACTTTTTCTCGTGCTTCGTATGAAATCTTTTTGATGGCCACAATACGCTGCGTATTCACCTGCTTGGCTGCGTACATAGGGCCAGACTCTCCTTCAGCAATCAATATGAAATCAGTATAAAGTGCAGTAGGATCCGTGTTGGAATCGACAATGACATCTAATGAGTTAGATGACTCTGGTTGACTTGTTTCTTCTTGCTTATCAGGCAATGGGGGTATATCTGAAGATGATTTAAAAATAGATAAATGCAGTAATTTGGACGATCGGGCCCTTGATGGTGGAGCATAGCCTTTAGGTAAAGTCTCTTGTATAGATTCTCGCCTTGGCTCCTTTTTTTGCTGTTCTGTTTCTTTTACTGTTGTTGTATTAGTTGTTGTAGTTGTACGTTTATTTGATTGCAATGAGTCAGGCATTCGAACATGATGCATCACTCTTTCGACTGTCGCTGGGTTATTCTTCACTACGTCTTCTGGTACGCCTGAAGCAAGAAGAATCATTTGCCATTTTTCAGGTAAGCCTTTATATCCATACTGTCCAACTTCAACATGGACGTTATGTTGAATATTGTATGGTTTCCCTATTAGTGTAGGCACTTTACTACATTTTCTATCACCTGAAAAAGGAACGGTTAAAAAAGGGATAGGAGAATAAAGAAAGGAGTTATACATACAATCTGGCTTTACAGGTGAGGGAACAAGGTGAGGTGCTACATAATGTGTATCCAATACATCGTCGCTTGGTAGATTAGATTGTTGCCATACATCTGGTAAACCCTATAATAATATATAACTCGTGTCAATCTTGCCCAATATAAAGATAAGAAAGGGAATTACCATGTATTTTCCATTGTTTTTATTATACTCCACATGAATGCCATGTTCAACTTGAGTTGGTTTACTAATGTCTAGTATTTTTTCTCCAAATCCACTCAAGCTTGATACTTTTGAAGATAATGATGTCTCTGAACGGTTTGCTTGACGATAAAGTTTTAAACTTGATAAAGTAGAAGACGATGCCATTTTACGAAGACCTCTAGATGCATGAGAAGGTCTTTTTTCATTATACTCGCTTGTACTGCTACTGGGCGTAGCTATTGTATTGCCCATAGTGTTTATAAAGATAAGAAAGAGAAAGAGCGGTTTTTACTATCTACACAGGTATAAAGTATATGTACAAAAGAATGTATAGAATTGCCAATTGCTCACTGATAATAAAATACAAAGGACATGTAATTTTTTATGAAAGAAAAAAAAATGCTCTTATTTTCTTTTTTTGGTGCTTGGTGTGATGATTTATGCGTGTGTTTAGCCTAAAAAGAAAAAGGAAAACGGTAGGGGGTTGTGGACTTTTTCAGTGCTTTAAAAAAAAAAATGCGTGTGTTTCACAAGAAACCATGGAAATACCATAGCAACACCATGAATATAATTTCTTTGTTGTTATTCATAATCATGTATTGCAAGGAGATTCTCACCCTAGTGTTACACGACTTCTGTTACAAGTTGGTTTATCATAAACTTGAAGCATATGTAATTAGTTTGTCTTGACGATCATTCGATTCGCTCAAGTGGTTTGATTCCCTACTGTTTTTCGCTTTGAAAACATAAATCAGCTAAATATAGATTTTACTGTTTGTTGTATCAGGCAATTTTTGCACCAAGATGACAGTCATAGCTTCATGTTTATGTATAAATATATCCCTTATATACATTCGCCATACTTGTCGAACGACTATGCTCCTGCAATCTAAAGAACATATTTTAGCTGTGATATAAAAAGTCCAATACATGTAACTCCCCGATAAAGGATTCACTTTTCAAAAATTTATGCTTCTCTCTTTTTTTTTTACAATAAAAATAATATAATAATGCAAACACCCCTTAATGGACACATTGTTCTTCCTTCGCAATCGCCTTCAGTCATTCCCATTGTCGCGCCTTCTTCTTCAACAGAGGAACAACCAGTAAAGACAATGCCTAAAATTCCTTCTAAAGGTTACTTTTTTTTCTTGCGCATGTGTTTGAATTCCTGGATATTAAATACGTAGACTAGGAAACGATAAACGTCTTTGTCGAAATGTCATCATTCACGGATATTGTAAATATGAAGGAAAAGGTTGTGAATTCAATCATTCAACGGTAAGATTTCCTGTGGTTTGTTCTCTGTGAAAAACAAAAACTGATATAGTAACTTTTTATAAAAGAATGCTACAACAAGCCAAGTAGAGTAAGTTTACCTCATTTGTCATATCAGAAGTTTTCACGTGTTTATATTAGCAATATTAAGCCGAAAACACCAACAACTTCAACAATTAGTAATGTCAATGCACCTGAATTTGTTCCTCGTTTTACCTCAGAAGGCAACACACCGACATTTGCTGGTAAGAGAAAGAAAGAAAAAAGTACCCACAGCTACGAAACTAATCATGGTTATTGCAGAAGCCTTGACTAGTATGAATGTGTATGTTTATAAAAACGGATAGATATCTACTTCAGCTAACCTTATTTCTACAGCACTTCAACCCAAGAACCATCGACCTCACAGCTGAATGATAGTTTTTCTCAACTCAACATATTATCCCATGTAAGCTTCAGCAATACATGCATTCAACAAGTATTAAAACATTATTATATATACAGGATCAAGTTGATCAACAACCAGCAGTAGCACACGATCAACTACCGGAAGCTGGACATGATTACATACAGCAGCATCCATTTATGCTTCCAGCAACAGATCCTTACATGTTTATGAACCATTCGACTACTTTTCTTAGACAGCCTGTAATTATGCATTGATACAATCCAAGATTATTATCTCTTACTCATATATGATCATAGTTGCAACACCATTTTTACTCGTCTTCTTTATCGCACACAAAAGTTCCACTCTTACCTCACCAAAGATTGATTAATTCGTTCTTCATTCCGGATAAACTAAGAGAGGAACTGACACAGCGTAATGAGGCACAGTGGATGACATCGAGTGACCAATCCTTGCCAACCGAAGTGCATGTCTATCATTCTTTATATCCTCTCGAGCAAGAAAAGCTTGGAAATTACAATGGATATCCAGCCACTGTATATAAAGCAACATGTAGTATTGATAGACGAAGCTATGCGCTTGTAAGAATCGAAGGATATTCAAGTGTAAATGAATCAGCTGTGTCTATTGCAGAAGTATGGCGGAATGTCAGACACTGTAATATTGTTTCGTTTCGAGAAGGGTTTACTACGAAAGCATTTGGTGATGATTGTAAGAAAGAGAAAATATCGCTACGATTATAAACTGATACATTACTTCTATTATAGCCATTGTGTTTGTTTACGACTATCACCCATGTGCAAAGACACTCTTACAGCATTATTTCAGATTAGCAAAGCAAATGTTTAAACCTGCCGTATCAATACAGAGCAAAGGAGTGCCGTTACTGGTATCTGAGAAAACACTATGGAGCTACATTGTACAGATAACATCTGCCATCAAAGCAATTCATAGTTCTGGATTAGCCTGCAGAAATATACAGCTGAATAGAATCCTGATTACAGGAGAGGATCGAATAAGACTTACTGGTGTTGGCATCTTGGATGTCTTGCAAGGCGAAGCAGACCAGCAGTTAACAGAATACCAGGTAAGAAATAGGAAGAGTATTTGGATATCGATTTGACTAAGAAAATTGGGTGTAGCAACAAGACTTTATATCTCTTGGCACACTGATTATACAGTTAGCATGTAATTTATCAACACCTTCTCAGAACATCACACAGTCTCTTGAATACATATCGCGAATGTATTCAGAGGATTTGAAGATCCTTGTATCCGTTTTGATGGATGAAAATACGCCTAAATCAATTGACGACATACTAACATTGATTGCTCCACGCATACTAGAAAAGATCAACCGTAACCATTTGTAAGAGAAATATTCATGTATAAAAAATTCGAGACTAACATCAATTTGGGGGATAGCCATAATGATGACCTAGAACAGTGTTTAGGACAGGAATTAGAAAATGGTAGACTAGTTAGATTAATATCCAAAATGGGATTTATTAATGAGCGACCAGAGTAAGTTGAATAGTTATGTAGGAGCACAAATTGCTAAAAGAGGAATTCTAGGTTTGATATGGACCCAAGTTGGTCAGAGACAGGCGATCGATATTTAATCAAGCTATTTAGAGATTACGTGTTTCATCAAGTAGATGAACATGGTCAACCTGTCATTGACATGGTTCATGTGTTGACATGTTTGAAAAAGGTAATATTTCTGGTTGGGATCACATACGTCAATTAACTGTTCCCCATTTGTAGTTGGATGCAGGCATTGATGAAAAGATCATGCTGATGTCTAGAGATGAAAAGTCATGTTTAATAGTAAGCTACAAAGAAATCAAAAACTGCATCATGTCTGCTTATGCAGACTTGAGCTCAGGCAGGAAATAAAAAAAGATGTATATGCAATTTATTATAATGTAAAGCTTTTGAGAGGATCCAACTTGAATTTGAGTTCTTTAAGCTTGCTACTCGTTGGATTCCACATCTCAAACAAGCGAAATAGGCTGTTCAACTCTGTCTTTAGCTCGTCGTGAGCAAGAATGGATGGGTCACTGCAGATACCACGCATAGCCCAAGGGATGTAGTATGGATTTGAACTTTGCTTGGCCTTGAATGGTTCTATGGTGGCAACTTCTTGAGATTTCATCAAGTTACGACGGGTATATTCTCCGAAAGGTGACACTTCAAAAGTATACCGAACAGCGGTCATATATACATTGAGTTCTTCGTAAATGGTTGAGTGACCACCTTCGATGACATAAATGCTTCCTGCCAAAACCTCGCTTAAATGCATCACAAGGCCATGGTCTGACAAACCAAGGTTACGTAACCGCAGTGCAAACACGACGAGATGAATCAAAAAGTCATCAGAAGAGTAAAAATGACCATCGATGTAGATTGTTCTTAGAATGCTTGGATGGGTCAAATTTGACATGACTGCAGAATATAGAGGAACAACTTGATCTTGCATAGAGCCAGTCAGGACAACTTTAACATTGGATTTTAGGATGTAAGCCAGGGATTGGTGATAATGGATGGATATAGGACTGTTTGAATCCATAAATTCAAATAGCTCACGTGCGGCATCTGCTTCAAAGTACTGTATGCATATTTACTAAATGTTCAATGATGCTATTTCTTTTTCTTATGCGCGTACCTTGACAATCAGACTGCCTTTCAATGCAGGAAAGGGACCTTGAGAAATTCCAGCCATAGCCAAGAGACAAATGGACTGTCTAAATGTATGGATATGGCCTCTTTCTAACAGTTTTTTAAGCAACATGACAGAAACAGGAGTCCCTTGGGAATGCGTTGCCCAGAAAATAACGTCGGCGGAGGAGACAGCATCTAACCATCGAGAATTATCTACTAATCTTTGGTACAGCATACTGACTCTATCCTGCACCTTTCCTTCGCCTTCCAAAGGCACAAGAGTGATAGCATGATCAGGTAATGTGACTTGATGCTCTGTTTTGAAATATTGTTTAATGGCCATAGCCATTTGCTCACAAAACTTGACAGATGTCCCTGTAGGTTCGCCTATCATGCTACGAACAAGCTGACGAAGCAATGATCAATATGAATCAGATTTTAAATGGCAAATGGGTTTACCTTCATCGGAAACCACCCATGAACACCTATGATGACGATTCGTTTATCCATAAAATTCTTTTCAGGGTCTAATGACTTGATATCTTGAACAAAAGAGGAAAATTTCTCCCTTACTTTCTTTGCTATCCAGTGAGATGTGCTTACGTCTTCTTGCTTTGTCGGCTTCGGGATCAGTATAGAGTTGACCATGTTGATTGCTCTAATAACAAAGCTATCATATGGAGCTGGTTGTGGAGGCGGCTGTCGAATAAACAATGACTCGAAATGAGGCAGAACCTCATTATTCTGTCTTCTTAGTGAATTATTTGAAGGTGATAATCTGATGGTGTATGTTTTGCTTTTTGTTATTTTATGTAGCTGTTGTTCATAGCTGTTTATGGAAGCAATGTCTATGCTTGAGTCTCTACGGTCTAATCGATGGTCATCTTGAATCTTCTTACTTGATGTACTACTTTTTAGTCTATTCAAGTCAGTACTGGTATCATATGAAGGCTCTGCTAATTGGTGATGACTGTGATAATGTTCAAAGTTCTTTTCCATTTCTTTTGTTAAATAGCTAATAGCTGTTGTTGTTGGTGAATGTTCTATTAATTCGTCATGGTCATAGTATGGTATAACGTTTCCATTTGCTGATATACTAGTAGAGAATGTGATAGGGGCTACTTTGGGTGATTGTAATCGTAGTGGTGAAGGCTGATAATTAGGCACATCTGGTTTCTGTAAAAACTCTTGGGTTGGCTTGTTTAATTTTTCTATAGATAACGATAAGGAAGTGGCACTCGATGTTTTATCATATATACAGTCGCTTATTGTCACATTAACAGAGGTTGACTTGACACTTGCGGGTAGTTTGGAAGTAAGCGTTGATTTCTCGCTCTTTAACTGATTTCTTTTTAGCGGGTGCTGCTTTTGATTTTGTCTTTTATTGTTTATCATCAACCAGCTGAGCATGTGTACAAAAAGTATTAAAAGAAGAAATAAAAGAGGTAAATGGACGCTTGCTTTATATACACGACAGCAAAAGAGAGAGACTATTATACATGTGATCTACTTGCTTCCCCCTTTTTTCCGTGACAGATCAGGCACATAGTCATTCCAGAGGGCAAGATCGCGGCCTTTCAAAATATATGTCCGGCCTTTTTTTGCAAATCAAAGCTGTTCAAACCAGGTGGTTGCCTTAACCTCGGGCAATTGATTCGACGTAATACTTTCCCAAAGTAGACTTTATGATCATTCTTGTGTTTGATCAAAAAGAGGAAATAGGCCCAGCGATCACGTAAAGTTACTATATGCAGTAAAGCCGTCCAGGTAAAATCTTTTATATGGGCCATAATCGAAAAGACTAGTGTCTTGTAGATCCCAATTCTTTTGCTTTTTATCAGTAATCAAGATAGATTCCTATCTATCACATATCATTCTTCTCCTCAAGGCCCTAAAATATGATGTCCCTTCCTGATAAACAAACCGTTTTTAAAGCCCTCTTGCTATATGGAATGACCAAATATCGACCAAAACCAAGACTTTAAGCTCTTCTTAAATTACTGTTGACTAGTCTTATTTGCTACTTGATAAAAGCTTCTCGCTCACTTCACAATCATTGATATTATATCATATAATTAACTATTGTCTTTCTCTGATTGGCTCCCACTTATGTACATATTGAAAGAGATAGACATACACACTCTCAAAACAACATATGAGATGTCGCGCATCTAAAGCATATTTCCCAATCAAAGCATCATTGTTATTTCAGAACCAGATACAATACACAATAATAGAGAGAACCAAAGTAGATGTTCCCCAATTTATTTGATTTACAGCCTCTATGCTACTGATTGGGTGCTTCGGGAAGCCAACACTGCTACGCCAAAGCACACTTTACACTTAAATTGTGAACAAGATTAAAAAGGGAAAAATGAATAAAAAGACTGTTCTATTTTGACCCTGATACGCTGCAGTGCGCATATCCAATAATTTATCTATGCAGGAGTGAAGAAAAGGGGGCCTGTAATATATTTCTTAATTACCAGTAATACACATTCATACAATATAGCCAAGGAGTGTAACCCTCTTCTTTCTCTTTCTCTTCTCCCTTTTAACCGCATTTATATGACTTTATATAGAACACTGAAAAACAAATACAATAAACTTGAAGAAACCGAGCAAATTTCCAGATCTACGTGGCCACAGATAAAATACATTTCAATCAAACAAACTCGAGGTTACTTGACAATGATGAAACTAAAGAAAATGTTTACAATATAACTAGAAATGATTGTATGCCTTTAAAGATACTCCAAAACATGGCTCAAGTGGCCTTTTTTGTTTTTTCAATTGTAAAAGGTATTATCTTTTAGCTTTAATAAAATATAGTGGTTTATTCAGAGCTTCCATTAATTTTCAAAAGCGGTATTTACGTCACTAAAAGCAGAGTTAATCTTTGCAATATACTCGGTAACATCATTATGGCGGCTTTCAGGCATGGCAGTAAGAATACAACCAGTCAAGGTGTTCACCTTGGGTTGTAACTTTTGAAGATCAGCCTTGACAGCAGGTGTGGTACTTTCAACAGCATCAAATTCGGCCTTTTTAGCAATCATAGCGTTCAAGGCACTTTCAACATCAACTGCAAGTACTTGAGCAACAGAAATGAAAGAAGCAGCTTCATCAGCAAAGACAGCAGAATGAATGGTACAGCAGCTAGCACTGGCTCCATCAACAGCGTTTATAAGGGCTTGTTCACTGTTAAGCACACCAACAGCACCTTCAGAGCCAGCAGCCGAAAGGTAGGTATTGACCTAAGTTCAAAAAATAGTTAATGCAAATATTACTCAGAACGGTGTAATCTTACAGCGTTGGAGGTGGCCTTGAGCTGATCCTGAAGAGATGTCAAATCATTGACACAAGATTGAACTTCGACACTAGCACGAGGGTTCAAAGTAGCAGCACTGGCTATCAAATGAAGAAAACCGATTAAGGCGTCTTTAATATATGAGTTTAGACTTTACCAGCAATAGCAAAAGTGGAAGCAAGAGCAAAGGGCGTAAAACGCATTTTCATCAGATAACGAATAAACAAAAAGTCAAGAGCAACTATGGGCTATTTATACTAAATTCCCAAAGGGGATAGTCAGAATCTTTGACATTCTCTATATATATATATATATATATATATATATTCACACATATAAATTGACAAAGATGATATAACACTACTTGTACAAAAGAAATTATAGATTAACCAAGCTTGTTGTGTAAAGAGAAAAGACAAAAAACATCTAACCTGACGACTTACTAACATACCTTTGCTCCACATGTTCATTGAAGCAAGCTGTAAGAGTCACCAAACTAACCAAATATAAATACTAGACAAGATATCAATACCCTTAGAATGCTTCCAAAAGGACTATACTATTCAAGCTAAAGATGCGACACTGGTATACTAGAAACCGTTCGTACGCTCACAAACACAAACATATGCATATACTCTCTTGTATCAAATGGTATGATAGTCAGTAGTAAATTAGTTTTATGGCACTTTTTAATCTACAATAGAATAATTTTGTAACAGAGACAGGGACTTTCTTTTAGCTCCACCCCCTTGATTACAGAAATATGCTTCTAATATTTTTCTGCCATAATCAACAAGACTAGACTGGTCCATCCTGTAAATGGATGACTACGCATACCATGTCCATCATCCTGAGAGTACTGTTCCCAAACATAGCCTGTTTTCTTGTACTCCTTGTACACGTTACGAATTATGATTTCTCTTAGTTGGGTATAGATTGTTTGTGCGCGAGCTTGGAAGGGACCGGGTGTATGCATATAATTCTTAAAAAAAAATGCGGTTAGAGGTTAAATTTGGGGGAGTGCGTCTTTGCAGAAACTACTTTACCTTATATAAACTCTGTAATGTCAAATAGTTGATATTTAACCAAACAGGTCCTCTCCAGTAATTCTCTCCTGTACCAAAGAAAGGGTCTGATGCGGATAGTGAACGTAGACCGTAAGACGACCAGAGCTCTTGTTCATCTTGTATCATGTCTAGAATAGCGCCCAATTTTGGTGAATCAGCAGGCAAAAGACCCAAGGCCATTGGGAATAAAGAAAGATAGCCTTTGTGGCATACATGAATAGGAGACTGTGCCTCATCTAGTGCTTGGTCACAGTACATTTGCTTTTCTTCATTCCAATGTAAATCATCAAGATTTGTCAATATATCCTGTTGTATTTGAATATACTCGTTCATGTCTTTGTCGTATTCAGGGCCCAATTTGTGAGCAATCTCCTTTAATAAACCGGTACAGAAAGCCATCCAGGAATGAAGGTCAAGATGGAGTTCACCCACACTAGGATCGCCTCGAGGATAGTCATCAAGGCCAGATGTAAGTGTATGGTTTGGCGTACGTCCTCTCCAACGATAGGCTTCATCATTGGATGCCTCGCGTCCAAATTTCTTCAAGTGACCGCGTTGAGTTGAACGGAACCAAAGCCAGTTTTGACGAAGCTTTGGATAAATGGCTTTAAGCCAATGACTTGCTAACTCTGATTGATCGAGGTGCAAGTTTCGCAAGACAGAGGATTCGTCTAGTGTTCCCATTTTTAATTGACTGTCTACCATATTTTCTAGTAGCTTTTGTTGCTGATGTGCTTCCAAACGATCAATGAAATGCTTTATAGCGAGATATAGTGTAGGAGGATTAGCATAATGAGGGAATTGAGTTTGGAACTCTGCTGGGACTTTGCTACGTGCTTCCTCCCCAAGGATCTGCTCACGGGCTACCCATCCATTTTCGTCAATCAAGGACACCCAATGCTTGATAATATCCAGGCTAAGATCATTATCCCATTCACCAATTAAGAGTTGATGGAATCCTTCGTCCCTGCAATACTTTTTTAATACTCGGTGCATTTTTTATCTCCAACTATATGTTACCAATAGAATCCACGAGGGAAGAAAGGTCGACTAGGTGTAGCTGTAAAGAGTGTTTGAGGTTTAGTTAGTTCAGGTCTAACAGGCTCTCCCTTGAAATCTTCTTCATCCAGCATAGGAGGGTGTGATCGATCAACAACAGAAGATCCATGAAAATAGCCTATGCCTCCTAAAAGATTACTCAATAGATATTGAGCAAATTCCACCTTGTTATTTGAGAATCCCTTCTCTTTCAGGTGGAAGGTTGCTTCAAATCTAGCATTAAATTCCTCCTCTTTGTTAACAAGTGCTGTTCCAAGCTTTTCACCTTTTGTAGCCAAGGTTAATTAAAGAACTAGACTAATAATTGGCTAACTTACTCGTCAAAGGCTTTTCAGAGCTAAACGAATGGAATAAAACATCAAACTATGAACAAGAAGTCAGATACAGACTGGTTTTCTGTTTAAATTGTCCGAGGTTACCTGAAATTCACCCTGAAAGATCTTCTGAAATGTATAAAAGTTGGCTACTTCACCCTCTTCTTCAATTAAGCGGTTGCTCAAGGTAAAGAGCTTGTATGGTTGTGTATATATTTCCTCTTGTGGAATACCCTCATTTTGTACTTTTTGTTGAGCATTCATGACCAGTTCTTCAGAGATAATATCTACAGGGCATAGCACTTAGCCAACCTATACCATTCACGTTCTTTTACCTTACCTTTTGCTCTCCAGACCTTTCCTGTAGGCACTTCTTTACCAGACCATTGAGTGCGAGCAAGATCCTGCTGAATACCTTGACCCGGGTATGTGTTCAAAGGGCCTATAAGACACGTAAGCAAATATGATTCTCGATTGTAATATCAACAATACCATCTACAATTTGTATTTCAAAATCTCCAAGCTCAGGAGTATCACCTTCAAGTCTGATAGGTGACTCAAGGCCCTTCTTTGACAGCTTGCTCATAAGGTCTACTCCGCCTTGTCCTTCAATTCCGACATAAAATAAGACAGATGTGATGGAAGGAACTAGATATGTTTCTTTAGTTGCTGATACATAACAAGAATGGCTATATTACCCTGATCATTAATGGGTATTCCTCTAATACGCACGCCCCAATCCCCACCATTATTTCCTCCGGGAACTTTGATAAACTCAGTATGAATTCTTATATTACTTGGTGTATCATTAATCACTTGAGAAGCAAATCCTCTTCCATCATGCTTATGATATCCGTATCCTGCGATACCATCCCCTTGGTCACAGGCGTGCCTTATGCCTAGTAAAAGAGAAAAGGGTGCATTAGTCTATATAAAAAAACAAACTATTCAAACGCGTACGTTGGATTCCTTGAATATTGGCTGCATCAAACCACATGAGACCCGTCATGACTGATTCGGGTAAACGCGGTCTTGTACCAAAATAAAGATTAGGTCGATATGTTCCCCATAAGAGAGAAGAGTTTGATGCTGTTATTGGTAAAATGCTTGCCAAAGTTACTGAAATGAAGGTTGAGATGGTGAATAATAATATATTCAGCCTTATCATTTCGTGTTTAGCAAAGAAAAAGAAAGAAAATAAAAAAGGGAAATTGTCACACAAATACATTTATTTTACATTTAAAAACAAGAAAAAACAACGCTTTATGCTTGTTTTGCTGCTTGTTCTGCCATTAATTTTTCATATTCTCTTTGTCTTTCATATAAAACACACTTGATTCTAGCCATCGATTTTTGACACTAACAAACTTTTGGTTAAACTATGATATTTAAGATGGAAAAACAGGCAATACCTTTCTCATACGTCCTTCGTTGGTCCAAACTTGCTTTGGTAAATTTAAACGATTTGCTTCATGTTTTTGGGTTGCAAGTAAATTACGTTCCTTTAATAAAACATACCATAGCTTGTGGAGATCTTCAAATGATTTTTGACGAAGTTCTTTTGCTTTCCAGGAGCGTCCTAACATAATAGTTGAACATTTTATTCTCTAATCGTCCATCATGTCTTACCTGTCCAAACTTGTTTTGGTAATGTTTGATTGTTCTCAAAGAATTGATATAAGCCTTTAGGTTTAGTTTTTGTTGTAGTTGCTGCTATTTCAGAAAATACAGTTGAAGATGTTGTGAATGAGCGAACTGATGTATTAAATACTGATAGGCGACTGATTCTCTGTAAAATGGACATTCTATATACAAAGAAAAAGGCGGATTTTGACAGGGACTCCTCTTTTTTGGAGTATAAGCCTCCTCCCCCTGTTACGGTCATTGTATATTTAAAGTCCGTTTCCTTTTTTTTTTTTTTCCTTTTACACTCTTTCCAAAAAGTAAATTCGCCTGACGGCAAGAACAAAATTCGTGTGGGCACGAAATGTAAATTCGTCTTGGAATCTTTGGATATTTAAGGACACACCAAGCGTCCGTCTTTGTTTTATTTCTTTTTTCACAATTACACCAGAAATTGCAGATAATGAACATTCAATTTTTACTTGAAAATGGGAAAAGTTCCGTTGTCGACGAGTATGGCAGGCCTGAACTAATGGATTATATTGTTGATGAGGAAGAGTTCCGTCTTGAAACATTGAACTCTCATACACAAATGGTGGTTGTTTTTGCTTGTGTTTTGGGAACGATAACCACTGCAGGGGAGAACCTTTTTTTTTTTGACCATGTCATACTACGTTTCAAATTAATATGAAACGCAGATTCATCAAGAAAGACGCAGTTAGTTGTAAAATTCATGTCTGTTTTTTCCCATTTATGAATCCAATCCAGGCACTCTTGAATCTTTTTCTCACTATTCCGGTCTATGGGTTGAAACCTAGCTTTTTTGAGGAACAAGCTGCAATTTTTTTTTTTTTTTTCAAACAAAGTACTTTTGGATACTTCTAATTCTGTGAATACTTGTTTTAGGTACTTCATCACGTCGTCCAAGGCAACTGAAGGGTTTTCATCGATGCATTCAAGAATAATCTTTTTATGCCCCTCATTGAGAATGTGTGGACGACCAGTCTTTTTCTGTTTCTCAAAGATACTATTAGGATCTCTCTCGTACTGTTCAGCCCATTCTTGTGCTGTACGAACATGAATCCCAAGCCTTTTTTCAGCCGCAGCCGCACCAAGACACTTTTCAAACAACAGATTTTCCATCAGGGCGAATTTACTTTCTGGAAAGAGTGTATTGTTTATTAAAATGGATAATAGCAAAAAAAAAAAAGAATGGGTGATGTGTGTGTGTGTATTACAATATTAGTGAAGCAAAATAGAAAAAGAAAAAGAAATTATAATAGACCAACATCACGCAAGTTATTTTGAATAATAATATCATTAACGGCAGCCATAACGAACTTAATTTGCTCTGTATCCGTTGCACATGTAAAATGAGAATAAATCTGTTTAGAATCTGACTGGTTTAAGGATACAAATCTATTAAGAATATAATCCCTAGCACTTTCGTATGTCTCAGGACCTATATAATGATTAGCTTTAGGGCCCCTTTGCTTATATTATAGTATTTACCTGTATAGTCACTGAAGCTTTCCTTTAGAGGGTGCTTTTGTAATTTCTCTTTAAAGATGTCAATCTTATTCAAGAAGAGGATAATTGATGTCTTGACGAACCAACGTGAATTACAAATTGAGTCAAAGAGAGTCAATGCTTCTTGCATACGGTTCTAACAAAAAAGACTTTAGGATACATTAAAGGGGAAAAGCCATTATTATGACTTACCACAGTCTCATCTTCAATCAGCACCTGATCGTATTCGGATATAGCCACCAAGAAAATAATGGCTGTAACATTTTCAAAGCAGTGGATCCACTTTTTACGTTCTGATCGCTGTCCACCCACGTCAAACATGCGGTAAGTCAAATTTTCAATGACAAATGTGGTTTCTGTGATACCCGTTGTCTTGACACGTGATCGAAGCACATCCTGATCTGTTGGCACATAACTGACTTCTCCGATACGGTCGATAGAATCAAAGTAACTATGGAAATGGTAAGCCATGATTACCAAAAGAGGCATCAAGATTACTTACTATTTAGCCGAGTCATTCAGTTGATATTCACGACTCCTATCAAACACACTTAGGAGATTGGGATCTTTCCACAGAGTCTTTATAGCTAATACAACCTCTGGAGGAAGTGATTCACGCTCGATCTGTGTTGGTAAATCAAGGATAATTGAAGCATGATGCTTGTTTTGAGGAACAGAAAATGAAACGCCCATGTTATCCATGGCTTCCAAAATGACACGCATAGATTGTACTGCATTTGAAAAAATGATTTCTTTAAATGCTTCTCTCTCATCACGAGAGTAGCCACCATCATGGATCAGTTTCATTTGCTTCAATATAGTTGATTTGCCTGATTCACCAGCGCCTATTTTAGTAAGGACAATAGGAGTGAATATAAGTTAACCACAGTATCTCTGTTTCTCTTTACCCAACAACAACATTTTCACTTCATTTCTCATATTCAGTTTATCACGCTTGATTATGTTATCGATTTCTTCATTACGGGCTTTTCCGTCATGCACTTCGTTTGATTGACAACAACCCATACTATATATTACAATCCGATTTTACACAAGAAAAAGTAATAAGAAAGAGAGAGAGATAAAAGAGAAAAGAGAAAAGCTGATAAAAAAGGAGAAAAAGGCTTTGTCTATTTCGCAAACAGTAAAAGCTTCATCATTTCCCTCCCTAAATTTAGCAAATCATTTATCTTACCCCCCTTTCTCCTTATTTTTTCCTCCTTTTTCTATTTCCCCTTTTGTGCTCTCTCTCTCCTTCTTTCCTAGAATCGTTGCCCATTTAGCTTTCTTTCTTTTTCCTTTTCTCATGTCTTAACGCGGCATAAAAGCCACTGATAAAGCAGAGAGACCTATGGTGCTTTTTTATATGACTCAGTGGCAACAAAGTAATAATGTCAACTAAGGTTGTGTTACAAGAAGGGAGGACCGAGCAATTTACTCTTCATTTGTATTGTTTTGCTGTTTATCCTAACCTGCAGAGCCAATTTATGTTTTTATGCAGCTAAAAAGTAACAGGCAATCCCTCACACTCTTTTTTTGAAAACATCAGGAGAAGAGGATTTTTTTGTAAGGAGTTAATAAAGAGTTTGTTGCTAAAGATAAAAAAAGACTGGGAGCATAAATCAAGAATTAATCTAGTTTTTTCATGTGTACAACAACAGCCCAGCGGAAAACGGGCGTATTAAAAGTCGCTGTGAAAGAGCGTTGAAGATAAACTTAGAACAATATTTACTGTCATTACACATACTCTCCTATCTCCCTTAATTACAACATCTGTCCTTTATGACATTTTAGAAGAAAAGGAGATTTTAATGATTTACAGTCAAACATAGTGTATTATAACAGTTTACTGATAGCTAGCTGCTGTATTCTTAAAAACTATTTGTTTCGCCATAAGCTAAGCAATATATAACATCTATAGCATTTACAACCACAGGCTCAATAGCTACAAGTGAATGGACATCCTAATTTATTTACCGGGCATGTGGTAATAGTTTTTGAAAGAAGGCACTATTCTAAACTGCACAGCCAAGAGTCTAGGATTTTGATAGTTAATCAAGCTCATAGATAGTATACATAGAACTAAAGACCAACATGGTAATTTCAATACCAACAAATTAAATAGTAGCTGAGAGAGTATTTATTTATTGATATCCTTGTAAATAAGCAGGAGCGTATGCATTCTAATGAGGAAAAAAAATCATACGTTAATGAATGATAGAATATAGTCCATCTTTGTACTCTTAATCGTTCATTGCTCTTATTGACAACGTATCCTTTTAAGTATTTCTCTTAACATATGCATAATCTAAATCAAGTTATCTAAGAAAACACAAGTACTATTCGTTCCTATGCCAACCTATACCAGCGTATGACAAATATATTTTATGCCAAAGGTCATCTTGAGCCTACGAACCAGAAGTATATCATATATCATAAAGCCTTACAGTGCAATTATACATTTCAGATCGAAAAATCGGTCATCTAAATAAACTTAAGCTGATGTTTCAAATGCAATGACAATCAGATTGCTTATAAAAATACATTTTACTAAATAAAAGAAGACATAATATCTGTAGGTATTGTTTTTCTGAGTAGTTTACTATTCAGGTATGTTACACAGATCGTTACTGTAACATGTATAAACAAGCATGAAATCAGGGTGTATGCGAGCATAAACAGACAGTAGATCTTCCTAAAAGGACTCACGTTCTTCAGTTCCGCTTTAGCCTAATATACACTTTTTTCAGAAATTATTCGCACACATTATAAGATCAATAACAATCAACACATTAATTGGTTTTCTATATCTTCTTTAGTGTTTAAAAGACAGCATTTAATAATACATAAAATGAGCTTGATGTTTTTGAGAGATACGTAAAATAAATGTGACCAATGCATAGATAACACGTAACTGAAAAAGTTGTTAGAGACCTTATTTAGTAGTCTGATCTTGGCTTCTTTTTCTTTTCCTCTTTGAACCTAAAAGTAAAACCAACCATTCTCCAGATAGCCCTAAGGTATGTTATGCTCTTTACACTTGTAAGAAACTAATATGTAGTATTATAGGTCATAAAATCGAAAATAGTACCGGTTCTAGCTGGAGGTAGTTTGGCTCTTACCAAATTTTGGTCCCATCCACTCTCTCAACCCCTTCCGCTCCTTTGGCCGCTCTCTTCCTTACTCTTCTCTTTTCTCTTTCTCGCTCTCTCTCTCTTTTTCTCTTCTTTCTTCGGGCTAACGGTAGTCAGCCCTATTTAGTGCGCTTCGGATAAGATGTTCATAATTTCTTTATATGCTTATTCACTTTTCTTGTTTTTTTTTTTCTCTTGTAAACCCTCTTCTTTATAATGTGATTATTTAATATCAATGTAAATAACTGATTTACTAAGCATTTTTTTATATCCCATTTCTTTTGCTTCTGATGGGCTCTCTTTTATTACCATTTGCTGTCTAGAATTATCTTTTTTTTTTTTATCAGTGTATGAATTTACAACCATTTTATTCCCTTATATTTTTCTACTATTTAAACTCGGAAGCCATGGACTCGATTCGACTCTTTTATGCTGTAAAATATGTATTAATTTGATCAAAACTGAGATAAGATATAAAATATGGAATCCAATTTACTCCTTTAGAGGGTTCTGCTGTCCTGAATTATATCTCGCAAAAGAAGATTCAAGCCTACACTCTATGCGCTGTAAATATATCTTCATCTGTGGAAATACAAACATAAGGTTCATGTTCCATTTATGTACTTGGAAAATCGCGTCTGGGTCTTTGCTTTTATTGCCATGTCATTCTTCACAAGCTAATGGAAGATTGTGCTTTGAATACTTGAGTTACTTGACCTCTAAACCAGCCATCTCGTCAGCAATTCTAGGGCAATCGATAGATCCTTGTGAGCATAATCTAAAATATCTTCCTCATGGCCCCATCGAGAGCAGACAGATGACCACAGTTTTCGCACTTTTCCATACCCCAATCTCCATATTTGCAGCAGCTGGTGCACTTGCACTCATAATCGTACAAGAAAGAATGGCCTGCTCATTTCAAAATGTAAATATGTGAAGAGAAAAACGATCAAAGGGTTCAAAAAGGTTGGCACGTTTATATAGAAATGGATTTACCAAGCTTCCCTGTACGATATCTTTTTTTTTCCTGTATGCACAATGGTCTCTAGCGAATAGGAACTCTATCTTTTTGGGGGAGATCTCGAGACTTTGAAGGGAGGAGTGTATACGGAAACAGTGATGACTTGATAGTATATATACTAAATTCATACTAGTTTAGTTAATCGCTTTAATAATTAACTCCCTGACAACCATTTTATAAATGACTAACCAAATCCCGGATATATTTCGGGTTGAACAAAGATGATGATGGCGGCGAAACAAAGAAATACACTAAAGACACGTTTGTGATCAAAGAGCAGATATATAATTCGCAAGCAAGGGAGGTGGAGCTATTTTAGCACTTTCTGTGGTCATATATACCGTCATTAAGTAAAATGACCATGATTACATATATATCAAAAATAAATTCCCCTGAATCGGGAGTGGATTGTGGAATACCTGCAACTTTATGTCAGCAAACCCATTACTTACAATAGGGCGCGACTAAAGACGTGATATTCACAGGAAAAAATATAGATTATGTCCTACAAGTTTATTCAAACATCAAACTGATAAAATGGCCCAAATACCAGGTTGTCTTTGCTTTATGCATAAACCAAAAGGCGTGAGAGAAAGTTTGGAGACAAGATTATCAGGAGAAGCATGAAAACAAAATTTTTTTTTCATAAACAAAAGTGGAAACACTCTTTTGAAACATAACAAAAAAAGCGCACGCACACAACAAACCCTTGGTAAAACTGAAAATAAGCTCCACTGTACTACTTCTCCAAAAGGATAGATCTACAGTACAATCCATCTCCGCCCAACTGTGAAGTCTAAAGACTTTCTGGCAATCGCTTTGATTTTGAAGAGAGTGTATAATCCACATGAAAAACGTGAACATGGCCCTTATAAGAGCATCAATGATAGAAATATCAATTAATTCATTGGTCACACTAAACCATATATGTTTAGTCTCATTTGAATGCAGAAAATTGAGTAGCTTCTTTTGGTTATACGACGTCTCCATTTCAAGGAAGTTACAAATGAAAATGATTCATTATTAACATATCACCATGATTATTCGTCGTTCTTGAAATATGTATCATAACTACCTCAAACGACTTACTTCAACAAAAAGCACAATCAAGCAAGCTCCTTATTAGGTTTAAATGCAGTATTCAAAAGTAGGCTCGGGATATTCCATTTACAGGCTAGCATAAAAAAAAAACAGAACACAATGCAGAGTATACGTTGATCCATTGCCATAGTAACATTATGTATTATGCCATTTTTTAAAGAAACTTTCTTTATATGATGTAATGTACTACTTGATTGGGTTTATTTTAATCTTAAATTTTTTATCTTTTTTTTTTTTTTCAGATCAAACTTATATAAAAGAAATCCTTTCCCTGTCTCCTTCTTTTTCTTTTATTTTTTTTTTTTATTTCATTGAGCCTAATCGTTTTATTAATGACTTCATACCAAAACACGCCTTCTGATCTTCACGCAACAAATCGTAATGGAGTTACTTTAACAAGAGATGATTTGTTAATGCTTGCTCAAGCCGAATATGCCAGACAAATATGCAAATATACAAAGGCTCAATTAGAGCAAAAGATACCAAATCATACTAGCATACATCAATCATTATCATCTACGACCTCTTCTTCGTCATCATCATCATCCTAATATCGATTCCCTTTTGTACATAGTCCTTTACTGTAAATAGTTCCAGAACTCGAAAAAAAAAAATAGACGTTGCACAAATAATTGTTTTATATAATAAAAACGTTTTTAATGCCTCTCTTTCCTTCTCTTTTGCTTTTACATGAATTCCAACGATAATATCACACTTTCGGCTAATCAGAAACGACTTATAAAAGCTTGGTGGAAGAAAGCCACAACCAATAGTAACAACACTACCAGCCAAAGAAGATTTTCCGCCATGGGTAACTTAGTGATAAGGGAGTAGGGATAACATGAATTGATACTAAGGATACAGTAGAAAAAGGTGTATTTGGTATTCCACTAGTAGACTCTATATGTTATGCTCATTCTAGGATATCTTTTGTGGATCAAAGAACAGGGAAAGATTGCAATGGAGTCATTCCAATAGTTATTGCGAAATGTGGTTCATTTCTTAAGCAAGAAGGTTTTTTATTTTTTATTTTGGCAACTTTTGAATTAACAAAAGCTTTTAGCATTGTATGAAGAAGGAATATTTCGAATATCAGGCAATGTGAAGAGGATATCAATTCTTCAGTCGCTATTTGATACACCTGAAGGTTATGGATTAGATATCGATTGGACTGGATATACGCCTCATGATGCAGCTAATTTGCTGAGCAGATACCTTAACTATCTCCCTGAGCCACTCATTACGTTAGAATATCAGAACTCATTTAAAAATATCATAGGTACACATCAGTATAATTGCCGGCTGGCATGGAAACACTAAGCCATTTAAATAGACGTTGAATTTCCGAGTATAGAAGTCAAGATTCATGCATTTCAAAAATTAATCGAAAAGCTACCAGTTGTACATCAATACCTTTTACTTTATATCTTGGATCTTTTATATCTCTTCTCACTTTACTCTGATTATACACGGATGGATATAACAAGTTTATCTACTGCATTTGCACCTGTAAATAATATAAATTTGTGTCGCTTGGAGACTTAAATATTGTTTTTAGGCTATCCTCTCAGATCCTAACGATGCTATGAATCCAGCAGGATATAAAAAATCACAAAGCGTACTTTTATTCTTAATCCAATATCAAGAGCACTTTATGATGCCAGATTATCGTCACTATGAACCATCGTTGATAGATTCACCTAGTATGGAATATATCCTTTATTTAAACATATAGTAACATCTACATTTAGCCACGCCCCTAATCCAAGATAGACGTCTGTCATTTAATTATTCACCCTCACAGTCAGTAACGAACCTGATGTCCCTAAGAAGTGCCTCATCACCTAACGTGTCTTCTTTAAAGCGATCCAAGACGGCACCGAGTCGAAGAGATAAAGAAGAGCAGATGATGATTGAGGCAAACCAGAGTAAAGTGACGAGTAAGTAGTAAATACTTCTTTTTGTAAGTAGCAATTAATCGTAAATAGTTAACAATGCCAAAAATATTTCAAGATGGAAATCGATCAAGAAAAAGGAATGAATTGTTACTGCGTGTAATAACGGTCAATGGCACAATAAACAGGTTGTTCTCGAATTTTCTTTTTTGCCCCTTATTCGTTGTCATAGGCAATCATGCCTTGGAAGATTTCACTTGTTTGTTCATACTGAAGTAATTGTCTTATGTTAAGATAGATTTTCCTTGTTAGCCTTTCTTTTTGCTGGAGAAAGCATTCATTTTGGTTGGTCATCTTTTTTGAAAAGTATACACAGATATGCTCTCTTGTACTAAATCTTTAATTCAAAAAAACAAAAACAAACCAGATAGATAAAAAAAAAAAAAAAAAAGGAACTAAAATTGAGAACCGTGAGTCCCTTTTGGAAAACCACCCCACCTTTGAAAACATGATCCGATGCTCAATTTCAATCCACGGATGATTTGTGAAACGACTGTATGCTTTGGTAAGAATGGCATTAGCAAAGAAAAAAGGATGAGCTCATGTCACATGCCCTTTTGTAAGAAAACAAAAGTGCTCATTTTCCTTCTTGGCTGTGTCACTTTTATTTATAGAATAACTATTCTTTCATCCTCTTTATAAGTGATTATAAAAAAGGATACTCCATTGGATACCATGATAACTTGGTTCATACCGTGACCCAATCTATATGCGCAACTATGCCATTTTAGTCTTTATCGATCGTCTCCAGGACACCCTTTGAACCCGTGAGAATACCCTTGTTGAAATTAACAGCGCTTTCACCGTCACAGTAACCAGCCATAGATGTTTCTATAAACTCACTTTTGCCCTTTTAAAAAAGGCAACTTGTTATTTTCGGTGCAATTGTCATCAGTTGTGTATATATATGATAAATTTAAACAGGAGCCTTTTAATCATCTTCTTTGACGGACAAACATAATTATCCGAGTGAGAGCATAAAAAGTTTCTTATGCTCGGTTGAAAGAAAATGTGTAATTATTTTTGTGTATTGTTGCGTAGTAATAGTAAAAGTAAGGATAGTAGTCATTGAATAACTACAATTTCATAGCTTTTATTTGGTTGGACAATACACTCTTTACAACTTGCTGCGAGTGCCTAATTTCCAAATGTGTGATCTGCTGACACACAAATAAAGTTTAAACACAGGTCAACATTCCTTCTTATCCCGCGCGTCCGTTGGGAAAATGAAGGAAAAATGACAAATTAAAAAAGGGTTCAAGATAAAAAATATGGATACAGAACTCTACTTACGATAGAATAAAGGCTAAAGAAGGATACATTGTAAAAAAGTGGCAAATTTGCATCTTGTTTACATGTTCCTAGCGAATACCAATCAACCAAACAGAGTGAAGGACCCTGTTCGATTACTAAATTTGGATGGACCCCATTTTTTTAAATACCGTTTCTTCCCGATTCAGTTTTTTCATTCAAATTGCTAATGTTACACACCGTATTTTACAAAAAAGGTTGCACAGCCAAAAAAAAACAGGCAAAGTGAAGGAAAGGTATTGATAGGTTAAGTTGCTAAAACTGCTCAATTTGGGAATAAAATTTGATTGACCAAGTACTGAACTTATTTAACCAATAGAACACATCACTTTGCTTTGATCCTTGTTCTTGCATGTATTATGTAGTTCTCTTGTTGTAAAAGGCGCCTTGTGTTCGATTTTTCTTTTTCGAATGCGGCATTTTGAAATCATAGTTGCACGATAATTCACGTTGACTGAACGGAAACCCATCAAGTAGAAAAAGCGGGGAAGACAATTGAAAATGTGGGGAAAATGCTGATTGGATGTGGTATAATGCGGGGCTATCACTCTAGAACTTTTCCAAATGTTCCTGATGAGAGACACAGTTTTATAGTTTCACAGACAAAAAGGATATAAAAAGATAAACACTTATTGTGTCTCTTCTTTTTCTTTATTCCATTTATATTTATTTTTTTAATTAATCTTTATGGCTCATTCTAAATTACAACTTTATATTGTCTGCGCATTTGCGGCAATAGGTGGTTTCTGCTTTGGCTATGATACTGGTGTCATCTCTGGTGTATTGACCTTACCTGACTTTATTCAAGTCATGACCGGTGACCCCTCTGTCACTACTCTTCGTGCTATTCAAAAATCTGTTATCACTGGTTTGTTATTAGCCGGTTGTTTCGTTGGTTCTCTCTTTGCTGGTAAGTTTAACATCTCCACTTGGTAGTATCGTATGACTTATATTTTTATATATAGCCCCCTCTTGTGAAAGACTCTCTCGTAAAATTACCATTGTCCTTGCCTCTTCTGTCTTCATTCTCGGCGCTGGTATCCAAACAGGTGCTAGAAGCTATGGTATGATGGTCGGTGGTCGTTTTGTTGCTGGTCTCGGTGTCGGTTCTCTCTCTATGGCTGTTCCTCTTTACTTGTCTGAATTGGCCCCCAAGGAAATTCGTGGTCGTTTGATTTCTCTTCAACAACTCATGATCACCATCGGTATCATGGTTGCTTTCTGGGCTGGTGCTGGTACTGAAATTCACCATGCTTCTTGGAGAATTCCTATTGGTATTCAAATTGCTCCTGCTGCCGTCCTTGGTGTTGGTGCTCTCTTCCTTCCTTTCTCTCCTCGTTGGTTGATTAGCAAGGGTCGCAACGAAGAAGCATTAACTGTTCTCGCTCAACTCCACAGTAACAATGACAAGACTGCTCCTCATGTTGTTGCCGAATACGAAGAAATCATTGCTCAGGTTGAACATGAACGCACTGTTTCTGTCTCTAGCTATGTCGAACTTCTCCAAGGTACCGTTCGCCGCAGAATGTTTCTCGGTATTCTCATTCAAATCTTCCAACAATTCACTGGTATCAATTCCATCATGTACTATGCTCCCCAGATCTTCATCCAAGCTGGTATCAGCGGTAACACTGCCTCCTTGATCGCCTCTGGTGTCAACGGTGTCTTGAACGTCTTTTCTACTATCCCCGCCATTCTCTTCCTTGATCGCCTTGGTCGTCGTTTCGTCTTGATCTCTGGCGCCTGTATTATGGGTCTTGCTATGCTTCTTTGTGGTATCGTCATGGCTGCTACTGGCAAGGTTATCTCAACTGATAACGGTGAAAAGAGTATTGATATGTCCGGAAACGTCCATGCTTCCTACTTTTGTATTGTCATGATCTACTTCTTCGTCGCCGGTTTTGCTTACTCTTGGGGTCCTGTCGGTTGGGTCTACCCTGCTGAAATCTACCCTCTCTCCATTCGTGCCAAGGGTACCTCCATCACTACCGCTGCCAACTGGCTGATGAACTTTGTCATCTCTTTATTCGTTCCCGTCATGCTTACTTCCATCACCTGGGGTACTTACATCTTCTTTGGCTGCTGTTGTGCCGTCATGGCTGTGTGTGTCTTCATCTTCTTCCCCGAAACCAAGGGTCGTTCTCTCGAAGAAATGGACCTTGTCTTCAGTGGTCACGTTCTTGCCTTCAAGGATCGTTCCTTCAATGTTCAATCCTCTACTGTTGATGTCAAGGAAGCCTCTGTTGTTGACACCAAGGAACAAGTTTAAACACTTTGATGTTGTAAATAGGAAGCTGGCTTTTTATTACCTTTTTTAATACTATCTACTGTACCATCCTTTTTCTTTTTAATATGATGATAGTTATTCCCGAACCTCTCTCTTTTTTAATGTAAATGATTATTATTAACTTTATTAATTTCTTCTATCATAAATAAACATTTTATTTATTTTATAAAATCACAAACCATTTCGATCGACAATCTACTGCTTCTTTCCTTACAATTCTCTTTCGGTCGTCCAGTGCAACCTTTAGTTTCCATAATACAGATTGAACGTGTGGCTTCAAGACGTCTTTGGGAAGTGATGTAGGGAACTCAGATAAGCAATTTAGTACAGCCACACGTACTTGGATAGAGCTTGAACGATCCTGAAGGATACCGAGAAGTGAAGGAAGGATCATGCTGACTTGGCTAGAAATAGTCTCGGGCGCTTCAGCTACAGCTAGCTTGAAAGTGTTGAGCGTAGACACTCGTAAGGTTGTATCAGGTAATTCAAGCGACTGAATCAAAAGTGGAATAAGCTATAAAAAAATCATTAGGTTAGTGACACTTTATCTCTTAAGCACACACACTTACCGGTGGAAGCTCATTCAGTAAAATTTGCTTGGGCACGTTCTTTAGTAAAAATGATAGAGCGATCAAATAATTAGGCTTGATGTTTGATTGGGCAGAGTGATAGCCTTGAATAAGTTTGGGTAAACTGTAGCTGAAGAATCTTTGCTTGTACAAAAGCTATATAACATCATTGATTACTGCCTTCAAACTTCCACACATATATCCCATCCACTTACCGTCACAGTTGCAAATAATGACCTGTTCAATGCATAGACATCGTCTCCAACGAGGATGTCGAATCCATGTGCAACACCCTGAATACTGAGACCGCACCATTCAATCACCTTGTCTGTCAATTCATAACCTAGTGGGTGAGCGCGTAAAATGAGAGCCTTAGTGATCCACAGATAGACCTCAAGTGCGCGAGGGTTTTGAGTCATCGTGTCCTGCAAGAGCAATGAGGTGGTCTTTACATACTCTGTCAAGGCATTATCTTTATAACATATAGCTATCAGTATTTGTCTTGCAAAAAAAAAAAAGCTGCTACTTACTGTCTTTCCATTTGTTGATCAATGAGCCAATCATTCTTGATACACTTGTCGTCTGAATGTCTGAACTCAAAGCCAGAGTTACCATCGTGTTCAAAAAGTCCTCCATGCTCGACACTGGTAATGCCACATCCTTTCTTAACGAGCAAATCACTGCTGAAAACAACTGAACTGTTCTCTGCTGTCCTTCTGGCGCAGCTGGATCAAGTGGCTTGAATTGGCCTTGAGTATGCATAAACTCTACTAGATCGCCTTGTACAAAGGATTTGAATATCATATCCATAAAGACATTTTGTTCACTGTTATCAAGGAATGAGAATGTATAGCATAGAACATGCAATAACTTATCTATTACCTGCTATCGACTTTGATCAAAATCGTAATGACAATAAGTGAGAGTGTCTGTAGGAGCTGAGGATCCAGATAGAGACTATCAGACGAATCCAAACTGGCTTCAATGACTTTTCTGAAAATATAAGGTACCATCGTATGTACTTCCTTAGCAAGATCAGCGTGACTCTCGGTGGCCTTTGTTTGCAAGATATTTAAAAGCACAGAAGCGATTGCCTGTGCATATTCAACTTGAGTTTTGCCTTGTTGGCAGATAGCATCCAGTTTTTGCAAGAGTAATGGTGCAGCATGAATATAAACAGATTCAGTAGGGCAGATGGATTTGAGAGCTGTCAAGACATAACTATCCTGTTGAGCCACTTCTTGATCTTCGGGCAGCTTGGCCATCAAGGCAGGCAGCGTCTGTTCAATAATATACAAGCTGTTGATGTGTGATGTGGCACAGAGCGCATCAAGAGCAGCCTTTCGGAGCTCTCCATCCTCGACTGGATCCAAGAGTATCTTGTTGAACGATTGTATAGCCAAGCCGACTTCATTAGGTGTTAAATACTCTTTAGAAAGCACCATAAGTTTAATGCCATTAAGGCCCGACAGACGTAGCAAGTTGTACTCGTTCGATGCTGTTAAGCAAGACTCAAAGATACCAAAGAAACGTTCCTTGTGCTGAACCAAGGGAGACACAAAGTCTTGATCGACTAAATACATATATAAGTCTTCTTTTTCATTAGACCATGTTAAACTTTACCCGATCCACTTTCATCAGCTGCACCATACAGTGTTTTGCTTGCTTCCAACAAATCAATCAAAATATCCAGATTTGCCTTTTTCAGAACTGCCACATTGGTTTCACGAATCTGCTTGAGCACTAACGGTACTACGATATCTACAATGTATTGGCATGCAGGGTCTGAAGCGGATGCAGCTGCACGTAAAATACGGCCCGTCTGTTTACTGTCTTTCATGTCTGGATCCTTCAGGGTCCCGATGCAATCGTCAATGAGTGGTTTCAAGGCCCTCTCAGTTGGTTCGCCGTCCTGGTTGGATAGGCCTGTGCTCAAGGCCCCTACAACGGACCGAATAGCAACGACGGCCGCATCCTCTAGACTATTATCTGTTGCGTGATATACCTCGAGTTTGAGTGATCTAAAGATATCATGTGTATGAGGCAAAAGTGAGGCTGCTCCATATACTGGCGCGCAGGCAGCCAATGTCTCCATTGAATCCTTTTTAGCGCTTCCTGATGTTGATGAAAGTTTCTCGAGTATTAAAGGAACAGCAAATTTGGCGAAATGTGGTGTGGATGCCAAACAACGTCTGTTGAAATTAAGTATCAACTGTTGTACCGCCTTGGTGTTCATGACTTACCTTAGGCTCACTTTTAAATCTTCAGCGGTGATACCATATGGATCATCTGGAGGTGGTTTAAAAGTGATGGGAAAGTAACAAAAGGTTACCTCGAATATATCCTAGTTGCTGTTATTTAACATTTCTATAGTATACAAGCGAATTTACCTCCACATGAGTCGAGATGTCAAATCGATCGACAATATCCTTTACAATCTTGAAAGCAAGCATCAAATTACGAGGATCTTTTTCACCATCGAGAATTTGAGTGAATCCAAAGATAAACTCATTGTTGATCGATCTGAGTGCACCTGCATGTTTTTCGATCAACCGATCCACAACTCTATAAGCCGCATTTCGTGTACTCTGAGGAAATGTCTGCACATCAACGCGCTCTATGATCCTATTGCCGTGGATTCATGCGCGTGTTAGTAGATAGAGAAAGAAATACAACAACTATAAACCTTTTGATGACTGAAACAGCATTACTGCTCGTAAAGTGAGAATAGCCTGATAAAGCAAATAATCCATCCAGTAAGCGTTGAACGCAGGTCTTGTCTGATAATCTATCACAATAAAAATCGACCAAGACAGAGACTGTGAAAAGTATTAGTGTATTTTTCTTTAGTTGGCATTGGTTACACTGTTACCAGCTGATTCGTTAATATCCTCTTGACGACATTCCATTAGACTAGCTGAGAGCAATCCCGTGGCTAAATTAGGAATATAAAGGAGTGTTGTAAGTATCCCTCTTTCCCCCCTTTTTTTTTCTTATAAAGGGTTATATTGTTACCTTTTTCACGAACGAAGCCATCGTCATTTGTCAAGTATTCGCCTAATGTTTGAATCAGTTGTAATAAATTTTCTTGAACAGAACCTTGATTGACATCTATCATGTGTAATTGTTATAAATTATGACAATAATAAATATATGAATTTTACATGAAGTGACTTGTTGAGTGGCTTCTATTGCTTCAGCAGAAGAAGTGTCGGTTGTGATCATATACTTTGTTACGTGCTTCTCCATTTTAGTGGATAAATAGATAACCTTTGCATCACACAGAGAACTTCTTTTGATAGATGTGACAGCGAAAATTATTGTGCAATTTTAACTTTATTGAAAGACAGAAAACATTACCAGTTATGGATACATGTTCTTTTTAGTTCTTTGTTTAAAGTTGATAATTCAACCACCAAACATATATCACGATTAGTAATGAGGGAAAGGTGACATAATAAAACCATGATTTCTGTTTCCATAACAACAAAAAAGTTGGTACAGTGATATTTACAGTGGTATATTTTCATGCAAACAGGGAGTAGGTTTCACAGTAAAAGGGAGTTCAAAAAAATGCTCCTTAACGAATATCAAAGTTGGATTAAACTTTATAATAAGCTCACACTGATCATACTCCCATGAAATAAGGAGAGATAATTTCTGTGTGGCCAACCTTTTGATTACCCCTTAAACTTGAGTTACTTTACACAGACTTTATATTCAATCATAAAACGTGTTTATAAACCTTGTTCTTCTTCTCCCCTTTTTCACTTTTAAACTTTCCTTTCTTCTTCTTTTCTCTTTCTTTTATGTTATAATAGTATGGCTCCCTTCATGACCAACATGACTAATAGTATTAATGACAACAATAACGACACAGAATTTCTTTTGGGATTAAACGCCGTACGTGAAAGATGCTATAAAGTACAAGAAGCAGCCAGTCGTAATCGTTTACAACACTTTGATATTGATCAATCAAAGCTGGATGAAATGGTTCAATATGTCATCTCTGTTATCAAGCGTGATTACGATAGTCCTTCTGATATTCCTGTCTATGGTCGATGGCGTCATTTTGATGTGGGTGGTAAGCCTCGTCTAAACCAACTCATTCAACAATGGGCTACCTTGGGCCTTGATAACATGGAGCAAACAAGAAAACTGATTGATATCCTTGTCATTGCCTGCCTTATGGATGTGAAGCCTTGCCAAACCTGGACTTATATCGAACAATCTACGGGTAGAGTGTTCAAACGAAAGGATGGCATCGCTATTGCTATACTAGACATGTTCCTCAAGGGAACCTTCTCCAGTGACCCTTCTCAGCCTCATCGAGTTGACTCTGAGGCTCTCAGTCAGTTAACCCTTGATACTTTACATAATGGTTTACAATTTAATGAAACAAACTCCTTTGTGGGTATTGAAGAGCGATATGACCTACTTGTCAACCTTGGCCATGCCCTAAAGAACCGTACAGACTATTTTGGAAAAGAAGCCGTTCGTAGACCGGGCAACATGATTGGTAAGTGTGTAAAAGCGTTAAAAAAAGGGAGGCCGTGCTGATTCCTTATATAGACTATCTGTTTGATCATCCTACAACGATCAAGACCAAAAAAGGTCCACTCATCAGTATCGAAACCATCTGGCCTGTTGTGCAAGAAATGGGAGAACTTTGGGCGTCGGAGGAAAACATTGGTGGCACGAAAGGATATGGCGATGTTTGGCCATGCGCAGCGCTACTCAACCCTAACCAAAGCAACCCAACAGGAACAGACCACTATGTGCCCTTTCACAAGTTGTCACAGTGGATCGTCTACTCTGTGATTGAACCAATGGAGAAGTTATTGGGAGCTACTATCGAAGGAACCGATTTGCTGACACCCCTTCCGGATTACTGTAATGGTGGTCTTCTGATTGATACTGGGTTTATTACACTGAAGCCTAAAGATTACGAACGTGGTATACAAAACTATCTTGCCAACTCATTACTCCCCTATCAACCCAAGATTGAAGTTGCTCCGATGTTTGATATGTCGGATCCTGTCGTCATCGAATGGCGTGCTCTGACGGTGGCCTATCTTGATTTGGTAGCAGAACGAGTTCGACAGACATTTAGATTAAGCAAAAAATTACTTTCACTTAGCCAACTTATTCAAGGTGGAACATGGAGTGCAGGCAGAGAATTGGCAGAGATATCAAGACCTAATACGCATGAACCTCCAATTGTGGTTAAATTGGACAAACGAGTCATTTATTAAGCCCGTTTTTTTTTTTTTTTCTTTTTTCTTTTTTTTTTTTATTGTGTTTATCACTGATAAAAAAATAAATAACAAAGTTTTCCTTTATATATAAAAAAAAAGAGATGACAATGACAAAATATGATATAAAATGCACACATTCAAGAATTGAAGTATTAAAAAATGTTGAGGGTTGGGTTTTTATCAAGACATGAACTGATGGCGTCCACCTCTTTCTCAGTGATTGTATGACATGCCAGGCTACATTGAGCTTTCCTTTTAAGATCATCACACAAGGCATCCAGGTTAAAGTCTGGCATTTCTTGTTGAATTTCTTGATGAAAGTCGTATAAATATTTGCCTTCTTCTTTAGCCTTTCTTAATTTTTCAATGAAACGTTGCTTCTTGTCGGCTGGTGATGCTATAGTAGGCACTTGTGGTAATCCAAATTGTTGTGCCATGTCAAGACCAAAGAGATCAACGTCACCAAATAGCCCGGATAGATCTTCATTCGGGAACAAAAAGTCATCGACTGCGGTTGTTGTTGTTGTTGTATTATTATTATTATTAGTATTAGTGTTTGGCATGCCATAATTTGTAAATAAGTCATCTTTTCCATGGATTAGCAAGTCGTTACCCACGGTGAGAGAAGCTTGATTGAACAAATTAGATTGGTCATCGATGAGACCGAACTGAATAGGTTCGATAGCACTAAATAAAGGTGTTTCATTATTATTGGACAGGGGTGACGCTTGCTCAGCAGATGAACTTGTACCATCTTCTGTGCCACTACCACTACTGCTGCTGCCACTACTACTGTTACTCCTACTGTTGCTACTAAAGCTATTGCCTCCATGACTTCCGGTGCTGTCACTTCTGTTGGGTGATAGCTGATGATGATTTTCTTTTGTTGTATGAACGGGAAATTGAAATGTAAATTGAGCTCCTTTTAATGCATAATTCTCTTCTTGCAGCTGTCTCAGCATTTCTTTTAGCTGCTGATTTTCTTTAATCAGGTCTTCATCTTTGGCAGCAGTCAGCGCTTCAAGCTCCGCAATGCGTGCTTTTAATTCCGCAACATGTTTCTCTTTTCGGTCTCGAAAGGCTCGTTGAGCCGCTCTGTTCTGTGCCTTTCTCTTTTGCTTAGGGTCTACTGGGCCATCCTGAAAAGATTAAAATTAGTATAAAAAAGGGAGATACCAGAGAAAATAAAGTATTACATTAGGTTGTGATTTCTCCTGCAAAGGCTTACGACCTGCTCTTTTAGGTGCAGTAGTCACTACTTGATCGACTAGAGTATATATAACACAAGGTTTTAATTATTTTTATTTTTTTTTTTTTTCCCATCGTTTTCCCTTTCATATTATTTACCTTTATCAAGATCTCTTTTGCCACTTGTTGCTTTTGTGTCATTATTTACACTTTCATCCTGATTAACTTTAAAGCATGACGTGTTAACATAAGGATGCTTATCTGAGGTTATTAAACCTAACCTTGATCATATATAGGATTGTTGACTTGATGACTAGCAATAGCGGCATTAAGCAAGCCTAGGCTTTTATCATTTAGATTGAATGGAAACAAATCGATAGCGCTGTTCGATGACATAGACATTTGGCCTTGCAATAAAAAAAACTAGATATAAAAGAGGGAGAGAAAATAACGGAAAGAAAAAGAACAGATTAATAATCCTTTTTTTTTACCCAAAAGGGTAGTTCAAGTCACATTTTAACTTTTTGATTTCATTGGTTAAAAAGCACCTGGGTGTTTCTCTCTCTTTTTTTTTTTTTTCTTTTTTTTTTCTTTGCTACCTTTCAAAATGGTTAAATTCTACCAACACGCATTTTCTTATGAGTAAGAAATAAAAAGAATAAAAGAGAGGACAGACAATAACATGTGTTCTAGTTATCCGTGGCAAAATGTTACTTTAGCCTTTTGGTTAAGGTACCCAAATCCATTCGCTTCTCACGGTAAATAAGCAAAAATAAGTAAGAAAAGACTGTTGTTGATAATTATTTAGTGCTTGCTGTGGATGTCTTGGATCGATATGTGGATGAGAATGGTATATTGAAAACAACAAGGCTTGTTCTCAAAAAGGGCAAGGCACCTAAATGGTTTCCTGAAAACGTAAAGTCAAACAACTACAATTTGCAAACAATAACTCAATGTTGTCAATATAGATCCTCAAGAACTCTGAAGCCTTTGTGATTGAAGAGTCTGAGGTTGATCCAAAGAATAAGACAATGATCACTCGTACAAAGAATTTGAACCATGTCAGAGTGATGCAAATTGAAGAAACACAGATATTTAAGCAACATGATCAAAATCCTGATTGGACATCTTGTAAAACAGAAGCTCGTATCATTTCTCGATTTGGCTGGGGATTAACTAGTAAGATCGAAGGATTTGGACAGAGTACCTTTATTGCCAATGCAGCCAAGGTATATATCTATTGTATTGTATTAATATATATAGCTCAATTGTCTTTCAATAGGCTCGTAAAGGAATGCAGCATATCCTTCAACGTATTCGTGATAAGCAAGCCTCGAGAGTTTCCTTCCTGCACCAACAACAACAAACTGTCTAAGATCAAAAAAAGATCAGTCCACAATTCTTTAAAATGTACTATTTATTGTATACACCACACCTCCTCTTCATTACATCCACCCTAACACTCAACTCTTTTGTTTCCTTATTCCCTCTTCTTCTCTCTTATCCTCCTTTGTACATACAATCTTTCACTTTAAAAAATAAAATAAAATGCAATTTTCGCTTTCTATACTAATCATGTGACACTTGTAACCTGTCAATTTTATAATAAACTTGACTGTGTAAAGACTATCCAAAGAACCGTTTAACAGGATATTTGTATAATATGAAGACTGTCAGCAAAACTTTTGATTCTAATACACAGGCTGATCGCTTGCAAAGTACAGTTTGTTCTCGTTCGGAAGCAATTGAGTTATTTTATCCGTTACCAAACTTTAATTGAAACCAATGGGAAATTAATGTCCCTTTTTGACTATTTTCATGCCACCATTTTTCATTTGAAATTAATGCATTTGGTCAAGCCACCCATTCTTCCATGATGACGTTGTTTATCATCACAGCATGGATATCCTTTCCTTGCTGGTTTATTCTCTGATCTATTGATCAAAGTAAAAGCTGAGTGAGTTTTATCATTGATAATATTGTTGTCATCTGATTCACTATCAGATTATAAAGTATTATTACGACTTATTAAGCATGTCAGTTGCCCTTATGCTAAAAGTTATCTATAGTGCTCCATTTCACTGGTGCTCTCATCATCAACAGTGTGATTGAAAGATGTAGTATCAGCGGCAACACATGTTGTCTCTTCGTTGCACCAACTGTGCATCCTATTCTTACTTTAACTCTTGATGAGCTTGTATAATCCTTCAAGTGATACGCCCTGAGATATTAGAGTGGGAAAATGTAAACCTCTCCTTAAGCATGCAGTGACTGTAGTGTGACTACTTTCTTTTTTAAAAATAAGCCAGCCAAGAGAGAAAAAAAAAAAGGTTTTATTCTTTATTATGGCTTCATTGGAATCATTTAAAGCACCTACATTAGTAAGCAAAAAGATTCAAAAAGAAATTCAAAAGGACGACGATGAGGATGATGTCTTGATCGATGCCAATGCTGTACCTTCCTCAACATCCGCTGATGCCGACATGGAAGATGCTGAAGACAAACCCAACTTTGCACCTGCCAGTGCTGTGGAAGAAAAGGTACTATTTTACAATATTTGAAGAAATATATATATATATATATATACTTATTGATGATTTGAATGCTTAGAAAGTGACCAAAGGTTCTCGTAAGATACCTATCCCTCCTCATCGTATGTCACCTTTAAAAAGACACTGGTTGGAAATCTATTCTCCTCTTGTTGAACATATGAAACTCCAAGTCAGGATGAATGTTAAGACCAAATCAGTCGAACTCAAAGTAAGCATTTATTTATAAAGTATGGCATGCATTTATCAACTCTGCATAATATAGACTTCAGACTTGACCGAAGATGATGGAGCATTACAAAAGGGAGCCGATTTTGTCAAGGCCTTTGCTTTGGGTTTTGAAGTAGAAGATGCCATGGCACTGTTAAGATTAGATGATATCTATTTGGATACTTTTGAAATCAAGGATGTAAAGACATTGCACGGTGATCACTTATCTCGTGCTATTGGTCGTATTGCAGGTAGAGACGGCAAAACCAAGTTTACGATTGAAAACGCAAGCAAAACAAGAATTGTCTTGGCTGATACGTAAGTCATGTGTGTGTGTTTTAAATAATAGTAAAACTAACTTTATCTCTATAGCAAAATCCATATTCTTGGCTCATTCCAAAATATCAAGATTGCACGAGACGCTGTTGTGAGTCTTATCTTGGGTAGTCCACCAGGCAAAGTGTACGCTACCCTTCGTACCATCTCTGCTCGCATGAAGGAACGCTTTTAGACTCTTTTCTCTTTTTGTATATTTCTTTTTTTTTTTTCCTTTGCATTAATAATCTCTTTGCAGTCATTTCTTTCTTTTCTTTTATTTTTTCAAGATAAAACTATCTATTAATCATCTCTTTTTGCTGTTGTTCTTGTTGATACTGTCTTCCTTGCTGATAGTCATATAATCTCAATAAATTTCTTTTCAGCATCGTCACTGTTACTTTACCTACAGCTGGGACGAAATAAGACGCTTTGGTAGTAACATTGCTTTCGAAATTAGCATATTCTGAGAAATTGATGGCTATAACCCCAGGCTTCAAAAGTGCTGTAGGAACTCGATAATGACGGAAAGGCACACCTGTGATGACTATATCTGATTGGGGTATGATCTGCTCTTGCCTAAAGGGTGTATCTTTCATTCCGGCGGGTGTAAACAACTGAACATCATTAGCATCAACTGAATAGACGACGGCGCCTTCATAAGCCAAAAGAGTCGCCAGGGGTTTACCCACCACATCACTTCGATTCATGATCGTCACTGTCTTGTTCTTGAGTCGCTGACCAAATTCCAAGTATGATTTGAACTCGCCAATATGCTCCAAAGTCTATATAGAGAGGGGAGAATAAGTTTCTCTCTTTCTGAGTCCCAGTTTCATTATTATATATTCTTGATCATTGTATGAACCTTGATAATAGCCAGGGGTGTACATGGCACAATATTTTTATCATAATGCCGCTTGTTTTCATAAATGTTTTGAATTGCTCTTTGACTTAGACCCTCCACATCCTTGAAATAGCTTACTTTATTCCGTATGGATGCATCCAGTGGATATCCAAAAACAGGATAATAAATCATCATTCCATGTATGTCTCTGCTCAGATTTGCTTTTACTATTTCATGTTCCAAGTCATGCTTATCCACCTGCATCAGCTTAAATTGTACGCCTGTCTCTTGACAGGTCCTGGCTGTCCATTCTGCGTATTTCTTGGATGCAGGGTCTTGGTTTGCTAATAGTCCAACGAGAGTAGGCTTTGATTTGTAATTCTCTATCCTTTGCTTTAGATATTGTCGAAAGGGTCTGGCGATTTCAGAAGCAAGGATTGTCTTACAGGTTGACATATCATGAATATGAACAACAGTTTTAAGAAAAAAAAAAAAAGTAAAATCTTGACAGCGGTCTCGGAAATGAGGAAAAAAAATCTGAGGTCGAATGTAGTGTGATTATAGGCGATACACTACTGAGGATTTACCAGAGAAATAATCAGATGAATATAAGAATTGAAATAAAGTTTGAAAAGTAAGAAAAAAGATATCAAAAAGTGCATGACATATCTATAAGACTTTAACCATAATGATTGGTTAATTCAAGTTTATCCGATAGCAATTAAATGATTGGCCGGGCATAGTTTACACCGTATCCCGAACATGATTGTGTAAGACAGATAGGTGCAACAACAAACACGCTTATATGATCGTTATGAATCAGCAGATGTGTGTGTGTGATATTTATTATCTATTCTAAGGGGCAGCAAAGATGATTTCAAATGGTATATATGTAAGAAAAATGCATACTTTTTTTTTGCTATCGGACCAGCCAGGACACAATGTGCAAGGTTCATTATTTTGATTTTTTGCCTCCCTGACGTTGAATTCGCTGTATGTCGGATTTACGTAAAGTCAAGGTAGCACCCTTCATTTTACCAACACCAGTTGTGATACCTGGATCACGATCTCTCTTCTTTGGTTTCGTTTTCACATAAAGATGCTTGAGTGATTTATGATAGATTCCAAGGTCCTTGGCTTCTTGCAGCTTTTCTAGATCACGGCGTTTATGTACCTCATTCACCTTTAACTTGAGTGGTAAGGGCATCTTTTCTTTGGGTGTAGGCTTTGCACCCAATGTTTCCAATTTCTGCAGGGTATGTCTTCGTCTTTCTTTTGATGTCATCTCTTCTCTTTCCAACTCTTCCAACAACTTTGAAGTTGCAAGTAACTGCTTTAATTCCACATCGTGTCGTTCATTCTCACTACTTGTATTTAATACAACATACCATAAACATTGTTATGACTTACGCTTCTTCTTCTAGTTCCTGAGGTGTCATCGCTGGTTGTTTCTGTTCAGGTTTGTCGGGTAGCGTAACTCTTGAATCCTAAGAAATGGTCAACATGACTCATCCATGACATATATTCCGTTATACTTGCCAGAAATCTTCTCTTCTCTGACTTGGCTTCAAATAAAGGCTTTCTTTCTAATATAGATCCGTCAAATACAACTACGGTGGGGCCATTGCTTTTAGATTCTTCCATTGTCTTTGTTTTTTTTTGTTTTGCATTAGAATCAGCTGTTGTCTTTCTCTTTTGATTCTTTTGAACAAGAGGATTATGAGCCGTGTTGGCCTTGATGTTGTTGATCAAACTGGCTAATGAAGACATTGAAGGGAGGGAAAAAAAATAAGCGTGTCATTAAAAAAAAGCCACTTTAGTCTTTTGCACGTCAATCGGACATTTAATTCTTAGTCTTATTGTCCAAGCGCATAAAATGAATGATTTCACTTATTGCGCGGATATAGGATTGATGCCGATCGAAACTCTCTTTTTTTGTTTACTTGCTTGTCATTTGAGGGGGGACGAAAGGTATATAAAACCCAGCTTTTCCTCTTTCTCTTTTTTTTTTGTTACTTTATCCCTATGACGCAAAATAAATACTTGGCATTATCTGCAGTGGCAGCCGCCACTCTCATTATTTACAAATTGTTATCCAAGGAACAAGATGACGAGAAATTGCCTCCGTTGGTAAAAGGTGCATTACCCTTCCTGGGTCATATCATTCAATTGCAGCGTAATCCTCGAAAATTCATTCAAGAAGCCAAAAGAGAGTATGGTCCATGTTTCCGATTGCGCATTCCCACTCAAGGCACTATCGTTGTTGTCACGAGTGAATTGATACCAGAAGTCATGAAAAATACCAAAAACTTTAGCTTTTCACAAGGTATTGAAAACATTGTGCCTACTGCTCAAGTCGTCCATTTATCCTATGACCATAAATACATTGCTGAAGAAATCAGTCCTAGAGCAAAGAACCCAGGTATAAACAGGAGGATATATAATCGCTGAATATACGCTGACTTCTTTCTCTCTACAGTTATTTATCCAATTAAACATAATTTTAAAGATGATCAAATCCATGTCTTCTCCACGCGCATTCAAACAGCCTTGAGAAAAGGATTACAAGAAGAGTTTGATATAGCACCAGGCGAAGAACGAGCTGTCAATATGCAAAAAAAGCTTGCTTATTTGGTTTCAAATATCTCTTGTCCCTGTTTTGCCGTGAGTAATATCAGCAAAGATAGAGAGTTTATCAAGGGCATGGCTGATTTTACCAACAAGATCATTCGTGCCGGTATATTGGTTACGCTGCTTCCAGGATGGCTCGGCAAGTTGCTCATGCGAAGTACGTTTTCTGTAGAGTACGAAATGGACCTCATCATGTCTCGACTCGTTCCTGAGCTAGAAAGGTTACGAAGCGAAGGCACTGACGGTATAGAACCCACATTTGCCACCATGGCAATGAACATGCCCAAGGAAGACGGTAGACTTCGCTCGGTGAAGGACGTCGCGTATTACTTTAAAGACATTGCCCTAGCGAGTATCCATACAACCTCTCATTTTGCCACGTTTGCTCTTCATGAACTGGCCAGTCGACCTCAACTGATGGAAGAGCTCAGGAAAGAAGTGAGCACTCTGGACGAATTGACTCCTGAGAGTGTAGCTGACTTAAAACTCATGGACTCATTCCTTCGTGAAGTGTTTAGATGCAATACTGATTATCTCGGCCTACATCACTTGACTCTTCGGGACACTTTTCTTTCCACCGGCCATTTGATACCCAAGGGCACTCTGGTGACACTCGCTATGGATGAAGCACACCAGGACCCTGCCCTGCTTGACATGCCTGACCTGGAAAACTTTAATGCGTACAGGTTCATGCGCAACGAAAACTTGAAATCAACCTCGACTGGAATCAACCATCTCTCATTTGGACTTGGCTCTCACCGTTGTCCAGGCAGATTCTTTGCCGTCAAGGAACTCAAACTGCTCATTGCAGAAATGATTATGAGATACGATGTTAAAACAAGAACAGGAAAACGGGCAGAAGACTTTGTACTCTTGGGTATGACCAAATTTCCACCAAGGGAGCCACTGATTGTGACCAACAGAAAAGTTTAATATTATTAAATAACCATGATACTATTCAAATTTTCATTGATGATAATATCTGATACTGCTACCATCACATTTTGTAATAAATGAGTATCCGTTGCGTCTGTAAAATGAACATAGATTCTCTTGTCTGGATTTCTGTTTAGCCTTTGAAACCTCTGCTTGAAGTAGTTTTTAGCTGTATCCAAGTTATGAACATGACCTAATCTAGGGATGAGCATGCAAGAAAAAGCATAGAGTGATACTTACCTTGGTAATCAGGAAAGTAATGTTCGATAGGTGAATAGTTTATCTTTTTCTTAAAAATATCAATCTTGTTTAGTAGTAAGATCATGGATGTCTTTATGAACCAGTGTGAATTACATGTTGTATCAAACAGCATAAGTGCTTCATGCATCTAAGTTCTACTTTAGTTATTTTCTTTTTTTTTTTTTTTCTTATAAAACATTACTTGATTCTATAAACAGAATAAGTCTTTTTTATTCTAAAACTTACAGATCCCTTCTTACCGATGCTCTATCCTCTGCTAAACATTGATCGTAACCACTTATAGCCACCACAAATAAAATAGCTGTAACGTTATCAAAGCAATGTATCCTAGGTAACGTTTAATAAGTTCCGAATTTAATTTTTTTTTTTTTTTGCGCGCAAACATGGCATACCACTTCTTTCTTTCGCTTCTTTGTCCACCCACATCAAACATGCGATAAGTCAGATTACCGAGATGAAATGTGGTCTCCACTATACCCGTCGTCTTTGCTCTACACCGAATGATGTCTTGATCTGATGGCTTATAGCCCGGGCTCCAGAGATTATCTATCTGATCATAAAAGCTTGCAAAACCATGAGAATATGCTCATGTTTTTTTTTTGGGGAATACTTACTATGATATATTATCGTGTAATGCAAACATATTTCCCTTTTGATACGCAGTTTGTATACTCTCATTCTTCCAGAGTGATTTGAGTGGTTGAAGATATAGCTCGGGAAAAGGTTGATTTTCTTCTAATGAAGGCGTTTGTTTGAATAATTTTGTATACTCTCTTAGCACAGGATCGTCCAATGGTAAATTTAATACTTCTAATGCTTCTAATAATGTTTGCATAGTTGAAAATACATTTAAAAATACAATGACTCTAAATCCCTCTCGTTCACTCGCTTTGAATCCAGAGGCGTGAATCAATCTCATCTGTTTGATCACTGTTGATTTTCCAGATTCTCCCGCACCTATAATTTTCTTTCTTAGCCTTCTCTCTGTTTTTTCTTATGGTATTTATTACCTAGCAACAAGAGTTTCACTTCCCTCTTCATTCTCTTTTGATCAGCCTTTAATTGTCTGTCGATGCTTTTACTAATACTTGTTCCATTTTGTTTGTCTCCTTTTAGACTACTTTTAAAATTGCCCATCCAAAATAATAATAATAATAATAATGAAATATGTAAAAAAAAGAAAAAAGAAATCTGCATGTAATTATTTTTCAAATGTTACTTATTTGTCGTTGTACCTCATGGCAAAATGAATCACAGTAACACAGTTACATTAGAGTTTATTGTCAACGTTTTCTTTGTTCTTTCTTTTTTTCTTTATTTGTCAAATCTCTCCTTCTTTTATTCAATCATTTCTTGTATGATATTCCATGTTTTCCTCCACTGAAGTGATGTATAATCTGTAATAGGGCCTTCTAAACCAAATGAAATGGGTGCAAAATGTATAAAGGTACCAATGACTGCAACATAGACGGGAATAAATACCATCCATTGTACTCTCTGACTTGCATTTTGTGTGAAATGGTCCATGAGGAATGGAACCATTAGAATACTAAAATAGAGGGCTGGAAAATAGTGATGCAGATAAGTAACACGGCCCATGATGAAGAAGGGAACATAGTGAAAGAACCATCCAAGGAATAATGTCTTGCCCACATAAAAGAAATGGTCCCACTGAGCTATATATAATGAAAGTACTTTCAAATGTCAATTCAATAACATAGTGTTATAACTTACCATTCGTCAAATCAAATATCTTTCGTTGCATGCGGATCACATAGAATCCCGTTGTTAAACAAAATGCAACGATGGCACCAATAGATAGCCACCAGACAATGGGATTACCCAACAAGTAATACTTGACCTGATTATCACCCCAACCACACATACGAAGTCCTACGGTCACCAATGGCCATTCTGAGGGTTCAGAAGACAAAATGTCTAATTTGTCAGGATCTGGCGTGAGTGCGTTATTGGATGTCCACATGGCTACATTCAAAGCAATAAAATCGCGCCAGAAAGGCGACTTGTAGGCACTGCGAGGTGCTGACGGTAGTTTATAATTCCAGTGCTGTTCAACGTTCCACATGGAATGTGGGTTATTTGTCTCATTGCGCTTGTCGCAGTATACTTCAGTTTGCTTAAATCCCCACTGAGGTAAAACACTATTGTCTGCTGTCAATAGACATCCTAATTTCTCATGACGAAGTCTGAATCGTGTTGTCAATGATCGAATGCGTTCCTTGTTGCCGTAAACAAAGTCATCGACGATTTCAACAATCCAGTTATCCTGCACATCACCAATCGTTTCATTACCATATCCACTGACTTCCCACTGACTATCAGTGACAGGCGCGTTCACAGGATGGCTGTGTAAGTTACGGCCAGTAGACATGTGTGCCAGACGAACGATATCACCATCCTTAATGAACCTCACAAAATGTTCGTTCTCGGGTTGGTCGTATTCTTCATTGCTTCCATAGTCGCGTGGAGGACGAATGGTCCAGTTGTTGTTGTCATCCTTGTGGTGATAGCAGGTCACTTGTTGCTGCTTTGATCCTTCAGGATATGTCTGAACATGTGAGTGGAGTAGACCTCCTCCAAAACCAGCGTTTTTGATCGTCAGATTAGAACCATAGGCAACCTCGAGTGGGTTATCGGCCATTGAATTGCCTTGTAAGTTTGCTTGAAACAGAGAACTCATTTGCGCATCGCCAGGCCCACTTCTATACAAAAGTGCAAAGTGCAAGATAAACGACATGATATAGATCGAGAATGGAAGCATAATCAAGCAGGCAATACGCGCAAGCCAATGATGCATATATGTCTTGTATGGCATACGAAGATCGCCCCACATAGTCCAAAGGTCTTCAATCGTATAAACGCCTACAAGTGCAACAGCAAATAAACCTACCCACTTGACACTCAACACACAACCTAGGGATGCGCCTGTCAACCCAAGCCATGCCCACCACTTGGCGGAAAATGGTCTAGTGATTGGGTTACTATATAATCTACCTTATTCTATCTGTTCCTTACATATGACGTAAATTGTGGAATACTGAAAGTGTATAAAGTGATGTACAAGTAAAGAATAACAACATGGAATCTAGCAAGATGAAACGACTGATGGTAAGATATGCATTATCTAGAAAAGGAATAAGTACAACACCTTGTTTACTATTGTCATCTTCTTACCCAGTAGAACCATAGTGGCAGCCAGTAAGGAAGCCTTGAGAGACATTCTCAATTGAAGAGCAGTCAAGTAAGCAATAGGAACCATCATAGCACCAAAAAAGGCATTGAATATACGCATGACAGTGTAATTGACGTGTTCAGGATATACAGCACCAGATTCGAATGAAAACGATCCATCATATCCTGCTAACCATCCAGATAACCCAACAAGGATCTTACCGAGAGGTGGATGAACATCAAAATAAAAGTCATGGTTTAAATAATGAGATCCAAACTATGACAAGTTAGATACATATATAATATACAATTCATAAACCCTTTTACTTTGCCAAAGTGAGCTTCGTCCCAGACAACCGTGTTACTGAGTGAAATCTTTCTGAATCGTGTCCAAAAGGATAAGAGAGTTAATGTGAACGTGATTATGGCATGCTTATGTTTTTGTAAAAAGGCGACATGCTAAATGGGAAATTATAGATTAATATACATTTATAAAAAATAGTTATTCTACCTTATTAGAAGAATAAGTAACAGGTGAAGGTGGTGGATGGTAAGCTTTATGTATTTTATCCTTTTCATCGTCTAATACACTGAACGAAGGCTGTTTCTCTATTCCCTGAGGAATATTCCTTCTCTTCATGGTAGCCATCTTGGCAAAAGAAAACAAGAAAGAGAGAGAGAAAGAAAGAAAGGGGATTAATTGGACCCTAATTACACGTACTCAGTAAACCCCGCTTGAATGGCATTACTGTCAATTTAAACACGATTATTCTCTCTTTTTTTTTTCTTTTGATACAATATCATTTATAGGACATGTATCTAACATTCTCTTTTTTCAGTAAAACAGATTGACTGACTATCTTCTTGGTAAAGCACATCTCATGTTATAAAAACATTCCAGTTGTTATCCCTTATTTTCATTCTCTCTCTCTTTCTCTGCTTCATATCACGAGCCTTTATTTTAATCGGATCATAAATAACAATAACACACTTAACACACTAACACACTATTATGTACTGGAATTAGAAAAAAAAAAATGCAACATCACATTATTTGACTGCCTTTTTAATGCTTTTTTTCCGAATCGAACATCGAACCTGCGCGACAAGCACTTGGTTCCTGAAAGTGCATGAGCTTTCTTTCCTTTCTTTTCGAATATAAACATTTCCCCTTTTCTCCTCGCATTAAGCGTTTCTTTTCTTTACTCATCGTATAAACTTTTTGAAATAATTTAGTATGAATAATGTTTCTTTTGATTCGAATATGTCTGCTAACATTGTCGCTCATTAGAACAATGGAAAACAATACTTCTAGAACAACTATATGCTCCTCCTGTGTTGCGACATTACCAACAGATTAACGCTATCGCACCTGCCAAACGTGTAGAGAAAGAGTTGCAGAATCACGCCGCAGACGTTGAGCTGAACAAGAAGAGCAGGAAGGCAGCCCAGTAAGACGTAGGGGAAGACCTAGATTAGAACCTTCTCAGATCATTCCCGCTGCTTATATCTCGCAGCTTTCTCGTCTTCGTTCTTCGGACCTTGGACGTATAGACAAGGAATGCTCACACTGCCACGCCTCGCACTGGATCGATGAAAGGCAAGAGACATCTTCGATGAGAAATCCCAGCTGGGAGTCATGCTGCAAGCAGGGATCAGTCCAGTTGCAACTCTTACCTGATCCACCTGAGTACTTGAAGGACTTGCTTGAACGTACGGACACTCAAGACCGTCACTTTAAGGATAACCTTCGCCAGTGCAACGCTGCCTTTGCCTTTACTTCGTTGGGCTGCGATATTGTTTCGCCTGAGGATCGTGCCAACAACAACAATAACAATAACAATAACAAGAGAGGTGGATTAAACGCCTTTCAAATCCATAGCGCACTTTGCCACCGTCAAGGCTCTTTGACTCCAGTTGAAGGCAATGAGCCTTCCTACGTCCAGCTATATATATTTGATCCTTCCTATGCCGCTGAAAGAAGACAAGCACGAAACAGCAACCTTGATCCTGAGATCGTTAGGGAGCTTTCGGTCATGCTTGCTCAATGTAACCAATTTGCGCGTATATATCGCTATGCACACGAGATATTGAGCAACCATGAGAGCAGCAACACTGTCAGTAATGGTAATGATCAAAGAGAAGTCAGTGTGCCGTACATCATTATCAGCCCATCAATGAGAATGCGCTTAATTGAAGGAAGCGATAGACGCACTCACAACCCTCCAACAATGGAAGAGATTGCTGCTGTTATACCAATCGAGTATAGTGACAGAGGTTTCCGTGATATTGTTCTTACCTTGAGAAGCAATAACAGTCTTCGTTAAAACGCTGAATTTGAGTAGCACTTTCAGCGTATCATCCAGGCGCATGCTGCATACATGCCAACACACTATGTGCTTTTATTTCCTCATGGAACATATGGATGGCATTGGGTCCTGCAACTTTCATTGCCAATTGTCAACATTAGTATTCCTTCTACTACTACTACTACCGTCGAAGATCATTTTCCTATACGAGAAAGGGACAGATTACCTCAACGCGCATATTACAGATTTAGATTGCATTTAAGAGGAGAGCACGAATTTCCTGCTATCTTTTATGCTAAAAGACTTTTTCAACAATTCCTGGTGGATGCTTGGGCCATCTGTGACCAGAACAAGCTTGACTGGATTCGTCAGTACCAGGATAGGCTCCGTACTTATGTGTACAGTGGTATAGCTGATGCTATTGTTGAAGACGATCAAATCAATGCGGCTGGCCTGGGCCGTCGATTCATTTTCCTAAGTAGCTTCCATGGCGGCCCTCGGTTCATGGCCCAATTGTATTATGATTCTATGGCCATTGTTCGTCATTTTGGGAAGCCATCTTTGTTTATCACCTTTATGGCCAATCCCAAGTGGGCAGAAATCATCAATGAGTTCCTCCCTGGTCAAGTTGCCTTTGACAGACCCGACTTGATAGCGAAAGTGTTCAACTTGAAAGTTCGTCACTTTTTAAACGACTTGAAAAAGAAGAATATCTTTGGTCGATATAAGGGATTAGTTCGTACTATTAAGTACCAAAAACGAGGTTTGCCTCACATGCACCACTTATTGTTCTTAGATCCTGAAGATAGTTTTCACGATGCTGACAAAGTTGAGGAGATTATCTGCGCAGAAATCTCTGATAAGACGAACGATCCAGAGCTGTTTGAAATTGTAACCTCCTGCATGTTACATAGCCCATGTGGTGAAATTAATCCTGGCAGTCCATGTATGGTACAGGGTGCACAAAGGCTAATGATTTGCTCGAAGCGGTTTCCAAAACCATTTCAGGATGAGACCACCTTCCCTGAGAATGGCTATTCTTTTTATCGTCGTAGGCGGATTGCAGCAGAGGAGTAAACCAATTTCTTTTACTCAGTCAGGCCACGCGGAAGAGTAGGTGCTGAATTTGTTATGGATAACCGTTGGGTGGTTCCATGCAATCCATACTTTACAAAGAAATACAAAGCACATATAAGTTGAAGTCTGTACTGGTGCCGAAGCAGTCAAGTATATAAACAAATATGTCTACAAAGGATCGGACAGAACCACGTTGGAGATCGAGGACACACAGGATGAAATCAAAAAATACCTTCACTCAAGGTATATTGGGCCCTCTGAAGCTGTGTGGGACCTCTTTCAATTCAAGACGCATGAGGAAAATCCCACAGTAATTAGTCTGCAGGTACATTTACCGGGTCAGCAAGCTGTCTATTTCCCTTCTGAGGCATCAGTAGCAGAGATTTCAAGAATTCTTGAAAGAAATATGACAACCCTAATGGCTTTCTTTGACTATAATGCAAGAAACGAAGATGGTAGACAATATCTCTACCAGGAGTCCCTCAGCATTTTGTCTTTGACGAAAGAAGAAAGAAATGGCACCCTCGCCAACGAGGCTTTGCCATTGGCAGAATGTACCACTGCAGTCCTATCGCAGGAGAGAGGTATTACCTTCGTCTTTTGCTGACTAGCGTCCGTGGCCCCAAGTCTTTTGAGGACATAAGAACGGTCAATGGTGTGTTGCGCCCGACGTTCAGAGAAGCTTGCGTCGCTCTGCACTTGATCGAGGATGATCGTGAGTGGGATCGATGCTTTGCAGAGGCAAGACTTTTTGCTACAGGCGCAAACCTACGGAGGTTATTCGTCACTGCACTGTTTCAAGGTCAGTTAAACAATCCTTTGACACTCTGAGAGCGTTACTGCAGCGACATGTGCAACGACCTTGCGAACAGGCTGTTAAGCCTTTTAGGGGATAATTTTACATCCCAAATCCTTAACCAAGCTTCTTATTATAACGACAGCCCTGCGATAGACTACGGCCTATACTTGGTTAATGACAAATTAGAAACGGATGGTAAAAGCCTCCAGCTCTTCAATCTGCCCGAGCCACTCTGTGATTGGAATTCCATATTTCCTCAAGCTCGCGATGGTAGGCAAAGAGAGACCAACCCGCTCATCCGGAATGCTTTAAACTTTAACCCTGAAGAGGCATTACAGCAATTTAATAGCATGTACAATCAACTCAATGAGCAACAAAAGAACGTCTTTGATGTCATCGTCAACAAAATTGAATCTGATCCGCTTAACAGTCAATTCTTCCTGCAAGGCCCCGCTGGTACTGGCAAGACGTTTGTCTACAACACTCTCTGTAACTATTACAAGAGTAGAAACGAAGTTGTTCTTTGTGTCGCCTCTTCTGGCATTGCTGCTCTTCTTCTGCCTAACGGCCAGGCATCCCATTCATTGTTCAAGATTCCTTTGCTCATAGATGAATGCTCCACATGCAGCATCCGAAAGGATAGCCATCTTGCTGGGCTCATCCAGAGAACAAAGATGATCATTTGGGATGAAGTGCCAATGCAGAACAAGTATTGCTTCGAAGCCGTACATCGTACCCTTCAGGATATTTGTGAAGATGTAGAGGATTTGAACCTCTTTGGTAGTAAGCCAGTTGTCCTGGATGGTGACTTTGCACAGATTCCTCCTGTATTCCGAAGGAGTAACAGAGCTGACACCGTCAGTGCTTCCATTAGACAACCATTTTTTTGGCCAAGGCTTCATCTCTTGAGACTCGCCCAGAATATGCGCCTAACAAGTCTTTTGAATGAAAATGACACTGCATTTGCAAGATTTTTGGCAGACATGTCCTACAACAGTAACCTTCAAGGCAATATCGTCCTTCCTTCATTCATTCACCAGACCACTCAATTAGCTGAATTCATCAGTAGAATATACAGAGATGAAGATATTCGAAGACCTAATTTGAGTAGTCAAGCGTACTTTGGTGAAAGGGCAATCTTAGCCAGTCGTAATGATACGGTGGATACCATCAATATGGCTGTGCTCGAAAAGATGCCTGGTGAGAAAGTTACGCTTTTATCAACTGATTCTGCTGATATCAACGATGCTGATGGCCTGCACACCATCCCTGCAGAATATCTTCAAAGCCTTAACCCCTCCGGCCTGCCTCCTTCACAGCTGGAGCTAAAGGTCGGTGCACCGGTTATGCTTTTACGAAACATTGACCCAGAAAGAGGTCTTTGTAACGGAACGAGGCTAATCGTAATGCGTATTGGTCAGTATATGCTTAGGGCTCGCCTGGCCAACAAACCTGATGCTCCAATAGAGCTCATCCCACGATTTACTCTGTCGACCCTAGAAGGCAATATACCATTTATACTCACCAGGAAACAAGTTTCTGTAAAACTATGCTTCACTATGACAATCAGTAAGCCCCAAGGCCAATCATTAAAGTATGTAGGAGTTGACTTGCGGCGTCCGCCGTTTATGTATGGCCAGCTATATGTCGCTCTTTCAAGAGTTACCTCTCTTTCTGGCATCTCAGTCCTTCTGCCAAAAAGCTCAAATACAACCAACAATGTTGTCTACCCAGAGTTGTTACTTCACTAATATATTAATATATCCATCTATGTAACACATCATATGATCACCAAACAAACTTATGCTCACAATTATGAATGCTTTATGACTATGCTATTCTTTTCAACACATAAACCTTTACGAATAATATTATTAAAATATATGCTCTCTATTATGAATAAATAATTTTATGAAACCATGTATGCAGTACTATTGCATCAATAAATAAGCATGCAGAGAGGAGTTGGAGTATGTTGTTAGGCGCACAAAAGTTCAAATTTAGTCATTCGCTTAAAGGGTCGTATTAACATTTGCCCTTACTCATCACAAAGGGCGAAGCTCTTAAGCCTGCGACAGCACGATGACGTGCAAAAACGAGCGTAGCGAGTTGGAAGCGGCTAATATTATAGATTGAAATAGGAATATTTAAACCGAAGCTCATAAAAGACAACCTTAACACCATTCGCAATCTGACTGGTTGAATAAAAGTATATTTGTGAGTAAAGCCTAAAGAAGAGGCAACACACATCCTTCAAGCTATACTTATAATAGAGATTATCTTCTGTCATTGTATTCACTGAGTTGTTTGATTCCACGCTAAAGTCGATACCAAATGTTACGACAGCATAAGTTTATTGGACCTGAGAAAAGGACGTGATTTTATTGATTAAATGAATTTTGGCAAATGAACAACAATAATCTATTTCACTTTTTGCTCTTCTTTTTGCTTCAAATGAAAAGACATTCTACATCATCCAGCTCAGAGAGAGCTTCAAAAGGTGTAAAGCTAGAGTCTTGATTAATCAAAGAATATCACTTGTTACTCTATCGCCTGCCCTCAAAAGGGCATATAAATGTCTTGAATATACTTTGAACCAATATGAAAATAAACGCTCTCAACATCACTTTTTCAATGTTCGGCGCCTTCCTCTCCCAAGATTGTTTATTATTTTACCAAAGCCGTCAGTACACTGGCGATTTGTGACCATTAGTGCAAATACACTCTCTGTTTTTGTGAGGGAACAATTACCAAGGGGTTATGTTAGTCAACTTGAATTGTTTCAAAGAGTATTCAATTTTAGTGTATTGAAGAACGTGTATAAAAGGTAGAAACATTTTATTGGAATACAATTAAGAAAAATGTATGAACTAACTTTGGCTATGTATAGAATGGAAGAATTGATACCCAATGGAGAAAATAAAGTATTATTTGGCAGCATTGTCAGATCTGGTGGATTTTGCATAGATTTCATATTTTACAAAGGACATCTGACGAAAACGGAGATGATACCTTGATACAAAACCATGACTTGGGTGCTGATGACTTTTCAATAGAAGAAGCTACTTAATTATATAGGACAATTTTTCTAGACTCTGGTAGAAAAACAGTCTACACGGCTACTATGGGTTTAGATGAAAACAAACATGAAATAAGGCGCTGTACTACGAAGGAGTATTATCATTTAACAGGTTCCACAGTGTATGCAAAGAAGTTGCAACAAGAGAAGGACACAGCTACACCTACAGCGAAAATTACTAGAAATATCTCTTTTCTACGATTTGCAGATCATATGCTTTCAAAAATGGAGAGGCTGTTCACTTTTTATGGCTTTAGTACTGCTAAATATCGGCTTAATCTATACCAAGTCAAACAAAAAGCTCCTGAAATGGCGGTCAATATGTTATTAAACGGCGGTGCTAAGTACAATAGGAAGAATCGTTTTAAAAAGAAGAACAAAAAAGAAAAAAAAGAAGCGATTGCAAAAATATGAAAAGAAGAAAGGAAAAAATAGGCAACAACAGTACAGAAGGTAAATTTATAACTACAGTTTTATGTGTTTGTATAAACCTACTCATTTTATATACTTTACTAGGAGAAATAAATGGAAACCTTTAAGAAGACAGGTCCAAAGCTCCACCTGTTGTCTTTGGGAATGGTATGTTCGGAAAGGACATAGTGAAATTGAAAGGCTTACATTGCAGTGTGGCTGGTATCATGTGGTACTGTTTGAAAAAGAGAGAAGCTGCTAGTGGCCTTGTTTTGCCAATTGATGAGTTCAAAGCCTCGAGAAATTGTTGTCGTTGTGAGACTGATTCTTTGGACAGTGTGAGTAACGTCAAAAGCGATAGTGTACTTGTCTGTAAAACATGTAATACACTATGTCAACGCGATGTCAACGCTGCAAAGAATATGATGAAAATCTCATTAGCAATCTGGAAAGGCTTGGCTAGGTTTGAAGCTTATTCCAGAGGCTAGACACATATTCAATTGGCAAATCGCCGTATTAAACACGATTTTCCTTGAAAAAGAAATTTAGATCATTACAGGTAAAAGAAAAAGTCTGAATAATTATCTTTATTAGTCTCAAAACCAACTTCACTTCTTCTGAATTTCCTTTTATGGTTTACCCAAAAAGGTAAGCAGAGTGTTTAAATACACTATTACCAGAAAAAGATGTCGCGCTAACTTGTCGCTTTTTCGTATAAATTGTATTATAAAAATTGCGAAAATGCGCCTTTACTTTCTGAAAAGACTGTAACTAATATCGTCTTAATTTGAAGTAGAAACACTGTAACAATGAATTATGCTACAAAGCAATATGTGCCATTATTAAAAAGAGCCAACATGTGACGTGTCTCTATTTGTCATAAAAGATATATCTCTCTCTCTGCTTGAGCTAATATGTAAAAGCTTGCCATGGCTTCTTAGATTACTGTTCAAAGCACACTAGGAATCTCTTTGTCTCTGTCTTTCAATGATTACTATAGAATACGCAGACTAAAAGGAGTGTCTTTAGTCATACGGGGTGTCTTGTTTTTTCTTGGATTGAGCATGATGGCCAAGAAAATTTTTGCTCCCCTGACATCTTTTGTACTAAAACGCTGTATATTATATTATATTTGCATTATTACATCATAGAAATACATTCTATTGATAAATGCCAAAGGCATGGACACTTGTCTGGTCAATTTCTATAATTAGAGCTTGCCACACATTAAATGGATAATGAAGATCTTTCTTTTGAGTATTGCCAAGTATCTTAAAGATGTGATAAGCCTTATAAAGAGGGGACATATAGTATGACTCAAAAGGGCAGTGATCCTATTAAATTACGAGCATCAACCTTTATTAAAGAATTGGTTGTCACCCGTAACTGATCTTTAAACTCTTGATAATCTTCCTCCTTTCATTATGTGTGTGTGAGATCCATTCTGAAAACAAAAAAATAATGATCAGCAAGCTCCCCCCTCAAAAAAAGTCAAGCTTGTTTTGTAATCGCTCCTTGGCTACTTTAATTGTTTGTTAAAGAGGAAACATCTTTTTTATAAAGATTCTAGGTCTATTTTTAAAAAAAATGCAACCTCTATTTTTGAATCTGCGACATGATCATTTAAAAATACAAATGTCCTAAAGTTACACGAAATAAATAAGTAAAAAAAGAAAAGAATGAACATAAAGAAACCAAGACATGATTTTCTTAAAGGTAATTTTCAATTGTGAAATATGTACAAAAAAGGGACAAGAGATTTTATTATTTGCTGTTGTTTGAAAAAAAATATAAAAATACAAAAAAAGGGAGTTTTATTATTATTATTATCTTAATTTTATTTATTTATTTTTCTTTCTTCTTTTTTTTTTTTCCTTTCTTTGAAAGTCATGATTTTTGATCGATATCGCAATAAATCAAAAAGAACAGAAGAAAAGACACCAAAGAAATCAATTTCGAGTAGTAGCTTAGCCAATGCTTTATTTAAGCGATTTCCTATTCAACTCTCAAGGAAGCCTAAACATCATGTATCAGATAATGATAAAACACTATTAAATCAACCGAGACCATCTGTATCGTTACCAAATATAAATATAATTCCAAAAACGAATAATGATCCCATTCTATCCAAGTCAACAACTACTTTACCTTTGAGACAACGTAAAAGACATTCTGCTGAACAACATAATACCCTTCGTCGTACTCGTCAGCAGTTATCTTCTCTAAAAGATAACCATGTTCGTCATTCTTTTACATTTGGTCACTTGTCTCAAATGAACCAACAAACAATCACTTTGGCAGATCTCACTCTAGATCCGAAACAACGTGCTAAACTGGATAAATTAACCTTGTCTTTCGAGGACCCTCAGACATTATTATCTAAAGTAGGCACTGGACCACTCACCCCTCACCGCTCCATTAGTCATCAGCATCTTCATGTCCAGACCAGTCATACCTCACTCAACCGTACTCATTCGGAGTCACACGCAAAAACACTCGGTGTTGCCATTCAGCCTGAGGAACTGGTTCGTCTATTGGAAGAGGATTCATCCAGTGTGGTTACCTTGATTGATGTACGAAACCTGATGGATTATCAAAAACGAAGAATTTGTGGCTCCATTAATGTCAATTTACCTTCACTACTCGTTAAACGCTATCGACGAGGTACTGTTTCCAATTTTAACCTGGAAAACTTTATTACCACAGCAGAAGGAAGGGATTTGTATCAACTCAAACAGATTCCAGAGAATGAAGACAAAAAAAAGGTGTGGGTGGTTTATGATGAAGAGATGCTCGAAGACGATCAGACATCACAGGCATGGACACTGGTGAAAGTGCTTGAAAAATCAATTCAAAATGAAGGAAAGGCTTATTATTTGGCAGGCGGATTTAATGCATTTCATCATGAAGATTGGATAGAATCTAATCAATCTAGTGCTGGCACTGTTATTTATAATAATAATAATAATCAACATCATACTATGCATAATACTAATAACATCAACATCAACATCAACAATCATAACAACACTTGTTTGAAGCTTAACAATATACCAAGACGATCTGTTAGCTACACAATTGGCGACTCGAAAAATCACAAACGCACTAGTCTTTTCAGCCTAGATACCCAAGCTGCTCGTGTCAACAATGCAAACGCTTTGGCCAGAAGAGCAAAACGAAGATCTGAATTACAACAACAGGAGCAACAACTCGACGTGATTCAGCCTCAACCTAATCTCAATCGTGTCGCTGAAGATGATGAGTCGAGTATGATGACTGCCTCGCCAAGGACTGAAGCTGAATTTGGGTTCATCATTTCTGAAATCATACGGGGATTCCTGTATGTTGGGCCTGAAATTGAAACAAAGGAACAAGCAGATCAACTGGAAGCACGCAATATCAAACGGGTTTTAAATATGGCAGAAGAGTGCCAGGATGAAGGCTTGGGTCGTAATGTCATTTATCACAAAATTGCAGCCAGAGATACAGTGGAGATGAAAAATATTGAGCTTGTCATGATGCAAGCTGTTCATTTTATTGGTAAATACAAAAAGAAATGGAATGACAGTTTACTTATTTTCTTGTTTAGAGGAAGCAAAGAAGAACCATGAGCCCATTTATGTTCACTGTAAAGCTGGAAAATCACGTTCAATCACGGCTATCTTGGCTTATCTTGTTACTTCAGAAAGATGGACCTTGAAACAAGCCTATCGTCATGTTATTAAGGCTAGACCTACGATGTCACCCAATATTGGATTTATAACAGAACTTATGAAGATGGAGAATAGAGTTCACGGCAGAGTGAGTAGCTTTTTAGAAACAGATTGGCAATCTAGTGCTTTACCAAGTCCTGAATATGCGAGTGAGCTGTTTCAATTAGAAAAGGCATGGCAAGATAGTAGTAGCACTCTTCTCATTTCTTCTGAATAAAATATATATATATTTATTATCAACATTCATTATATCGACGCTGTCATCTAGCTGCATGCATACACAATCATTACTTTCTTTTTATTACGCTATTTACGAACGTTACTGGGACACTGTTTGAAAATACAATTTATGCTTTTTGTCGATTCTAAAGCCAAACGAAATTTCAGGAAAACACGTTTCTTCAGTGTTGCTTTGTTACCATAATATTGGTTTAATATGTCTTCCACCATAGCTCTTGTAGTGAAGCGTATCCATTATTCTTAAATGACGTAGGATCGACTTGCGAAAAGCATTAACGACATAGACATACAGCTCTGGGCCCTCTTGCTTAGAGAAAGTCCTGCATGGCGAACATTATCACCAGGACCGAAAAGAATAAAAGCAAAGACAAGAACATCTTCACCCAACGCGATATCATACATTACCATGCCAAGTTTTTCAAGAACAAGCAAGCCTTCCGCTGCATTCAACTTTGTGTGAGTACAAATGAAAAACAGGTTATCATATTTGTTTTGTTTTTTATAGATGATCTGTGGGTTTGGTCATGTAAAGGCCCACTGTCGCACCAGTTGATTATGAACACCTTGTTTGTCAACATTGAATTTCAGAATAGCAGTTCTGAAACGCTTTTGATAATCGAAAACACGGATCAACACTGGAAGATCAGTTAGAGGATTGACACTTATTATACGGATTTGTAATTATTATTGTGATTGCTCAGTTTATGTTACTGAGCTTTTGTTATTGATGTGTAGACACTGCTTATTGATCCTTATTCAACGTAGAATATGACAGTAACCTATCGAATTCAGGCACAATTGCTTATAATTCATTCCTAAAGATTTAACCGACTTGGCGTAGCTCTTTAAGTATGTCAAAACATGACAATCTTCATCTAATTGATCCTTAGCTTTTCAATAAATCCATTAATGTTGTTGGCAGCTCCATTATTACTTTTAGTCATTTATGATGCTCCTCATAATTCATTGACATCTGTTTTCTTGGTGCACATAGCCATCAGTGGTATCGTCAAGTTTTGTTTTGCAAGGAGCGATTCTTTACGAAATGGATGCAAAATGTTTCTACTTGAATCATGGTAGTGAGAAAGAGAGAGTCATTATGATAATATTAATGTCTGCTGTCAATATTGTGGTAGAACTATATATCTGTCGTAGTCTGATGTGAATCTTTTTTCCTGATCTTTCTGCATCTTTGTCATTCGTATTTTCATAGAGGTTTATTTAGTGCTTTCCCCCAAGTAGCATATAATGCTGTAAGTTGCGAAATTATTCTAAGCCTCTTGTTCTTTCATCGAAAGCTGCATTTGGTTGTCTGTAAGTTATTGGTTAAAGTGCACAATAATCTAGATCACGCTGTAGAACTCCTTAAACGCTTTTGCAGTAATTCTTGGTACATGTCGAATATAGGTTTACATGTTTATATTATGCCTGAGAGAGAAAAAGATAAAATCCTTATTGATGAAAAAACAAAATAAGGGAACAAAGTAAGGCTTTTTAATAATATACAATGCCTACGTGCCACGAATTAAATTTATTAAAGTACATAATATAAAAGAGATTAAAGAAAGCTTTTCAAAAAAAGAAACTCAGAAACTCAAAAACGGCTCGCATACATTCTTATTCGGCCCGCACTTAACTAATCCGGATCGAAGATATATACATGTCTAATTCCTAAAGTTATTCATTTCGTGTAACAGGTCCTGTGGCGTAGTTGGTCATCGCGTCGCCTTTACACGGCGAAGGTCTTCGGTTCGAACCCGGACGGGATCATTTTTCACAGAATGTGAAATTTTGTGTAACGTTACATTTATGATCTATAAATTACGTCAAACGTGACGTAACATTTATGATTAACGTCTCTGCGTTAGTTGCTTCCTGCTGAAGCAATTTTTGCCTTGTCTGAGTTCAAAACTCATAAATCAAGCACCTTCAGTATATTCAACAACGTCAACTACTACTCCAGGAACATGAACTCATGTATTCCAATTTTTTTTAAATTTATTTTTGTTATTGTGACAGATTTGGTACTTTTGCACCACCTAGGGAGCATTAGTACTCCGTCAGTCATGACTGACTGTACCTAAATATACAATCTTACAGTATAAATACTCTTGCTCGTTGCGTCCTTCTTGGACAAGACATTGAATATTTGAATAAAACTACCCCTCTATCCTTATATTCTTTCACCTCTCTTATAAATCCTTTCTTTAAAAGATTTATAATCCTTTTTTTATTTTATTTTCATTATTTACTTAAAATCCTTTCTGATCTAGTATCAACCTCATACTACTGATCGGAATAGTCCTTGTACCTTTTTATTTTTAACCAATTACTTTATTTTTATACTTTATAACTCAATTGCTTATTTGATCTGTTATAGATCTGGTGGTCACTATCATAAACGACTTTATAACTCAAAACTTACACTCTAACCTTACCCAAACAAATAACCAATTCTACATTATAAATACTTTGGTCCTTTGGACAAAATAAAAAAAAAAAACAATCTAACCCAATCCAATCCAATCCTACTTCAAGTCTAACAAGTCTTTAATACTTGGAATCAAACCTTCTCTTTTTCTTTTATATTTCTGTATCTTCTTTATAATCCAGTACAATAAGTATACTAATACTTATAGAACTTTTGGATCTTTTCTTTTTATCTTTACATTTTGCTTATATTTTTACTTTGATCTTATAAGAAGATTTGGTGGTCACTAGCGAACTAGATTCTATATTTTACTCTTTTTATACAATTTTCCTTTCTAGTTTAAGTCCAACAAGACTTACTTTACACAGGAACCTATTTTTATCATTATATTTACAAACTTCCCCAAACCCAAAGAAATTACACTGCAACAATTAAGTGCGTTTATTAGTTAGCTCTTGAGGGCTGCTGCAAAAGCCTCTACAATAGCTTAGCAGCTTTTGCACGATCACTTGAGCAATGTCCCTTCTACTTGGTTCAACATCTACTGTATTTCCAGTCAGCCGTGTTTTCTTTGAAAAGTAAAGCTTCTACACGAGCAGAATTAGCAATACGGAAATTAAAGGCATTTCCTTGATTGCTGTAAAATTGGAGATGGATATATTATCGACACAAAAGAATATGCGTGCAGGCGCGCAAGTTGTAAGTAAAGTCTCTGCATTCGCAAGAAATCATATGTCTATTTGCTACTTTTCTTTTAATCTGAGAGCTTTCTAAGCCAATATGCTATGTATACGAGGTATACAGTGTGAAGTTTATACCATTTCTATACTTCTCAACAAGTTTTGTCTTACTGCTCATTCTTCCAACATTCAAAGACATTTCCATAACATTACTCCAAGAGTTCTCATCAATATTACTAATATGCACATGTGGCCATCAACCCGTCTACTTTGGCTTATCTGAAGATAAGTGGTCTTTGGTTATGAATTAAAAGTTTGATTTATGGGTGGATCGAAAAAGAATAGAATATAATTCAATGGACAATAGTTCCGATTAAGCAATGCAATTCCAACATGAAAGGCTGTTCTTATTCTGATGTCTGACAACAATACTACGACTTTAAGTGCTCATTATAATGAAGGAATACAAACAAAGAAATCTGTGGTGTTATCTTGGACTAAGGCGCTTAAAATGGGAAGGATTATGTTTGCCATAGGGTTTTCTCATGGATATAATACATTATAATTCAGACACACAAAGACGAAATTTACATGGTTTACTGTAATATTACAAATATACGCAGTTCTTTGTTGCTAAGTAGCTTTTCAATAGATTAATTCATCATAAGCTGTCAAGCACACAAACCTGTACATAGTCGGGAAGAATTGGATAACAGCGTGAGCTTTATAATTATATGTAAAAGTTAAAAATATAAAGAATTAACATATTACTGTGCCCCATACATAGAATTTTTCTAGATCAAGGCCTCTTATCATCGTATGAACGAAGCATTTTTCAACTTAACTGCTTTGAGAGCTCTCATTGATGTTTAATAGGAAATCCATTAAAAGTAAAAAAGTTCTTTTTAAAGCTCTTCTAATTGTCCTTGGAAATGAGCATTTTCCTTTTACTCTTTTGAAAATTGATGCTCGCATGTGAGATAATGTTTGATATAAACGCAGTATGCTGTTAGAGAAATGGTCTTTTTTTTTTTCTTTTTAAGAGATAATGAACATGTATTAAATACATGGATATATAAAAAGGGCGACGCTCATTACTGTTTTTTTTAGAAGGAAAATAATAATACAGTAAGAAAAGAAGCAGGGCGTTCATAGTTTTAAATAGTATAAGCAGCTTGACAGATTCAAGATAGATATCAGCGTTCTTACTATTTTTAGATATACCTTTCTTGTTCCTGGGTATACCGCTAACAGCAGAAGCAAAAGTATAAAGAAGAAAATCAAATAAGCCAATGAATAATGTTAAGCAGGTGTATAATTTTTGTCTTTCATCATCTTCGACGCGTTTTTCTTTGTTTTTAGCTTCTTCTTAGTTTCGACAACTTCAACGTCATGATGGCAAAACAAAAAGAGAGAAATATTGAACATACAGTATTTTCCATGGAATCTCCGACAAGGTTGTTTTTCATCATCTTAACGTCATAATAATTCATGCAGCTTTTTTTTTTTTTTTTAAAAAAAAAAATCTATAAAAGCACCAGACGTTTTCAGCCTACACACTCTATTATTACTTTTTATTCTTGTTATTATCGTAAACATGCCAAACAAAAACGCTACTAAGGTTGTCTACAAGAGTCCTGACGATGTTGAATACTTTGTGATTGCCAACACTGACATGATTGATAAGTATCGCAAGGATAAATCCATTCCTTTAATTGATGTTGTTCAAAGTAAGTTGATATAAACGCGTCAAAAGGGAAACGGTTATGCTTATATATTTTTATTAGCTTTTGACATTCATACGACTGTTGCTGGTGGAAATACTGGTGAATACATTCGACCTTCAAAGGGTGCACTAGAATCTGCTTTTGGTACTCATAAACCCGAAGAAATTGCAAAGTACATTGTTGAACATGGTGAAGAAAAGGGAATGCATTAAACACTCTTTGTATTATACACTGTATAAATATTAAATAAAAATGTATATTTTACCAAATACACATGTGTCTTTTTCTTTCTTGCTTGCTCTAAAACATGTTTCAAATGGATAAAAGGAGTTGCATGTTGATATATTTGTATATATATCCCTACACATTTATATTAAGTGCTTAATACATGCACATATACATGCATGTACAGAGGGCAAATAAAGAGACAATGCATAAAATTAAACGTTTTCTATTATACGCACTACAGGTGTACTTTTTTTTTATTTATTCTTTGTATAATGTCAATTGACTTGACATGTGCATGCGAAGGGTATAAAATAGAAATATACAAGTATTTAAAAGGAACGATAATGTACAAAAAGATAATAAAATGAAGGGAATCTAAATGACTTCTAATTCTTCACGAGTAGACACGGTTGTATGAGGATTAGCCCAGCCAAAGGAGCGCTTCACGGCTTGCTCCCATCCACGACACATTTTTTCACGCTTTTCAGGAGTAATCTTGGATTCGAAAATAGATCTTCCTTCTTTGTTGACGTTGCTTAATTCTTCAAATGATTTCCAAACGCCTACAGCAAATCCAGCAGCGATGGCAGCCCCAAGAGCAGTCGTTTCTCTCATCTGAGGACGGTCGACTTGAATGCCCAAGATATCAGCTTGAATTTGCATACAGACATCCGAATTGGACATACCACCATCGACTTTGAGAATGCGAAGAGGGCTTTGAGCATCGTGATTCATAGCTTGAAGGATAGCCCGAGACTGATAACAGACAGCTTCCAGTGTAGCACGGCAAATGTGTTCTAGTTTTGTAAAATGAGTGATACCGCAGATGGTACCGCGAGCATCTGACCGCCAGTAAGGAGCAAATAAACCAGCAAAGGCAGTAACAAAATAAACACCAGCTGTATCTTTCACCTTGGAGGCCAATTCATTTAATTGAGCAGCATCTTCAATCACTCCCATATTGTCACGGAGCCAATTGATGGATGATCCAGCGACGGCAACAGAACCTTCAAGTGCATAAGATGCAGGCTGATTCTCACCCAATTTATAAGCAACTGTAGTCAAAAGACCATTCTTGGATTTTACGGGCTTGTCACCTGTGTTGAAGAGCATGAAGCAGCCTGTACCATAAGTATTTTTAGCATCACCGACATTGAAGCATTGTTGACCGACGAGGGCTGATTGTTGGTCGCCTAGACAACCAGCAATGGGCACACCTTTGAGAGCCCCTTCAACAAGCTCCCCATAGATTTCAGAAGATGAAACAATTCGAGGTAAATGAATTTGTTCAAAACCAAAAAAGCTAAAATTAAAAAAAAAAAATTAGATTATAGCTCGATGTAGAAATGATGTCAATTCTTACTTTAAGGCTTCTTGGCTCCATGTCAAAGTATGAATGTCCATAAGCATAGTTCTGCTTGCATTTGTTACATCGGTTACGTAGGCACCATGACGTTCCAAGCCGCCAGTAAGGTTCTATATAGAAGATAAAGAAGTTTTTAGTATGAGAACAATGTAACGATCTAAAAAGGAAAGTCACACAATATGGGACTAGACTTACATAAATCAACCAAGCATCCACAGTTCCGACACATAAACGGTTTTGTTTTTGGGCTTGTGACACAATTGGGATGTTGTCCAGAAGCCAGCGCAATTTGACTGCAGAGAAATAAGTGGTGATGGGTAAGCCACAGATGTGCTTTAAGGCATCGGCTCCTTTATCTGATTTCTTTGATAACTGTTCAACTGTATCAATCGTACGAGTATCACTCCAAACAATAGCAGGATAGAGAGGTTCACCAGTTAGTCTATCCCAAGTAATCAAAGTCTCTCTTTGGTTGGTTAAGCCAATACACTGAATATCAGAAGGTTGATAGCCGAGTAAAGATAGCTTACGGACAGCATGCTCAATACAGATATTAACAGAGTCTAATAGTTCAAAAGGATCATGCTCAAGCCAACTAAAAACAAGGGGGAAGACGGGGGGTTAATGAAGGGTAAGTAAAAAGGGTAACTTTTTAAACTTACCCAGGCTGGGGATAATGTTGCTGTAGTTCTATTTGATGAAAAGTTACAAGTGAACCTTGTTCATTAAAAATGACAAATCGTGTAGACGTGGTTCCTTGGTCAATGGATCCAATAAATTTAGGCATTCAACTAATTTATGTAGAAAAGAGAAAAATATAAAAGAATAAAAATTAAAAAAAGCGAGAGAATTTGTTTCCCTTTTTATTTGCGTTTTCCAGTAGATCCTTTTTTTTTCAGTTTCATTTTATTGGTTCACCATAGCAACTTTGTATTACCATTTTTGTTATAAAAATTAAAATGCAGAAGTGTTACACTTTAAACCTCCACATTTTATATATTCTGGAACTTTTTAGATCCATTTCCCCGATGCCATTATTTTTCCTTTTTTTAAAAAGACAGAGAGAGAAGCATAAATTCGACTATAAGCGGAAAATTAATAAAATAGACCAAGAAAAGAAAGAGGGAATTAAGTGTGTATGATGTATTGTTTTATAAAAAGTTTAGCATTGACACATCTTTTATCTCAATATTTTCCCGTTTTATTTTTATCTTTTTGTACTACCGTTTTAACGTGTGTCTCCTTGGTGACAAATTTTTATCTGCTTGGATGAGGTTACTTTTGTCAGACATATGCACTTCATCTGTGTCATGGCAACACAAATCTTTTGTTCCTTTTTTTCAACAAATCAGATTCTACATACCGACCCTTTTATTTCCTACAGAATTTTTGTCATTTCTTTTTGATTGGTTCATCATTTTATGCATGATTTCACCCTTACAGCAGTTCGTCTCAAAATGACTGTCTATGAAGAGACAGTCTAGAGTTTTTCTTCAGTCAATTGCATAAATGTGTGCATTTTAACTAAATTGGAGAAAAAGAGGATTTATACAAGACGCTTTTCCTCAAATATAGTATAAACGAATATAAATACTCTTAAAATAGAAAAAAAATATCATATGCATCTGGTCTAAAAAGCATATGGACAAAGGGAGGCAAAAAAAAAAGAAAAAATATTTAGCCGGAGTAGATTCTCTCTCTCGCAAAAACGAAAGAAAAAAAATAATATTTTTTTCCCCTACTTGATGGACACGCATTTAAATAAATCAACACAACAACAACCAGCAGCAGCCAAATGGATTCAGAATAACGATGATAGTGATACTGACCAAGTTGGACTAGTTCCACATAATCGTGGCTATAAACATATCCTTTTTTTTAATTAATTAACAAATACTTACATTACAACATATTTATCCTTGACCTATACTTACTGAGAAAATGGGCAGCTAATGATTCTAATGGTAATAGACTACGTCCAACGACTACACTTTCAGAGGAAACAGAAGTAAGAACATTTACAGATGGCCCATTAGAGTACTCATTCTTTCTAGTATAACAAAGGGGGTAAAAAGAGAATGGTCATTAAACGAAAGAGAAGAAGGATTGAAGACGGATTATCTGATGAAGAAGAGGATCCATATACACTCATCAACATTGAAGGTATTTAAACAACAAACTGTCTGATTGTTATTATTTTTATTAAACTTTTTCAAAAGATATTCTAAGCCCTATCGAAGTTCCAACGGATATCGTACGTCGACCAGCACTCCGAAGAATTTTACGTTCTACTCAAATTGACGCACTAGCAAAGACATCTATGGAATTCATTGAAGGCGAAAAGAACTTTAATAAAGTTCTTTGTCGTCTTTCAGCTATTTTACATCAAGATGACCCTCGTTATCTCGACCTCACTTTTGACCGTACACCTGCACAAATCAAAAAGTACAAAGAAGATACAGAAGCGGCCAAAGCAGCAGCTGCTACTCTGACAGCCGCAAAGAATGAGTCAGATGCAGTGGATGACCTTGATCCAAAGGAATTAACTGAAAAGGTGGAAAAGACATGTATTCCACTGGAAGCCAAGAAGGAAGACGACGAACCCAAGGAGCTGGAAGAGGAAGACTACACGGAAGAAGGCGTGGATGTAGAGGCCAGATCGATCGTCAAAAGAGTCAAGGAGCTGCTCCTGGTAATATATTATATGTATTTGTATCTTTCTCTACTCATACAATTTCAAAAAGGAAAATATTAATTATAGTAACGAGTACATGTCATGCCTACAGGAGGCTCGTAACAAATTATGTAAGGCAAGTATGCAAAAGGAAGCATTGTGGAAAGAACTACTGTCAGCTGCAAAAGAAGAAGATAGAAGAAATAAAGCGTTTGAAGGAAGAGAATACAATTGAACCCGCAATGTTTATTATTATTGTCATTATTATTATTATTTTACACGACACGCTTGAGATAAAGGCACATTATCATCGTCATCGTTAGCATTCTTATCAGGAATAAACCTTTCCGAGTTAACAAACTGTTGCTTCACCTTTTCCTTATATTTTTCTGCTGCAGATTTTAATTTGATACTGTTTAGAAAGGCAAGAGGGACTAAGTCTTGATCACTGTCTTCTTCGTCTGATGAATCAGTTTTACCAACAAGGTAATAAAGAGGCACATTATCATCATTCTCTGTAAATGACATTAAAATAAAGAGAAAAGACTGAAGGGGAATCAAGGATGAAAAGGTTGTAATTTATATTTTCACCCCCTTTTCTTGAATTATTAAATTGTTTCTTTATTTTCAAAACAATGAATGAAAATAAGGAGATAAGCAAAAAAGGGGGTTTACATAAAGGCTAGAATCATTGTATAAACAAGAATTCATTGTTGTATTTACATGTATATAAAAAAGGGATGTTATAAGGCGAAATTTACTTTACACACAAAAGGGAGCTAAAAAAATGCATTTTCGGACTGCAGTAAGTCTTTGATGGAAGGTAACCGACAGGGTTGATTATCCCACATGACAGGTTGTGTTAACTTTGTATCCAGAGGGGGTAAATAAACATGCATTTCCAATGGCGACCAAGATGCTGAATTATCGTCTGAGCTTTGACTACTGCTGGAGGGTGACGGTGGTTGTTGTTCTTCGTGATGATCTGGATGATGCTTTTGAAAATGACGAATCAATTGTCCTTTTCTCCAAAAGGATTTAGAGCAATTGACTGCAGGACAGTGATGAAGAGTGGCGTTGGTAGATTGTCGGTAAGGACTACTTCGATTCCTAGTCATTATCTGTGTGCCTTGTTCACTTGAAGAAGGTAAAAAACGAAGAATGGAACAATGCTGTTGTTGCTTCAAATAAGCCTCTTCATCATCCATAGATCGGCATTTATTTGAGCTCAATCGACGAATTTTTCGACGTCTTTGAAGTAAGATTGTGGGGGGTGAAGTATGTATACGATAATGTCGACTTAGTTCATCTGAACGGGAGAATCTCTTGTCACATTGGGGGAAAGTACACTGATGCGGTTTTTCTCCTGTATGTGTTCGAACATGGCGTACTTTATGCTCTAGTCGATAGAACGATTTTAGACAGTATTCGCACTGATACTGTCGTTCGCATAAATCAAAATCAGCTTTAGACATAAAGTATAAAGGAAAAGAAAAGAGAATGAGTTTATATACATTCGGAATAAAGACGTATTTGCGTGGTTGTACAATCATATCAAGGAGCTATTATAAATTATTTATATAGGCCAAAAAAGCTTATATATATAAATAAAATATGGGGAAACAGTGGCAGATCTGACCTTGCCCCGCTTTTTTATATATATAATTTACAGTACGCTCACACAATGAATCACGGGCTACACTTAAAAAGTAAAACCCGCTTTATATAGAAAAATAGTGATGGGGAAGAATTTATATATCTACTACTGATTCAAACAAGTTTTGCCTTGCTTTTTTCCCACATTTTCTATTTTTTATATATTGTTGCCTGACTGAAGAATACACCTAAAAAAGTCAACTTATTATCACAGAGACTATTACTGCTCATAAAGGGACGATTAAAGATTACCATATTTGAAGAATAATGGGTTCTTGAGTTTAGTGTAATAAAAAAATATCCGTGATTGCAGGTCATGGCTCTTTTTTGGCAGAGCTTGCTCATCCTCAGCTTGTCCCAAACAAAGAAAAAGGCAAGGATCACAGTCGTACGAGGGGATCAATAAAAACATCTAGTTATGTTGATATTCTCATCATCAGTAGAGCATTCACAATGTCTAGTGACATCAGTATCTCCTCTATTCACCAAAAATCTGTCAATTCAGATACTTTTCAAGAAGAGCAAGCTGACTTGTAATACACCTTTGGAATAAAGCATGACTGACATACTTTGAAAAATACTATTTATGAGAATTTGCTAGTCGAAAAGAGCCGTTTTCAAAACTACTTCTAGTCATGAAAGAACCTTCGCTCGAGTCTAATTTATTGATAGACAAGGATATCTTTGGTGTCTGGTTCAAGACTGTAGAGGTTTTAAAAAGTCATTAATACCGAATTTAGGAGACAAATTCTTCACCAGCTAAATTTAGAGTTTCTTAAAAGTAAATAATGAGCCTTGTGGTGATTTTGTATGATGTATAAAAGCTTTGAATCACTCAGTTGAGAAAATGTGTATCACTGCCAAAAAGAATATACTTTGAACCAGAGCACTGCAGTTAAGTCAGCATCAGCTGGAAAATAAGCGACAGTAATAGGAAGTAGCAAGAGTGGTTGTCAATGGTAACTGGATCATACTTGCTTTCACTAAGCGACAAGTTATTCCTGAATACAGTGGTTCTATCGGTCCTTCGATCTGTGGCCGCGGGCTAATAGAAGCATGAATTGACCGAGGATCGTCACTCAATGGCTGAATACCCAGATTATGCGCTCAATACAGCCAAACATCGACTTTGTCATATTCTATTTTGGAATGTCATTCTAGGAGCTTTTATTGTTTTTAGGGGAGAAAAAGCGGAGAATAGACATTTGCTTTTGCGCATCCATGCCGTCTTTCTTCAGTTTATCGATTGTCTCTCTCATCAATTCCAGCATAAGAGTTTCCTTCTCATTAAGGGAAACACGGTTTAGGAATGCCATCTCCAGACCTAGCATGCTACTATTTCTCTGCCTTTTTGCTTCACGTTCCTTCTCTTCTATTGACTCATTTTTTACTACTTCTACAAGTGCTTTAGTTATGATGCATATAGAGCAAATTAAACCACATATCATTTAAAAATACATCTGTATCTTTGCCTTCACAACTGAGTAGGTCAGTTTTATTGGCATTGGCTTTTGGCTTGTTATTCTTTCTGGCAAATCGATCATCAAGCATGCTCATGAATTCCCAAGATCTCTTTAATATCTTTGAAATAGCACTTTGCAAGAACTTCATTGTAAAGTCAAACTCTTTGGTAGTCCATTCAGTCAGCTCTTTCTAAGTTAATCCAGGTGCAGACTTGCACTAATGCAAATGGCTCTGCGTTGTTCATTCATAAGTCTTGCTTGGGAAAAGGCTTGTGCAGTGTTTAAGTGGTTGAGAGAAATGTTTGTCATTTTAGATAAATGAAAATAAATAGACGCGGCATCTTTTTTTTCGCGTCAAGATCGCGCTTATAAAACAATCATGATTGTTTGCTCTAGTGTGCCTGTCGGAAATGAATCCTAGATCTGACTTATCTTCCCCAAACAAACGGAATGATAGAAAGGCTTAATCCAGATATTAGTACAAACGATAGAAAAGCTCAAGGATGACGATAATTCTGGTAATCCCATGAGGTAAATACGTTCCCGTGCCTCTTTCTTTTTAAGAGTTATGGTGGCCCAGCTCTTTGGTATGGCTTTGAATATGGCAATATCCAATCAGAAATACCTAGGAGAATTTTGGATATCGATAGTCTTATAAAGGAATCAGAAAGCGTCTCAAATAACAAATGTGTAGACAAATGTATAGGGTTTATGAAAGTTGAGGAGGTTAGCTCAAACGATGCTTATTGGTTAATTGGCGTCATATTCGAACATAATTCACGCTTATTGAAACTAAGACAATTACCTTTACGATAACAGAAACTAATACACAAGATCATCTCTTGGTTCAGATATCTTAATGGTAAAGCTAAATGGCCCATAATTAAGCTATTTTGCCTCCAGAACAACTCTCTAAACCCATGACAACTATAATCTGACAGTAAACTTAAATAAGAACTACTTTTTATCAACAAGTACACAGTTCAGTTTTACTGTATCCTTTGTTATTATATTATATATTATATTATCACAGCTACTAGAGAATAATAGGGTCAAAAATATATAATCTAACATTATCATTCCTAGTATAGGGCATTTGCCTTCAAAGCAGACAAGTGTATTAAAGAATGGTGAACCGTTCTTAAATTACATTGAAAGATATTCTGATAGTAGAAAGTTCTACTTGGTTGGTATTGAAGGTAGGGATTATGGCTATTAAGATCCTAACAAGTCAACACGACCAGTTATATTTGCTTTCCTTAATCCAGTTGATGAGGAATGAAAGACATCTACAAATGAAAGTCAGGTAAAGCAAATATATAGGAAGTCCATAGTGATAAATTCGTCACAACATCTCAAAGAAAAGAGCAAAAGTCCTACTGGACAAAATCTGGAGACGATATGATTCAAGGCTAGTGTTATAATCGCTTGTAGCAGCTACTCGATCAACTATGACATACAGACAAGGAAGAAACTACAAGCTAAAGGTAAGCTATATCGAAGAATCCCTGAAGAGTTGAATAACACTACCTTGGGTCGAGAACTATTACATATGATGGAAATATCGATAAATTAATATACAAGTTCACACAAAAGGAAATTTTGGCATTATCTGTCATATCAATATAAAGATAAAAACATTTATAAGAAAATGGTCACCATTATTCGCACCTGTGAAAGATGACAGAGGAAGCAGATAGTGCCAAGAAAGAATAAGTAGCTATTGGTGTATGTAGACTATTAACCAGACAGCTCACAGAAACTGTTGCTCAAGGAATTACTGTTCGAGCATCCTACAATTATGTGGAATTTACACTTATACTTTGGACGAAGGTACCTCTTTGTGTGTGCTATCAATTCTTTCATTAAATAAATATAGAGTTTAAACGTAAAGGATAGCGCAATGGGTATATAATTGTAATTGGACTGGATAACAAGAGACTCTTGTTACTCGTACAATAGGTTTATTCCTTTGGTCTGTGACCTCGGACTAATAGAACCATAATACCGTTTTCAATTAACTTCTTTTCCTAAAATAGCATTCAATGAAAAGAGCGACTGGAACAACAAAGCAGCCCTTTTGAGATCCGCCAGCCTCTTTAAGCCACTTACATAACGTTGTCTATTATGCTGTATTCCATATTGTCGTCTTTTTCTTTGCTTTTATCTGCAAAAAAGTTCAATTCAGTAGTAAGTAACACATATGATATTACTGCAATAAATCGATTTCTTTTAAAAGAATGAATTGTATCCAAGGATACAGAGCGTAATTAAAGATGTACAATGATAAAACATATCACCTCTTTTTTTTTTGTTTTAGAGTTAAGTCATAGTAATAACTGGGCTGGCACTTTGCCTACAAAAAAGATCACCTTATGCTTTTATTTCTATTCTTCAGCCCCGCAAAATTAATACTATAAATAGCTTCTGGAAATAATCTTTATTTTTTTCTTTCTTTTTTTAAAAACAATCCATCTTCGATATGAAGGCTTCTTTGTTTGTTACCATAGCAACAGCTGCGACGTTCCTGACATATTCTCATGCTCAATTTGATTTGCCTTTCGTTTGGGAAGATTCTCAACAAGTTATGTCTCCTTTGGCAAAGACAGGAAAAATGGAACAAAATGGCAGAACGGGTGTTGCTGCCATGCATGCTGTCCTTTTAAAGTAACTAATGGATATGTCATATTCCCTTCATATATTGATTTTTCATTTTACATCTATAGCGAAAAGACAATCCTTATTATTGATAAAGCAGAATGGAACGAAGCTCAATTTGACTCAGGACAGAGCGCATTCTCTGTTCAGTATGATTTGGATACAAACACCTACAGACCCCTGCCACTAGAAACAAACACTTTCTGTTCAGCTGGTGGATTCTTAAAGAACGGTAGCTTCATCAGTACTGGTGGTGGTGAAAAGCGAGGAAGAAATTGGAAGGCTGAGCCTGGATGGCAATCTATTCGACACTTTACTCCCTGTACCGACAATTCTTGCTGGTGGAATGAATATAAAACCGGAAAGATGACCGAGAACCGTTGGTACCCAACAGTTGAGCAATTGCCTGAAGGTGACCTGTTTATCATTGGCGGATCTATTAAAGGTGCAGCTGTCAATCGCAAAGAGATCAATGTACCTTCTTATGAATTCTGGCCACCAAGACCTGAAGGAGAAGTTCCATTTGCGTTCCTGAATGAAACAATGCCCTACAACTTATACCCATTCGTATTCGTCTTGCCTGACGGTAACTTGTTTATCTTTGCCAACAAGAAGTCAATCATCTACAATTATAAAGAGCAAAAGATTGTAAAGAGATTGCCTGATATTCCCGGTGTCCCTCGTTCTTACCCCCTAACTGGTGGTGCTGTATTACTACCTTTGGATCCCAAGAATGATTATAAACCTGAGATTCTCGTTTGTGGTGGCTCTGAGAGAATGAAGAATACTGCTAAAGCTGATGACACTTGTGGCCGAATCAACTTGGGTGACGAGAATCCTAAATGGGAAATGGACACATTTGTCTATCCACGTCTTATGCCTGATGGTGTTATCATGGCCGATGGCAACGTTCTCTGGGTAAATGGCTGCCAGCGTGGCTGGGCTGGTTACAATGGCCGCAATCACGATCCCACATTTGATCCTCTTATCTATACCCCTACAGCTGATAAAAAAAACCGATGGACTAAAGGTCTGGCAAACACAGACATTGCTCGTATGTATCATTCTGTAGCCTTAACTTTACCCGATGGCCGTGTCTGGATCGCTGGTTCTAACAATGTTGATCCTCCTGATATTCACGCTGAATATCCCACTGAATTCCGCGTTGAATACTTCTCTCCTCCATATCTCTTCAAATATCCTACACGTCCTCGCATCTCACACGTTCCTCGAGTTGTTACCTATGATCAGACATTCAAGGTCCTTTTGAATCTCGAAGGATTGGCTGGCAAGGATGCCGCTGACAAGGTCCGTGTTGGCTTGCTTCGACCTGGATTCAGTACTCACTCCATGCACATGTCGCAAAGATATGTCTTTTTGAATCATAAAGTATCAGAGGACTTACAATCCATCGAAATTACTGCCCCACCTCATGCTGCTATCTTCCCACCTGGGGCTGGCTTCTTGTATGTCATCTATGATGGCCTTCCATCTGTTGGCAGCGAAATTTTTGTTGAGAACGATGTCTCCGATCTTGCCATTTAATGCACCCCCAATTTCATTTTATATATCAACATGCCATATTACTTGTATATCCTATATTCATCATTTAATAAAACACATTATCACAATAACAAAATTCTTTATCCTTCGGAACATGAAGGCAACTAAAAAAGCAGCTCAAGTGTTTTGTCATCATGATTACATTGTATTCTTTCACTTTGCTGTGCACAGGCGCTAAAAATAATAATATGTAGGAAAAGCAAACAGCTGATATATATTTTGCAATGCTCCTTTCTGTAAATACACGTTTGCAGTAGTTGAACCGGCACTGTACTTATTGACGAATACTCGGTCGCATTAAGGCTATGGTATTCACGAATAGTTCCAAGATTCGATCCTATAGTATTTTACTCGAGTGCATACAAAAAAAAAAAGACCTGTCTTACCCAGGTAAGATCGATGTAGATAACTAATATTGCAAAGTGTGGCATGGAGAGACAGAAAGGACGCATTAGATTTTCTCTTTAGATCAAGGGCTTGTTTGAGTTGAATCTATAGCTTTTATTATTATTATTTTACTTGGACTTTGATGTATATGCAGTAAAACGTAGGCACACACAAAGTTGGCACATTTTTCGAAAATAATGATTTTATTAGACATATTGAGAGAGCCAGCGGAAACCCTCTCCATAACCTTGCCTCATAACAACAGAGCACATGAATACTTCAATAGGGCGAATATCTGTCAAAGGAACCTTGCCCTAAAAAAAAAAGAAGTTAGATTTAACCTTGAAAATAATAAAGCTTACCTTTCCAGTTGTTTGGAATAAACCTAATTCTTGTCGAAGTGTGTCTTCACTAACAGCACCAGGTGCATCAATCTTATTACCAAGAATTAAGAAAGGAACTTTTGAAAGTTGTTCGATAGCCAATAAAGCCTACAGGACACACATCAGTACTCATTTTTCCCCCTCTTCTTTTATAAAGAAAGCACTTACATCTAACTCTGCCTTGGCTTCAGAAAAGCGAGCATGATCAGCACAGTCAACCAAGAAGACGATACCTCCAACCTCAGGGAAATAATTTCTCCATAATCGACGTGCTTGAAGGTGACCTCCCAAGTCATATGTTGTAAACTTGACGTTACCAATAGAAAGTTCTTCAGAAGCTACACATAATTGTTATTATCATATGAAAAACAAATCTCATCTGTAACTTACTAGGATGAAGAGTAGGTTGCAAAGTAGCCAATCGGTCATTCTTCAACATGTGGAGTAGAGTAGTCTTTCCGGCATTATCAAGGCCCAAGAAGAGAATTTTGGCATTTTTGTTTAAAAGACCTAAATGAAGCAAAACGCGCAAAAACGAGTCAGATGGCGGGCACTATATGCTTTACTTTATGTTTGTCTTTTCTTCATTACCCAAAGAGGACAAGACATCGTAGAACCAGTTGACAATAAACATTTTGATATTAAAAAGGAATTATGTTGTAAGAAGAAAAAAATATTTTGTAATGTGTGTGTATCTTGATTTTGCTGGCTCCTGCCACTCTTTCCTTCGAATTCTACATATTTTTAATCCCAGTTGTCCTATCAGAAAGTGACGTGATGGAACTGAATGCATCCACGTAAATACCCAACGAAAAATACTGCTTTTCTTTTAAACTTTGTGTTCCTTTTTCGAACTATATCATTTCTTTTCAATAATCCAAGCTGTTAGTCACCGACAGCTTGTTCCTTTAAAACAAATATTAATACAATAAACACAACATTGCTTCTTATTTTATAGCTCTACTACTCTCTCTATTTCTATCTTTTTAAAAATGAACTCTTCAACTGAAATTAACATTGCTGCTTACAGTCCTGTACCTGAGCTTCAAGTTACGGATATCGCACAGTACAAGTTATTGAGAGTCATATTGTTAAGTATGGTGTCAAGTGGTCATTAGGAAGACAACTAGAAATGATATCACGGATCAAGGGTTGGATGGAACTAGAGGTAGACCACGTGCAGACTATCTTTGGAGAAGTCTCTATGAATGCCATCGTGCTGGAAGCAAGCGAAGCGCTATGGCCATTCAAAGAACCTTGCAAAAAAAAAAAGTAAGAAAGTCGGATGCAAGGCTCGTTTGATAGCAACTTGCTATTTCAGCAACCCTGAGGAAGTGGTTATCACGGTGGATGGTAACCACTGTCATGTTCTCGGCTCTGCAGAGGATCTTCAGCACCTTCCTCTGTCTACAGATGTCAAAGAAGCCATTCTTCAGCGACTGCAAGAAGGATATAATACTAGAAACGTACGTTTTGCTATGCATAGAGCATTTCACTCTCACAATGAAGCTGCAGCAAGCATTCCCCATCGAGATAAATTTATTCATAGTGAAGACGTGTACAACATCAGGAAAGTATTTGAAAGAGTTTACAAGAGGCATGACGATCAGAAAACATCTGTCAAACACTGGTTGAATCATCTGGAAACAAAGAATTACAATGTATTCATCGACAATGACTACGACAGTTCGCTCACCTTTGGATTCTGCTCAGCTTGGCAAGCATCCCTTTTAGCCGAAACGAAGGGATTTTTCTTTGGATGCAACACATAGTATGACTGTATTTAAAGATGGCCTGTTGTATACTTTGGTGATCAGGCATGCAGAAACTGGAACTGGCTCTCCTGTTGCTTTCCTCTTCACTACTGATAGACCTTTTCTTGCCTGTAAGTCACTGGTTCTACCATTTAAAGCATTCTGCCAGTCTCTGTCTTGAAAAGATTACGATTAGCATGAGCGATGTCGAAGAAAATGCGATATCGAAGCGATAAACCAAATGCATATGCTTACAGGCACACCTATTTCGTTGAAAGTCTATACAACTGCATGCAGTCATCATTCCTTGTTCAGTTGGTATATCGTATACAGCTTACGTCGTAAAAGACTTAGCAATATAACAAACTTCTTCATCAATATGCACTTTCTGCACCGTATCTTCTAATGACAGCTCATTGATCTCTTCTACTACAATCATTCTCTTTTTTGCTTCTCTAGTCTTTGAGCTCATACGTCCGATGTTAGCAGCTATCTTTGCGGTATTGTGCATAAAATCGGTATGAACATAATCAACCAAGATTAAGCGATTCAGACTTTTGTTCCTCTTTGTAAATAGTTTGCCCAAATATAGATAAAGGTATTAAAAGCAAACTACAATGTTTAGTGATATCGGAGATGATGATTCGTTCATGCTTAAAGTTCATTTTATCAAACTTCTCGTTTCATCGTTTTTAATTCTCCACTAAAGACAACAATAAGGTAGCCAAAGTTACTTGAATGGCAGTAAAGAAAAAGGAATGAAAGAGATGACAAAGCCTACATGATCACTGCCATGAGTTAATATAAACAAAGTACTATGAGATTGTCACTATTTCTGGTATAGCAAAAGAAAAATCCTTTGGTTTGCCGTCAAAATGCAATTGTTGTCACTACTTTTACATATCAACAATGATTAGCTTGGTATTTACCAGCAATAACACAAATACTGTTGTTAAAGATATTGAATTTGCTTTTCTCTTCTTTTATTTAACCAGATGCCACGTAAGTTATCCGCTACATTGAATTACTTCCTTTTGAAGCTCAATTCCAATATAGTCAAGAGACCAACACCATCCTCTTCCACACCCAAGTCTAAAAGACAAAAAAACACAAGGCAAATCTTCACTGGAAGGCATTTTATTACAGCCTGATTATAGCCACTTTACTCGAAAGTGTAAACTATTCTCATTTTTAAATCAAGACTATAAAGAGTACCGAGTACGTAATTTTGAATGCAAAAGAATGTAGATCTATTACTCACACATACTTTTTTCTTTTCGCACCATTAGCAAATTCTGAGAAAGTTGGCAGAAGAATTCTCGCTTTTACGTGCAGATGCAATGGATTTAGGGTTACTTATTATAAGTAACTGGATTGAAAAAGACTGTAAAAAAGAACAGTTTCCACCTGTAGCAACACAAAAATTCTGGACACATTGTTATAGAAAAGTTGCACAAAGGATATTTGTATAGTAATCGGCAAATTACAGACGATTACATGTGCCAACTTGTGCTGGCGAAAACTTCTCCTGGAGCCCCTTGCGCGTTGGCGCATAAGACAAGCACCCAAAAAAGACAGAAAGCAAGAAGAGCTTTTAAAAAGAGTAATCAAGCAAATCAGGCTGATGATGGCAGGAGAACAGTGATTGCGTATGGTGATGCGAGCTTACCAGGAACAAAGAAGGGGTATACACCTATACCAGTAAAGGTATACTAACATGGAACCTTTAACTAATCGTCCGTACTAATGGTCTCGTTTACACACAGAGGACACAAAGGGCACTGGCAAAAAAAAGCAATTGTTATCCCTGTCGATGAATTTCGAACAAGTATTACTTGTTGCAAATGCCACAGGAAGTTGGATCAGAAATACGAAGCACAGACATTAGTGTGTAGTCATAGGTATACAATTGATGTGCTTAAATTACGATTGTTGACATGGAGTCTCTTTATGTTCCAAAAGAAAACGAAGATTACGACTAAAAGGACAAAAGAATGCTGCAATGCACTGCTTGGACGATGACCGCCATGTCATCTGTAGAACACCACAGTGCTCAGAAAGAATGCCAGGCAGTAAGTCGTATAACATATGGAATCAAGTTTAATTGGTGCTAAGCTATGCCTATAGATTATCTACCTGCTATTTACCAGTTGAAACAATGCAGACTGTGTCCAGCTGGTAATGGCCAAGATATTTTAAGTGCTTATCCATAAAACAAGCGAAAGTAGCCCTAACGAGAATGGTAACAGGTCTGGCAGAGGGATATCAATGCAGCCATTAATATTCGCTCAATTATGATCTCATATATTGAAGCAGGACACAAAATTTTGTCAAGACATCCCTCTTTGACAAGAGACGGAGCCTTTGGTGGTGAGGGCGCCACCGAATAGCCGCTTTGATTGGCCCTTGGATCGCTCATGTCACCATTTCGGTGGTGATATGTGTATCCAACTGAATCCTAAAGGTATTGTTCCCCCTTTTTTGTGGCATACGTATGGCAGACAAGTACCATATGTTCAGTCCTCTGAGTGCGTGTTTGTATGTGTCTTTTTGTGCTAGAAACTAGAAATGATGAGGATACACTGACAGCATAAATGTTGCAAATAGTAATGACTCTAATATTTGGACAGAATTATTACTGACCAAGAGAAAGATGAAGAGTATATTTTTGTATATCAACAGTCTTTGTGAATTTTATAACAAAGACAGACCAAAGATAAACAATCATAATAAATAACAATTCAATCTGTGGAAGGACAAAGTTGACAGCTTACTTTCATTATTCATTTGAGCAACAGTCTGATAGGCTCTTGTAACACTTGACGAGATCATCGAGTTGTAGACTATGCATATTGTTTAAAGCATCACTTTTTTCATCAAGTCATAGCAGCTGTTTCTCTCCAATTTCTTTACAGAATTTATTTTACCCCTTGGAACTGGATACTCCCCTTTTTGATTTTTTCTTTTATAGAAAAAAAAAAGTCATGTATCCAAGTGTATTGACATCTCTGCTTCGATCAACATGTCATAAAAGAGCATCGTCTTTGTTAAGATATCCAAAATCAATAACTCATTTCAAAACATTTGCTACAGGTTCTATTATTGTAAAGAAAAGAGAGAAAGAAAACTGACATTATATATAGATGCCAAAGATTTCACTATACCAAAAACACGCAACATTGGCATTATTGCGCACATTGACGCAGGTATACTTGTTCATTTCTCTTTTTGATACTAGACATGATCTGATTCTTCGAATAGGCAAAACAACGACAACGGAAAGAATGCTTTATTACGCAGGTGTCACCAAGCGTATTGGAGATATTGACGATGGCGACACAGTCATGGATTATTTGGCTGCAGAAAGGGAGCGAGGCATTACGATCAATAGTGCAGCAATCACATTTGGCTGGAAGGGCCACCGAATCAATTTGATTGATACACCTGGCCACGTCGACTTTACGATGGAAGTAGAGCGTTCTGTCCGTGTCTTGGACGGTGCTGTCACCATTCTTGATGGTGTGGCTGGTGTTGAAGCTCAAACAGAGACAGTTTGGAAACAAGCAGACAAGTATAAGATCCCTCGAATTGCATTTATCAATAAGCTCGATAGAACAGGTGCCGCATTTGGACGAACGGTACGTGAGATCTGGAAGAAACTGCTTACACGGCCACTCGTACTGCAATTGCCAGTCATGCATGGGGAAGATAGAGGGCTTAAGGCCGTTGCAGATTTGGTAACAATGGAAGTTATCGAGTGGGATCCCACGCATGGTGATGGATCTGTGATGCACCGTAAGCCAATAGAGGATTCTGTGCTTCTGGAAGAAGCTGTGCGTGGCCGAACCGCCTTAATCGAAGCCTTGGCCGAGATGGATGAGAAGATTATTGACGCCTTCTTTGATGATGCGGGTGGAGATCATCTGGCAGTGACACCTGAGGCGATCAAGGCTTCTATCCGAAGAGTAACGCTTGATAACAAGGCAGTGCCTGTTTTGTGTGGAGCAGCCTTTAAGAATCTCGGTGTTCAACCTCTACTGGATGCTGTTCTCGATTACCTTCCTAGTCCCCTCGACCGACCTCCTGCTATCGTGACGGACGGTCGTGGCAAGACGACTAGCGTGCCACTGTCTGAATCAGGCAAGCTTTACGCCCTGGCTTTCAAGGTCACACATGATTCAAAGCGCGGTCCTATGGTCTATGTCAAGGTTTATTCAGGTAGAGAAAGGCAACTCTATTTTAACTTGTCTTGTTCATTCTACTCTTTTAGGTAAATTAAATGCACGTGCGACACTATTCAACACAGCCACTCGCACCAAAGAAAGAGTCAACAAGCTGCTACAAATGTATGCTAAAGACGTCGAAGAGATTCCTACCATCGGAAGTGGCAATATCGGTGTCATTGTCGGCTTGAAAGATACACGTACAGGAGATACTTTGGTCCAGTCCAACGATTCAACAGCAATCAAATCCGGTCATCAGCTCGGCAGTATCGAAGTACCTCATCCTGCCTTCTTTGCAGCGATCGAACCCGCCTCTGTCTCAGAGGAGGCTGCTGTTGAAGAAGCTCTAAAGAATCTCGTACGTGAGGATCCATCCTTGCGTGTCTGGACAGATGAGGAAAGCGGACAGCGATTAGTCAGTGGTATGGGTGAACTTCATCTTGAGATCGTCAAGGATAGACTGTTGAATGACTTTAAGGTCAAGGCTGAGATGGGCAAGATGAGGATCAGTTACCGTGAGACCTGTCAGGGAGAGGCTGCCGTGGTTTCTGAGTATGATAAAGAAGTCATGGGTAAACGCGCCAAAGCAGCTTGCCGCGTGGAGATTTCACCTACAGATGATGAGGAGCCTGAGGAAGGATGGTTTAGTTACGCTGGTAATTTGTTGGCAACCGATGTGTCACTCAAGCAAGACCCAGCTACAGAGCAACAACAAGGCGACTCTTCATTAGATCCAGAAGACGTCAAACAGGCAGTTCAAAATGGTCTCTATGCTGGCATGGCTCGTGGAGCCTTGTTAGGTTTCCCTCTGACGAAGCTCAAAGTCAAGGCGTACGACATTCGAACATTCGGCCCTGAGACAACCTTGGGTGCAATCTCAGCCTGTGTCTCTAACGGTGTGTATGATGCTGTCAAGAAGGCAAATCCCTGCTTACTCGAACCAATGATGGAAGTCTATACCGAAGTGAATGAGAACCATATAGGCACTGTCGTCAGTGATTTAAGCGGTACACGTAGAGGTCATGTCATGGGTCTAGAGTCCTCAGATGCACTGGATACAGAGAATACAGATCATGTTGAAGTCTATGCTCCTAATGATTCTCTCTTAATCAATACGCAAGTCGATGAATACAAACCGAAGCAGGTCATCAAAGCGCATGTTCCTTTGAGTTCTATGCTTGGTTATTCAAGCGCACTTCGCAGTTTGACAGGTGGTAGCGGTTCTTTCTCGATGCGTGTCATCGGGTATGGCGAAATGAGTAAAGACAGAGAAAGAGCAGTTATTAATGAAATGAAGGGATGGTAAAAACAATTGTGTATAGATTTATGTATTCTTTTTTAAAATGTGTATAATAATATGTTGTTATGAAAACCCCCGCTATTATTTCTCAACACAACATTAATAAACTACAATATAAATATATATTGCAAAATGTTGAGCACACAAAAACATCATCCGTGCGATATGTTTATTATCCATAAAAAAGATATGTTTTGCAGCAGACTCCATCGTTTGAAGCATAGGCCATTTAAGCAACCATAGCAGAAGCAGTGGCAGACTCACTATAAAAAAACAAGAATATGGGTTAAGGAGAACAGTTACTCGAGCCGCTCTAAGCAACCCTGCGTAATGTTCGAATAGGCATAGTAAAGAAGGAATATCATCCTATCACGGTTAGTATATAAACAATAAAAAGGATACTATTTCCAGGTGGGAGGAAGTTGACCAGAAGTCTTGTAGTAACGAGCAAGACGGTGGATACGAGATTCGATAAGAATCAAACGGTACTTGGAGTCCTTGTCCTTTCTGTTACGTTCCAAGTGCTTACGAATGGAAACAGCCTTCTTGATAAGATGGTACAAATCTTCAGGGACTTCGGGAGCAAGACCGTTGGACTTCAAGATACGGAGGACCTTGTTACCAGTGATGGATCTAACTTGAGGAATACCGTGAGAGTCACGGAGGATGACACCAATTTGAGAAGGAGTAAGACCCTTCTTGGCATTCTTGCAGATCATGTCAACAACCTCTTCGGCAGTGGTCTTGACCCAAGAAGGAGGAGTGCGGCGATAGGGGAGGGCACTGCCAGAGATACCCTTACCAGGAGTGTGCATACGACCCATTTTGACTGATTATTTTATTTGAAAAGTGGAAGAAAGAATTAAATCCAAGTCCAAGGCCTAGAAAATTTTTAAAGATGGCCTCGGTGTTCAAAGTCCAAGCCACAGTGCGATCGTTATAGTAATCGGATGCGGTGTACTCTTTTTTTGGGCGTAAGGAAAAAAAAAGAATAAGGCGTGGTCTGAGAGAGAGAGACGATAATCACCATCCTTCACTTTCGTTTTGCCCAACGTTATTCTAAAAGTTAGAAAATGTTTCCTAGGCGTCTGAGAGAGAGTACAGGATGATCAAGAAAATTCGATGTCATGGATTTTGAGAGTATCAATCAATTGAAAGAAGACATGAGGTGCTTCCTTTGATATTCAATTGAGCATTGCTTTCATAAGTAACTATTATACTTGTATCTCAATTTGTGCAGTATAAAGAGGTGCGATGAAACTGCAATAACCAGTCACGGCTGCTGTTTAAATCAATGAAATGACATTGTGAAGGTTCCTTTTGTTTCTGTACAGAATAATAATGGGAAAGTCTAATCGATCCATTAATCCAGCAGATGCTTTACGTAATAAACATAATTATAAAGTCAATAACTTGCTAAATATATGCATACATTGTATGTATAAATAGGTAAAAAGCAGCGAAAGAGAGAACTTAAAAAAGTAAGAAGAAGTGAAGAAAAAGTGAGTATAGTCAATAACCTATCTTTAAGAACAAAGAAGAACGTAAGCGTGCGCGCGAAAGTGTTTTAGCAAAGAAAGATGTCAACAAAGTGAAAGGTGAAATATCAAGATTAGAGCATTTAGGTATATATATTTGCACAATTATATCAACAACTTCCCCATGTTGACTTTTTTATACATGATAGCCAGCAGTGGTCAATTGAGTAAACAGGATCAAGCACGTTTAGATAGTTTGAAAGCAGAGGCTAGCAAGATTGAAAAAGCCAAAAAGGTAAAAGAAATTAAATTATCAGCCATGCAATTTTAATAACAATCATTCACTATAAACAGAACGCTGGAAGCCAACTCACAGGGTAATACTACGAGATAAATAAAAGCCAAAGATTTCTAATGCCTTCTCCAGGGCCCAAGCAGCTTATCTCGCACGTATGCAGGAACAGGAACGAAAGCATGAAGGAGAATCAAGGAAATTAGTGTATGATCCAAAGAGCGGAAAGTTTGTGCCGGCAAAGAAGAAAGGTAAGTTGGGGTGTAGTAACAGACGGCAATAACTCATATCATACACAGATGCCACATCATCAAAAAAGACAGCAGCAGATCAAGGCGATGAAGACGAAGATGAGACTACGGGATCAGAAAGCGAGACAGATACATCAAGTGATACAAGCGACACAAATAGTATTGGTAGTATAGAAGGCATTGAAACCGAGGAAGATGAAAATGAAGAGGATCAAATACCTTTACCAGAGTCTGAGCAAATGAAAGAGGAAAACAAAAAGAAAGAGTTGACGGAATCTGATGATGAATACGAAATTCCTTTACCACCTGGTCCACCTCCATCTAAGCCATTTGCTTCACAAGTTCCACCACAGGCGTATGGAGGCAGGGTGCCACCACCACCTCCACCATTGCCTCCAAATTATCAACAACTACAACAACAACAACAGCCGTATATGGCATATCCACAATATTATTATCCACAGCCTCATTATCCACAACCACAGCATCCACAATATCAAGCAGCACCCGTGACATATTCATCATCACCCGTGAAATATGATTCACAAGTCAAAGAATCGAGTGAAGCAAAGGAGCAACCGAAGAAGCCGGTTGTAGCAACTATATCGGCTGAACCACAATTAAGAGACCTTCAAAAGGAGCTGTTGGGATTTGTACCAGTGTCTGTTCGTCGTAAGCAAGTAAAGACCAATAAAAATGCATAACAATATAAACATTGCATAATTTGTGCAACAGTCCAGAATGAAATAGTTTTCTAAAGTCCAGGAAATAAAATGAAACACACAGTCTCTTTTATTGCTATTTTTTGTTTCTATGACTATATGATGATATTATTTACAAATGAATAATGCATGACTTTTGACAATAGTTGTCTTTAAGGGATAGTATTCTAATTGTAATGGTGAGGTAATGATAAGATCGTCTGTATCAGCGGGTTCATCATCGGAACTGCTACTACCACTGTCACTGTTGCAGCTTATTGTTTTACCAGTGTACGCTTTAGAGACAATGTCTAATCGATAATCACGGCAACGGTTGTTGTCCCAATATTCTTTGCCATTCACGAGGTACTGAAGGGCCAAGGATATGTGGTGTGCAGTATTGACGACGAGATCGATTCTGAATATGAATCTATCTTTACTGTCTAGTGTAGACTCTTTATAGGTTGCCTGGACCTCTTGATAAGTTTGCCAGTTATCCAGAGTGTATCGAACTTTGACCAACTTTTCATAAGCAATGTTGACTACTTGACAGTGACCGATGAGGAAATATGATTGATCAGACCTTGAGAGCTTAATCGACTCAAGGGCGATGGGTTTACCAGGAAGTCCATGATGAGTCCAATTGGCACGGCGAAGGCGATAGGTATAAGAAATGAAGGATGAAGGATTGCTTTGACAGGCAGTAGGTCTATCTGTCTTGACAAAGATACGAATATCTTCTAATGTATCTTTGAATCGAACTGATTTTTTTTCTTTCCTTGTTGGCTCCAAAGAAGTGACCGATGGAATAGGCGCTTTTGCATTAAGAGACACTTTACGGAGCATTTTGACAAAGAAGGAAAAAGTAGAGACAAAAAGAAAGAAAGAAAAAAAAAAAAAAACATTGCTGTCTCTCCACAAATGTCTTTTTATTCATAAAGGAGTGTTCATTTCCTTGTAGAATGTACCTTTCTATGATGGCGCTTTGAACCTATGTTGAAGATTAGCAACATATATAAAAAGTTTATGTATGAAATTATTACCTTCTATTATCTGTGGTAATAATCTTCGCCTGGCATTGATAAACCAGTTGCTTATTTGATTTAATGTTAAACCAGTCTTTTGTTTCAATTCCTTTTTTTCTGATTCAGTTGGATATGGATTATGACAATGTTCAATTAACCATTGTCTTAGAATGGATGTGATCGATTTTGGTAGATTACCACGTCTTTTTTTCTTTATCTGACTACTGATTGATCCTATGTCATCATCATCTATCTCTATCCTGTATTCAGACCATAGCTTGCCATTCGATTTAAGCATCGAATGAACCATCTCCTTCTTTTTCTCTATAAGTGGACTACAATAATAAGGTATATAAATTCGATGAGTTACACCAGATAGATCTGAAGGGTAAGAATGATCATGAAATAAAATGACAGGTTTAAACACTTGAGGCTATGCATGGATATAAAATGGGATAGTGATAAATGATTCTAGCAACAATAATAAATATAATAACAATGTATTACCATAGCAACAAATGAAGAGAGAGAAAGAAAAGAAATAAAATAAAAAAGGGGATAGAATCTATAAATGCATCATTTTCCTGTCAATTTTTCTTTTGTTGTTGCTGTTTCGTGTTTATTAAACTGATTTTTTTTATCTTATGCACACATCTACATTAGGCGTTGTTTGTTTCATCTTAGAAATACGACTACTTTATTATTATTATTATTCACTAAATGATCCTTTTACTCTTCAAGCGAATTTCTCTCCAATATGCACAATTAGCAGAATTGAAAGGTATGCAAATACAGTAGTCCCCCCTTCTCTTTCTTTTTTTTCTCTGTCTGATGAATGTCACACAAACAGATCAACTTTATTCCAAAAAAAAGAGGCTTTCTCTATTACTCTCTTTCTTTCCCCAAATTAAATAAAAATTATGAGAAGACCTGTTATCCTCAGTGGCTCGTCTCATCCTCAGTTAACACAACAAATATGTGATCGTCTAGGCATCGAACCTGCAAAGTCTCGTTTATCAAAGTTTAGCAACAACGAGACAAGCGTAGAGCTTTTTGCTAGTGTACGTGAACAAGACGTCTTTATTGTTCAATCAGGATGCGGTCATGTTAACGATAACTTTATTGAGCTTTTAATCATGATTCAAGCTTGTAAAACTGCTTCTGCTCGTAAAGTCACTGCTGTTATCCCCTTCTTTCCTTATTCAAGACAACCTGATGCACCTTTCAAACGTTCGGGTGCTCCATTTATCAAACCACCACCCATTACCGTACCTTCGACACCTATTGCTACTACTCCTTCAAGCCCAACAAACGAAAATCCATTCTTTTTAGAACAGCAATTGCAAAAGCAGCCCGAACAGCAGAAACAAAAGCAAAAGCAACCCGAACAAAAACAGCCTGAGCAACAACAACAACAACAGCAACAACAACAAATCTCCTTAGGAACGCGTCAAGCTACTGTGAAAAATAACAGCAATAATAACAACAACAATAACTGTCAACAAAACATGAATGGAAACATAAATAATGATGGATACAAGCAATGGGTAGTAAGATCTGGAACCCTAATAGCCGAACTTTTGACTTGTGCAGGTAAAATCAAGAAAAAAAAAAAAAAGGCTATTTATCATTGACTTACCTATGTTCAAGGTGCGGACCATATCATCACAATGGACTTGCATGATCCTCAGGTAAAAAAAAAAATAACATAACGTCATTTCTGGATGAAAGACTAACTCATAAGGGACAGTTCCAAGGCTTTTTTGATTGCCCTGTAGATAACCTGTCTTCATTACCTTCTATGGCCAAATATATACATTTTAATATTCCAGACTATAAAGAAGCAGTTATTGTGTCTCCTGATGCAGGTGGAGCAAAGAGGTAAGAAAGTCAAATTCGCCTTGGGCTGCTCATCCTTTCTCGTTCTCTTTAGAGCTACGTCTATTGCAGAAAAATTACACATGGACTTTGCATTGATCCACAAAGAACGCCGTCGTCCAGACAAATCACAAAAACATGACCTGATGTTGGTTGGTGATGTCCGTAATAAGGTCTGTATCCTAATTGACGATATTGCAGACACTTCCTTCACCATCACAAAAGCCGCTAAATTGCTGCATGAAAACGGCGCTGTCAAGATTTATGCACTTATCACACATGCTATCTTGTCTGGTGATGCAATCGATCGTATCCACTCAAGCCATTTGGACCATGTCATTGTCAGCGACAGTGTGCCTCAGGATGAACACGTGAAAAAGTGTAGCAAGATCCAAATCTTGCCGGTGGCTCCCTTATTTGCAGAAGCAATTAGAAGAATTCATTTTGGTGAAAGTGTCAGTGTTTTATTTGATCCTTCCTATGAAATCTCTTGAGAAATAAAATAACTGAACCATTCATATTGACCTGTCACCCGCCAGACCTTTAGTGTATTGTCTATCACTTCTTCGTCTTCGTCTTCTTCATCTTCTTCACTATCGTTTGGTATCGAAAACTTACGCTGCCCAGAGCAAGTGGCAATCAATGGATAAACTGGGTTAAATGTAGCAGATGAGATGAGATCTATAAGGAGGGCTTAGTTATAAATGTGACAAGGAAAAAAAGAAGCTTGGTTTACCGTCGTGTGCCTTCATTGATTTCACCAGCTTGTATTCCTCGGGTGATGAGATATCGTACGCTATCAGATTTCCAAACTGATCTCCTGTGACCAAGTGCTTTCCAGATGGATCCAAATCAAAATGTATTCTTTGATTTGTTTTACCTGGCCGAGGCAACTCAAACAGTATGTTTGCTGAATCACGAATATCCCAGCATAATATATTGTTGGTATGTCGAGATACTGAAAAGAGGTACCGGTCATCCTTTGAAAACTTTACCTGGGTTACGCCTCCTGAAAAGCCTACGAGTTTTAGACAAAGCTCATGGTTGGTCTGATCATAGATTGCAATCGATTGACTGTATGAACCAGCAGCGTATAGTCCATCCGAACTAAAGTCTAAACAAGAGATGATCCCCTTCTGGCCCTTTTTGCTTTTACGCGTTGGAACTGTTGGTATCTTGTCTGATTCGCTGCCTGGTCGCTGAACATCAAATATTTCAATCATGTTTTCGTATCCACAGTAGATTCTACAACACAACAATGTCAATAGTGTCACTCTCATATTTGTCTCTAGAATTTTTACTTTGTGCCATCAGGATGAAATGATAGTACGTTGGGACCTACATATCGCTCACAATGGTCGATTGCACTGTAAGATGCTCTCACCTAATAACAACAAGATCAGTTTTTTATTTTATTGCTTGTCCTTTTCTTTTTACAGTTGCCGTGTTTAGATCCCAAAGCTGAATGGGATGATCTCTAACCGATGTTAAGAAACAACAAGTATCTGGATCTATTTATTTGCTTTGAATGATTATCTTACTTTCTTTTTACAAAAGCAAATGTACCTTGTGAGTTCATCAAAGGATACCAGTCAAAATCATAGACTGATTCTCCTTCTCGTATACCAAAGATGGGTATCATGGTCTGTGGGCCGTCTTCAGTATCTTCGTATACGTTGTTTGGTAAAGAAAAGAGTCGAACAACATCGTCTGCTGAATTAGTCAATAGATAAGTGCCATCAGGTGCCCATTTTGCATTTTTAAAGAAATTATTGTGTTCTGATTGTACATCTAGATTCACTTGCTGTTGGATTAGATCCAAGTCTTTTTCTAAGCAATCTCTAATAGATTCATTATATCGCTCGTCTGTTGTTGATGCCAGCACTAGATCTTTATCGAAATCAGGAACAAACACATTATATCCCTGTGATTGCTCTTGTTCCATTACAACAAAAAATAGTAAAGAAAAAAAAAAAAAAGAAATAATTTATTGAAGCCCGCGTTCTTTAAGCCTTTCAATCATCCAATTTTTCAATATTGGCATGTCTTCTACCATCTGTATAATCTCGTTTTCTTGTGCATGTAGCTGTATTTTTCTTGCTCTTTCTTCTTTATTTTTACCCAAGCTAAGTATGCTCGCTGTTTCCAACATAGATAGTAAATCGTTTAATTCTGTTCTGGATACACCCGTTATGAGGTTATCTCTATTGTCTGTAAAGATAGAACTGTACTGTTCACGAAACTGAATATAATGTGTCAGCCTATGTTTTTTCTTGCCTTGTTATTACCTTACCTTTCCTAGTGTGATCTGTTTATTTGATTTCTGCATAATGGAAAATACGACCAATACCACTTTTTGTGGTAGGCTTAATTGCTTTAGTTTCTGCACTGTCGGATTGCCAAAGACAAAATTCAGTACTTTCATAACATGTCCAATCGTCACTTTGGATTCTGGTATATTTTGGTTTTTATCTGACAAGATCAATTTCTTTTGTTCCATTTCGGCAAGCTCGACGGCTTGTCGACAGATATCGAGGGCTGTTCTAAGGTCGCCCATGGAAGCAGCAACTTTACGCGAGCAGAGTTCTATGGCCGCTGGTTGAAAAAGTGGAAGAGGTGTATCTTTAGTTGGGTTATCGACGAGTGAATAGAGTCTATCTTTGATAATGCAGGATATCTCAGAAACTGTATATGGGTTAAAGTTCAATAGTTGTGGTTCACCTAAACCATAATATATAAGTCCAGGTTTCTTTAAAGCAGCACTCACTTACAGTTTTTTGCTCTTAGTCTAGGCAAGATGCGATCTGTTAAATCAAGCGCGTTTGCTATACCAATGAGCACCAGTCTTGAATTGGGTAAAGAAGCCCATTCGAATACTTTGTAGAGTACATCTTGTTCCTTTGTCTTTAGTGAATCGATTTCATCCAATACAACTACGCTATTAACAAGGTCAATCTTGTATATCCTCTCGTTCCTTTTTTTCTTCTTCTTCATACTTTAGTACATCCTTCTTGGCATTCATCAATTCATGCGCTTGCTTTATAACATCAGCCTGTACTACCGCATTGGTCGATTTCCATGATTCAACTAGCTTAACATAAATTTGTTTGGGCTCCTTCATGCTCATACAATTAATCATGACCGTTTTGACAGTAAAATCTAGTTGATCTATCTCATTTTCCATTGCTCGCATCACTTCAGTCAACATGGCTGTCTTGCCTGTGCCTGGCATTCCAGAGATATACAAACAACCAGGTTTATTTGACAAGACGTGATCTCTCCAAAACTGACTGATTGTTTCTCGTTCCTGTCCTCTGCCGATAAGTCGAGAAGGTACAGCAGCTCTTCGAAAGACGGTTTTTGCACTTTGGTAGATATTTGTTTTATCTTGACTGTCCTTTTTAGCTGTTTCTGTTTCTTAAAAGACATTAGCAAAAACAATTATATTTATAAATGCATATATTTTTACTTGATTGATTGAATTGTTGTTCTGTTGCCTTTCGTTTTAAAGGCACACCATCATTTTCGTCTATTGCAGCTTGTTTCCTCTTGTTATCTGTGTATTATGTTGGCTTTCTTTTTATCATTCAAAAGCATAATCTTGGTCTTACTAGCCATTTAATATTGCAGGAACAAGAAAAAAAATTTTCTGTAAAAGGAAAAAAAAAAGCGAGTCTATTTTGAACGCGTTTTTTTTTGTTTTCGTGAATAAGAAAAAGATCCTATTGGCTAATTTATGCAATCTAAATTTGGTATTGTGCTTTGTTCTTTATGATTTTTATGTCTCTTTTATAAACATATGCTCCTAGAGTTAAGCGTAAATGCAAAAACAAGAAATAGTTTTCAAGTTATTGAAAAGAATGATCATCTTGATCATCAATTATATATGAGCCATTAATACACGAAAATGGGCGAATAGTGCTTGTTAAGATTGTCTTGGGGCACATAAGAGAACTCATTAGTGAAGTGCGACTAATATTATCTTGAATAAAAAGTCGCTTCAAGTTGAATGAATCGCAATAGCTAAAAGAGAAATTTATTCAGCTCTCTATATAAAATCTCTTTTCTTTCTCGTCAGCCCTTTCTCACAAATGTTGCCAGATGAGGCCCTCTCTAGATATTCTACAACGTATTTCACATTAACCGGGAGCTTCGCTAACATGATATAAAAGAAAGATTAACCGCTAAAATTATTCTGCCACGAAAATCGAGTTTGCGGCAAATTAGACGGTGCTCAATCAAAGAGTACTACCATATGGCTGGCATTGGTTGTAGTTTACCTACTTATAAAACAAGAAATGTTCGATTTTTATAGCAACAACACAGCCAAGACATACTTTTATTTATACTCAAAGAAGGCAGAGAGTTGGAGACCAATCAGTGAATATCTGTTTGCCCTAAATTTAATGGTCTAATTTTAGGTTAAAAAGCCTTAGTTTAGTGTTATTCGATAGCCAGCCAATAAGACGTAAACACTTTTCTTTCTCTCTCTTGTGTTCCCCAACTGTTTCTCCCGAAAGGACCATCGTCACCAGCCATTCCTCTTATCAAGTGACCCTTTGTCGTACTTTTGAAATCATAAAGTCATCAATATACTAGGTTTTACTATATATTGTCTAGTTACAGAGCATGTCTTGTGGTTTGCGCATGATTTTATTTATTTTATTTTTTTGGTTGGGGAAAGTGTCCTTTCTCTCCTTGTCTGTCAAAATTCACGTGTGGAGTGAAAAGCAGGGACAATTAGAGTTTACGTTGTACCTGAAGCATACATAAAAAGTGTACGCCGACTAAAAATCTTTGCTCTCTCTCTTTCTTTCTTTTTCGCAAATCATACATATATTAAAATGACTGAAAGAAAGCCTGTTAGGTATATATACTTTATAACTTTTATAGACATAAAACTGAAGAGAGTGTAGAGTCTGGGTTGATGGTTGCTTTGACATGATGCACTATGGACATGCTAATGCTCTAAGACAAGCTAAAGAAATGGGTGACATCTTGGTTGTAGGTGTTCACTCTGACGCTGAAATTGAAAAGAATAAAGGACCTACTGTCATGAAAGAACAAGAACGGTAAAGAGAGAGAAAGAAAAATATTTAAAAGATGAACTAACTTTAAGCCAGATATGCAGCTGTTGCTGCTTGTAAGTGGGTAGATGAAGTTGTTCCAAACGCTCCTTACAACACTACTGTTGAAATTCTTCAAAAATACAATATTGACTTTTGTGTGCATGGTGACGATATTACCACAATGGCCGATGGCACGGATTGTTACCAAGCTGTCAAGGATGCTGGACTTTATAAAGAATGCAAGCGAACACAGGGTGTCTCAACGACAGAACTTGTCGGTCGTATGCTTTTGATGACTCGTAACCATCACAGAGATGTCGATCCAAAGGAAGTCGAGCCATTCAGTGCGCCCAAGAGTAAAGTATCTCATTTTTTACCAACATCTAAGCGAATCGTGCAGTTTTCAAACAAAGGTGTTGAACCAAAACCAACAGATCGCGTGGTTTACGTCGATGGTACATTTGACTTGTTCCATATTGGACATATTGAATTCCTGAAGCGTGCTAAAGAACAAGGTGATTTTCTGGTCGTGGGAGTACATGATGATCAGGTAAATACAAAGAGAAAGAATGTCATATGAAGAGATCACATTTATCATTCGTTATAGACTGTAAATGCTATTAAAGGAATAAACTATCCTTTAATGAACCTTCATGAACGCGCTTTAAGCGTACTTGCTTGTCGTGTAAGTAGAACAAATGCATGTTATATATATACTCAATTGTTTCTAAAGTATGTAGACGAAGTTATTATCGGTGCACCCTACAGCGTAACGGAAGATGTGTTGAATACTGAGTATAACGTGACTGTTGTTGTTCATGGCACGACGTCTTCTGAGCCAGATATTGATGGAAAGGACCCTTATGAAGTAAGCTTGCTTTAATGTGCCACTTTATTTATCTAATATCATATAGTTACCCAAAAGCAGGGGTATTTACAAAGAAATCTCTAGTCCCAATAGTACTTTAACCACTCAGGATATCATTGACCGAATTATTGAAAATAGAATGATGTAAGTCAATAATCTACTAGACAACATGTATTAATTCCCTTTCTTTTAAAGCTATGAAGAAAGACAAAGAAGAAAGAACGCAAAGGCTGCCTTAGAAGCTCAAAAAGAAGAAGAAGAAAAGCAACAAAAGCTGACAACGCAAAGTTTGATTGCTGCATAATTATATATGTTCCATATGAAATTTATCTTTCATCTTGTAAAATCCTGTTTTCATCCCCCTTCATTGTACTTATGTTCAATAAAAAAAAAAAAGAAAAGGCGTAACTGATTTTTTTATTACATTCAAATAAAACAAAAGAGATGCATCCTTTTTTAGTATTTAACCTGTTTGTTGAATAATTGCTCCCCATTCTGATGCTTCTTTAGATTAAGGTGTCTTTCCCATAATGGGAATCTAATGTGCAGAGCTCTGTCTCTCGTAATAAAAGAATACTTTATTTCAGTGTGCAAATCAATCTTATCTTGTTTCATTCAATTCTGATTGTCATCCATCCGGGAGGCGCGCGTTAGTTCCCTTTTAAAGAATGAGTTCAAATGAAGCGAAGTGGAGGAGGAGAGGGGGGAGGTTAAGTGTATAATTTTCTATAAATTAGAAAGAAGATCTACTTTGCATTGTTATGGTAACCGAGTACGTGCTCTGCTGTTTCACTAAATTTATTATGAAATTTGAACTTGTGTGACAAGACCTCAATAAAGACTATTCAATCATCTTTCATCTCTACGCTTTTTACCTCTCTTTTATCCCCACTTTCCACTCCTTTATTAAAATGGTCAATAAATCTTCTCTCATTTTTTTATCTCTTACTGCCGCATTAGATTTGGTACTTGCTAGTTCTGTTCAGATCACTTCTCCTAAAGTCAATGCTGTTTATGAAGCAGGATCTACCGTTGATATCAAGTGGTAAAATTGCTTTTATTCAACAACTTCCTTATATTCATAGACAACTTAGGCACGTTAATGATAAATCGGCAGGCCCTATTCGTCTTCAATACGCTTCTGGAAAGGCATCTTCTTTAAACGTTGATGGTGTCATTGCTGATAACGTTGATGCTTCTCTTGGAACTTACAAGTGGACGATTCCTAAGGATATCAAGCCAAAGAAATAGTAAATAGATTGCCAAGAAACGAAACATCATATTTATCTATCATCTATAGTGTTCTTGAAGCCGGTCCTAATGCAAAGGATCTTTCTTTCCAAGGTATACCCTTCAACAAAAGAAAATCAGTGTAGAACTCTCGCCTAATATTTTTATAGGCTACATCACCATCAAGAAAGCTTCGAAGCATAAAAAGACAACAACTAAAAAGACGACTAAAAAGACAACAAAAAAGACAACCACCAAAAAGACCAAGGCCACCAAGAAGGGCGCCGCCTCAGCTGTTTGTATCGGCTACCCCAGTGAGCAGGACAAGGGAGAATACGTTCGTTGCCATTCAATTCCAAAGCCCGTTGCTGCTAGCCACAAGAAAAAGAAGCATACAACCACCAAGAAGCACACAGTTGCCAAGAAGAAGAAGACGACCAAAAAGACAACCAAGAAACCAAAGAAGGTTGTTACAGCTTAATTATCTTAAATAAATGATTGTTTCACATATCAATGCAGCACACACCCACAGTTATTTTTTTTGTTACCCCTTAAAAACTTGTATTGTTACAATGCCAATTTTATTAAGTTATTTCATCAAGAAAGAGAGAGAAAAAGTGATTGTGTGTGTTTTGGGGAAATATGGTATGCTTTGTTATAGGAAAATTTACAATTCATCATGAGCACTAGTGGCTTCATCATCCTTCTTTTCGTCCTTCTTTTCTTCTTCCTTCTTTTCTTCAGGAACTTCAAACTTGAGTCCTTTACTGTTGTGTTCATTCAAAAACTTGACGAGATCTTCCATAGAACGATCACCTTCATAATCGATCAACTTGTTGGTTTCGGCTTGGAAGAATTTCAAAGTAGGGAATCCGGTGACATCAAATCCACCTTCTTCAGGAATATCATTTTCAGTACCGTCCATCTTGGCAATGACAACAGAGTCAGCGGCGTTTTGAGAGACAACTTGACCCAATTGAGTCCAAATGGGTTCCAATTTCTTACAGTATCCACACCATGGAGCATAGACTTCGAGGAAGACATCCTTGGACTTGTCGAGAACGATATCCTTGAATTGAGAGGCAACGACAACCTTGACAGGACCATTGTTTTCAGCAGGAGGCTCAGCAGATTTGACGTGAGGCTTGATTTTACCAGCAACGTAATCATCAACGAAGCGTTCCAAGTTTTCACGAGTTACAGCCAAGGTTTGGTCGAGAGGGAACTTGGCGCCATTGTCCAAGTGCTGGATAGAGAAAGCAGGGAACTGTTGCTTCAATCCAACATTGTCAGCGTGACCACCATACTTTTTAGCATCGATATGGACAAAGTTGATCTTTCCCTTGTATTTCTCGGCCAAAGCTTTGGCTTCCTTGACGATCGTATTCTTGGATTCTTCATTATCGTGGAAGAGATAAGCGATAGGTAAACCGGTTTCGGCGTAGGTTTGGAAGTTGGAAGCATCGATTTCGTCCAAAAGAGGAACAGAGTTGACCTTGATAAATTCTAAAAGTTCATCATACTTGAATTCACCTGGCTTGGTGAAGGTGCTTTCATCATCGAATTGGGTATAGACTACAAGAGAGGGAAATTCGGTGACTTTATGTTCCTTGGCAACAGCTTCATCAGTGACAAGACCAAAGACAAAGTTTTCACGGTTCTTGTCAGCAAGAGTCTGGAAGGTTTCCTTGGAGGCGTCATCTTTAGCATAAGCGATAATGACAACGCGGTCTGTCTTTTTGAATTCATCAAAGTTGCTGGCAGTGACTTCAGTGACAGAAGGTAAAGCTTGCTTTTCCATATAACTGACGATGCCGTCTGCCTTACGAGCGCCTTTATATTCGGCAGCTTCACCTTTTCTAAAGACCTTCAACGTAGGGTAGCCACGAACATCGTGCTTTTGACAGAGATCCTCATTTTCGGTACAGTCAACCTTGGCAAGAGGAATGTTTTTGCTCTTGAGTGTTGTAGCAGCTTTTTCATATTCAGGAGCTATATATTATGTTAGTAAAATCATCATACCCTCATCCAAAATATGACTTACCCAAAGCTTTGCAGTGACCACACCAAGGAGCAAAGAATTCGACGAGCATAAGGTCTTGACCCAAGACGCTTTGATCAAAGGTTTTATCAGTCAAGGAGAGAACATCACTATCAGCCAGGACAGTGTGCGTAAGAGCAGAGAAAGTAGTAGCGATAGCAGCTAGCAAGAAGGACTTTTTAACCATTGAAGAAGTGTGGAAAGAAAAAGAAGAGGGAATACCGTAGCATTTATGTTTTTTTAAAAAAGCTTATTTTATATATTTTAAGTCGGTTGTGTGTTGAAAGGTGATTGGATAGTTTATGCAACAAACGAAATAACTGTTATTGGCGGAGTTACACGGCTTTTATTGGTTTTTAAGTGTAATTTGTAAGACATGGATGATATTAGCCATATTGACTGCGTTTGCAAGTAGTTAGAAGCGTTTGAAAAGAAAAAGAAAGAAAAAGACACAAAAGAGGGAGGAGTCATTAAAGATCTTGTGACTATAGTCGCTTTTAATCGATATTAATAATGCTGATTAATCTAACGCAGCAATATGTCATTGATTATAATATAATCAACTTCTAGCTCAACATTTAGTCTGCGATGAATGTCAAACATTAAGAGAATTATTACAGGTATGTAATGCTTTATTACATCCCGTTTTTGGTGAGTTCAGTTCAAGATAGTGAATGAGTAAAAAAAAAAAGCTTAGGCTAAGGGGGTATTATGGGTCAAGTGTCAGAAGGAAGCCATTTAGGCAGTCTTTACCCCCGGGATTGGCTGGTAATGAACCAAGATCGTTTAAAATAGTGCATATCATGAGTTATTTGATATACCAAGGTAGGGCCTACTTGAAATGAAGACGGTTTGGAAGCTTATTTAAAAGGTTAATTATAGACTCCGGTATTTGTAGACGGCAGTGTATATCAAGGCAATAGATAGCATGTTGTTTTGTAAAAGACATTTGACCACACCGGGTAATAAGCCAAGACGCCAAAGCATTCGTGGATCTCCTTCTATTCTTGTCAAATGGTAAACAAAAGATTGGATCTAAAGAAATTGATGAGTAATATTGCGAGAGAGAGAAAAATGGAATTGCAAGAATGTTGCAGGTTGAGATTATCTTGAAGGAACTGTAGACAGATCCTTTTTAAAAACCTTTTGCCCAAGAAATCAGCGTATTGCGCGAGTACTGTCTCCATAACGGTGTCTTAGAGAGAGAGAGAGTATGAGCGACACATTCATAATTTTGAAGATGGTAGGCTATGTTGGTGCCCAAGTTCATACATAAGCCAGGCAGTTCAGTGCGTGCTTAATCTTTGAATTTCTTTTTACCTACAACCGATATGGAAGTTTCGGTGATCCTGTAAGGCATTTTCAGAGTGAGATAGGATAAAGGATTGGATAGAAGACTGTCACCCTTTATTCAAAGCATTGTGGAAAAAAGAGCTTATGTACTCTGATTGAAAGCAGCTTTCAAATGGTAAATGACGACTAGATTTCTTTCATTAGGATTTGATTATAGTCAGTTATTATTTGGTGCCATCATAATGAGTCCATGGCCTTCTTTCCGTACTTTTTTGATGAGAGAGCGTGCTAGAAAATGATATGTTTTAGAATACACGTAGCTTCATATGTTTCTCACTAAGGGAATAATCACAGCCCCGTTTAAATGAAATATTGTCTGTATACAAAAAGGTCAAATCGTTCACAGCGAAAGTATATATAATGTATTACAAATTTGGCGTAGTTGAATATCTAGGAGGGAAAAGAATCCGAGCCATTGATGAACAGCTGTATATAATCAAGTGCTACCAATAGTACACAACTTTATGCATCATTAGGCCCAAAGCAGCACAGTGCTACGATAGAGAGTGTCAGTCATGAAAACTTTGTATATCAGACATGGGATAAATCATTGATTTTTGTTAAGGATTGACAAAGCTATTTTTTTATCAAAAGATAATCTTTGTATAAAAGAGGCTTTATTTATTCGGTTTTGAACGGAGAGAGTTTATCAATAAAGGAGAGGGGGTCAATATATGCTCCTTATACTTAAGTCTCCTCTTTTTGCTTACAAAAAAAGAATGCTTCAAGCTTCTCCTATTTTTATTCTTCTTCTGTGTATACGAGTTATTAAGCGACCTTTCTTTTTGTGTTTTATCTTTTGTTTATACCCTCAAAGCTGAAATGGATCCAAGTTTTCCTTATTATCCACCTCATACAGAGAATGCGTGCGACCAGTCCATTAAAGGAAATGCTGGTAGTAGCTTATTGTTAACCACTGACCCAAAGGATCTAGATAAACTGTTTGACCGATCAATCGAGGCAGAACAAGACATCTGTTTTCCTACAAAGCGACCCATTAGTAGTTCTATTTCCTCCACAACAACAGCTGCCTTTTCTCCTCCTCCGAGAAAACACAATGGGCATAGTAGCTTTCAAAACAACAGTATTAATGTGAACGCGTTATCTTCTTGGTTTACAGATATCGACATGCACTCATCCATGACGCAACATTATCAACCGACAAAGCAAACAAAAAAAAAGTTAAGCCTATATGGTGACAATCATCATATAGTAGAGGACGGTAAAGAAGACCGCTATATGTACTTTCATCCAGATACAGGCATCATTCGAGGCAAATCATTGTTGGAGTTAAAGTTGCCACCACATCTGACAGTCGAGCAGTTGTTATTGAAGGAGAATTTCTGGATTGACGTTACTTCTCCCTCATTGGCAGAAATGAAGGCTATTAGCAAAGTAGAGACATATATACAATAGAGCTATAAAAAATGGGATAATCTGATATACTCTTTTCTTATAAGTAGATATTCCATATCCATCCGCTAACCACAGAGGATATAATGGCACATGAAATACGCGAAAAATGTGATGTTTTTAGGCGCTATATATTTATATGTTATCGTGCATTTTTACATGACAATTATCAGCTTAAACCAATGACATTTTATAATATAATATCCAAGCGCCACATATTGACAGTAAGTGATCCTTATTATTGTTATTTCACAGGCATTGATCTTTATAAGTTTCATTTTGGACATGTGCCTCATACAGAACATGTATTAGAAAGGGTGATCCAATTACAAGATTATATCGAAGTGGTTCCTGATTGGATAAACTATGCCATCATGGACGAAATAACAGATAGTTTTGCGCCTATGATTCAGCAAATAGAGTCCGAAGTAGACACGATCGATGATTTAGTTTTGTTATACAAGACTGATCAAACAGATATGGTTTTAAGGATAGGCACTTGTAGAAAAAGAGTGATACAGATGGTCAGACTACTTGGTACTAAAGCAGAAGTGGTTAAAGCACTCATGAAGCGTATTGAAGAGCGTACAGTACGAAGTGACAGCTTAGAGGAAGAAGCGAATGATGCGGAGATGGGGCGTATTTACCCTGATGTGGGCCTCTATTTAGGAGATGTTCAGGATCATATCTTGACTATGCTTCAGAACCTAAACCATTATGAGACAGTTCTTGCAAGATCAGAGTCTAACTATTTGGCTCGCATGTCTATTGAGCTGACGCAAACATCCAATTCTACTAACCATGTGATCGGCCGTTTGACTATATTCGCTACTATTTTGTTACCAATGAATCTCATTACTGGTTTATGGGGTAAGTTTGTAAAACTTAAAAAGTGCATTAGGGCTAAAAAGTATATTTTAAAGGAATGAATGTCAAAGTACCCGGAAAGGACTACGATAACTTGATTTATTTTTTTTGGATAGTGTTCAGTCTAGTCGCTTTTGCTATTCTTTCACTCACATTTGCTAGAAAAATGAAGCTAATTTAGCTGTAAATAATAAGCTCATAGACTAAAAAAAAACATTTGCTTTACAAGTTTACTATTTTTAATGATTTATTGTTATGTTCAGAGCTTTGACGGAATTTTCCATTGAGGCTTTCTTTTTTCTGAAAAGGCCTTTAACCCTTCTCCCAAGTTATAGCCCTCTCTCCATGCCTTTGCTTCTGGCGTTTGCAGCCACTCATCTGTTGCATCTGTCACTGAGGCCCGCTCAAGACTTAATAAAAGGCCTTGTTTTGTTAAAAATACAGCATCAGGTGAACTTTTTTATGCAGTGCAAATTAGTTTTAGTGTTCAATCTTTTCAACCTTGGACTTACTTGGCTGTGATTTTCTTTGCCCATTGTAAAGCAACATCAACTACGTTAGTATCATTCGAAACAATTTCGTTCACAAGTCCATGTTTATTTGCCTCTTTGGCATCCATAAAACGACCTGTCAGAACGAGCTCAGAGGCAACCTGGTAACTCACTGATCGCGCTAATCGTGCCAGCCCACCAGCAGCAATAACAACTCCTTGCTTGACTTCTGGTAGTCCAAACTTGGATTTCTCGGTTGCGACAACAATGTTACAGGAAACTACCATCTCCATACCTCCACCCAGAGCAAATCCATTGACGGCAGCAATGATTGGCTTTCGACTATTGCGACGATTGCTGATACCTCCAAAACCAGTAGGAGGAAGATCAGTAGTACCAAAACTGGAGGTATCTTTCTTCTTTGATTCATGGGCGCTAACAAGATCCATACCCGTACAGAACGCTTTTGAGCCACTTCCTGTGATCTATATATATGTTTATGTTAGCACTATTTCCTTTTTTCTCCTCGTCTCGTATCAATAGTATACAATTATACACCAAATAGAGTCTTGCTCCTCTGCCCAGTTGAACAAGTGATGAAGTTCCCAATTAGCAGCGACATTCAGAGCGTTGTACTGTTTTTCTCTGTTGATAGTAACCAGCAGTATGTGAGGTTCTGGTATAGAAAGCAAAACAAAGTCTGTTTTTGGTAACTGAATATCTGTCATATTTTCTGCTTAAAAAAGAAAGAGAGGGAGCTTTTTATAGTTTTGCTTTAATTGCGCTTTTCAAAATTTCCCTCTGTCCTACTTACTGACTCAGCACGAACTGGTTCTACTTCTCCATGAGAGCCTTTATGATTAAAATACCGATATGTGCATTCTTGTCAGCCCCTTGACCAAGATCATGTGTAGTATAAACAAGAGAGGTAATCCCTGCTTTATGGAAGCTTAAAAAGTGGTGTGTGTTATACAGAATGATAAGCAAGTCATGCCTTTAGCCTTGCCGCAGGTACATCAATATGCGCGTCAAATGGTGTACCAGCGGCAAGAATAGGCAATTCATGCAAATCTTTCATCTAGAATAAAGAATATAACCTTTTAATACCGACTTTCTTCATTTTGACATACTTTTTTAAATGATGCTTGTGTTTATCAGAAAATCTATTTACTTGTTGTACAGTTGTTACTGTAATGTTTTAGCTTTTATTGTTATTATGGTATTATTATGTAAGTACTTTTCTAACTGCCTCAGTCACATCCCAATTGGCATTCTCAAGATATTTGAATGCGTCTGTCAATGAACATCGTTCATAATCTGCTACATATCTTGCCTTCTTGTCTTGTATGTATTGTGTCTTATATTCAACCCATTCCTCTTCCACCTTTGCAGATAGCACATCACGTTTCTTTTGATCCGTCACCTTTGTCCTTACGCTAAATCCTGCTGAAATGGGTCGGTGATCGGAAGCCTTGGCTTCATATCGACGGTAATATAAGTTTTGAATATTTTTCCCTTTATACAACACTCGATCACACCAAGCAGGCACACGCTTCTTTTCTGATCTGTCATAAAAGTCTGTGCCTGGGTCGTACTTGTACGTTGGATCAAATTGAATGAGTGCTTCTTCAAATTGAAGTAATTTGAATAACGGATTGTTCATTTTTTGTTTTAGTAGCTGATCCTCTAATTGTAGCTTTTCCCAGGCGGCTTCTTTATCTGTGCTTGCAAGGAGTCTCAGCACGTCATTTCTATTCATCTTTATACGGTAGTTCAGGTCACCACTCAGGAAACAGAACTCATGATCCAAAACAAGGCTACCGTCACCACCATGACTAAAGACATCAACATAATCTCTAGGCTGAAATGTAGCAGTTTGTAGAATTCCCTCAGCATCTGCATTACGTTGTTGAACATGAGATTGACCGGCAGCCAGATGACAGTTTACGAAGCATAGAGAAGAATGGTCATAGACAAATCGAATCGCAACACCTCCCTTATTTCCATGAATACTCTTGTTCATCACTTTCAGACCTGTTTTTACGCAAGTGGATTCAACATTGATGACTCGATCGATATCTACCGTTCTCACAAAGATACAGCTAAACAGTCCGACCATATGTTCCGTTTTAATGACAGTGTATGCATGAGCACCATAATTTTCACCAATGATACGAACAAGATAATCATGCCACAGCTTATATCGATGCGTCAAAACTTCTTCTGCTTCTTCAACCTTTTTCTTGAAAAATAGAGATCCTATTAGAAAAGAAGGTTACATGACTGAAATTGATATAAAAAACAAATCTTTACGAGCAGTTTGCTTTTTTGATTCCAAATCTACAATTTCTTGGATGCCAACAACAATAATATCAGGATCTTCCATGCCTCCCAGCCACTTTCTTACTTCGTTATCATCTTCTTTGGTTAATTTCTCTGGTTTGTTGGCATCAATGTTCCATGAACAGATCATAATCTTGGCTTCATCATATGTGCAGTACTCATTTGACCTTGTTGAAATTTGAGATTCTAATAAAACAAGAATAAGCATAAGCTCAAAAGACGCTATTTTCTTTTTGTATACCTTTCCAATGCTCGGTCAGTAAACCATCCCAGACGCCAATATAACCATTTGAATCACCACTCACTACTTGAAGCCTTCCTTTCTTGCCATCAATGATCAAGCCTGATTCATCTACCACCAACTGAGTCACTGCTCCTGAGTGCGCTTTCCACATCTTGACAACAACCCACTTTTCTGGTCTTGTATCATACACATAAATCATGCCTGTGTTATAACCAGCCCAAATATGGTATTCGCCTACACATGCCATCGTACAGATACCATAAAGAGAGACAGTAATGACTTGTTTTCTTTCCATCGTCTCTGTATCCCAGATACTAATTTTACCATCATCGTGCGAAGCAAACAGTTGACCTGGATGATAAGGCACAGTCACTAACTTGGTAATGTTTCCTAAATCATTGGGTATCCGAATGGATGGTGATACTTCATGCTGTGAGCTGCTGGAAATAACGTAGTAGGATAAGGTCCGTCCGGTAGACATCCACAATCTCGAGCCGTCGATAGTACACGAGGTTGCATGCGGCGCGACCAAGTGTCGTCGAGGCATGGCTGTGATCAATGGATTTTCTGGATGCTCATTGGCTGTGAGATCCCAAACGTTCAGAATACCTGCCTCATCAATAGACCAAATTTCACAATTTCTATATCTCATTAAAAATGTAATAGATGACTGATGCACATCGTTTCGTCTGCTAAGCACTTTGCCTAATCTTATGTCCAGCACGGATAGGCCTGAATCTTGTCGAGCCATCCAGATATATCTGCCTTGGTCCATAGGAGATATCGATGGAGCAACGACCATGGCTCTTACTTTATCTCCGTTTTCATTGTTGTTGTTATTCGTACTGTTATTTCCGGCATTATGATGACTGATGTCTGACATGATATTGAGTGGCGTTCCTGTATAGAGATCCCACACCTTTAATAAATGGGCGCCTGTGACAATCAAATTCCGAGCTGCAATAATCGCCGTCAAAGATCCTTTATGCATCGTCGAAAAAAGTTTATGGTCTTGTTCGATGATAAAGGGTGGGTTTCGAGTCGCCTGAGAAAAGTCGGGATAGATCGAGGTCGTCATCAAGAGTTCACTTCTTGACATGGCTCTTTTAGTAGCAACTGTGTTGGCACGTCTCAAATTTATTTTCTCATCTGGTATGTCTTGTTGTTCAGGTTCTGATGAGAAGATCGGTTGTTGTTGAGGAGGGGATTGTTGTTGAGAGACGATGGTATGTGCACGGGCGAGGGTGGATTGAGAGGGTCTGGGTGGGAGTTGTGGTATAGTAGGCCTCGGGGGTAAAATGGGTGGAGCTATTGTCTCTGGTTTATTATTGAAGGAAATCATACTGATGGATGGTTGAACTGGCGTCTGTGGACTTGAAGGTGTTTGGTTGGGTGGGTTTGAAACAGTGCGTAAAGAACTATGATATTTTTTACTAGGTGGAGGAGGAGGAGGGGGTTTCTTTAATTTTTTATCATTCATCACTTGAGCATGGACACTTGGGGAACGTGATTCTTCTAATTTTGTATAATGTAAATGTGTCTTTTGAACTTGCTCTATTAAGCTATCGTCTACTTCATCCTCTACACTGGTTCCGATCTCATCTTCTTCGTCGTCTTCGTCGTCTTCATCATCATAATCCTCACTAGACTCGCTAAATGGATCATATTTTGGTGGTGATAAGGATGTCTTGTCGTTATCAGCAGGTTTTGCTGTAACTAAAACGTCTTTTTTATGCTCGTCTGCTATCGGAATAGCTACATTATTGTTGTTTGTGCTGTTTAGTGAAAAATAAGTCGGTTTGGGCGGAATAGGCGGCGGTGCGTGTTCTCCCTCGATTTGTGCCCACTTGTTCTTTAGTTCTTTGAATGACTTTTGTTCTTCCTCCATTGGCGTAAAGAAAAAAAAAATAGACTAAAAAGAAGGGAAAAAAAAATAAATTAAAAATTTCCACTACACACGGATATAAAAAATAGCAGCATTTTCTAAATATAGGTTTTTAGTTGGAGAAAGAAAGAAAGAAAGTTCAAATAAGTCAATGTGTACACTTGATAAAATATGCAGTAAATGATGATCTTGTGTACTTTATTTTGAAATAGTAATTACATAGGAATAAGTTGTCGTGGGATGTAAAGTTCTTCAAGATACTTCACTTCTTCTTCAGTCAATTTTACTTCAAGAGATCCTAATACATCCATCAATTGTGATTCCTTACTGACACCAACAATGGGTGAAGTAACATGAGGTTTGGTCAACATCCAGGCCAAAGCGATCTTTTATAAACAGCAGTCAAAACATGTATCCAAACAAGGCTTCTTTTTTTTTCTTACCTGTGCTGGTGAACGTTTATGTTTTTCGGCTATTTCTATAACACGATCAATGATAGCATCGTTATTGGAACCTTCTCTTTGGGCAAAGAATGCAGAAATGGCACGATCTGTTCCCAATCGAGTTGATTCACGGTTCTTGCCAGTCAATAAGCCTCTAGCCAAGGGTGACCAATGAATAGAAGCAATACCACTGTCTTGACAATAAGGAATCATCTCTCGTTCTTCTTCGCGATAAAGTAAATTATACAGGTTTTGCATAGACACAAACTTGGCCCATCCTCTTCTTTCAGCAATAGCATTTGCCTTTTGGAATTGCCATGCGTAACCTGAACTAGCACCAATGTATCTGACTTTACCAGAGCGAACCAAATCATTTAAAGCCTCCATGGTCTCTTCAAGTGGCGTTTCCTACATAATATAAAAATGGTCAAGATTACTTTGAGATATAAAAGGTTTCATTCTTACAGGGTCAAATCGATGAATTTGATAAAGGTCAATGTAATCAAGGCCTAATCTTTCCAACGAAGCATCTACAGCATCAAAGATATGCTTTCTTGATAAGCCTGAACTATTGACAGTTGTGATGTCAGCTTGAGCATGAAGGCCAAGAGTATTTATCGACATCTCTTCAGACACAGTGAAAAAAAGTTTGGTAGCAACTACAATACGAGACCTTGGCATATTGAACTTTTTGATAGCTTTACCCAAAACGCGTTCACTTTCGCCATTTGAATAAGCATCAGCAGTGTCAAAGAAGTTGATACCAGCCTCATAGGCTTTTCCGATCAATTCGATTGATTCTTCTTCATCTTTAACCCAGGCTTGCCACTTAGATGATCCATATGACATACAGCCTAAACAGAATCGAGATACCTAAAGCGATTTGTTAGCCTTCTTTTCGATATTGTCTACAACACGTACTTTCATTCCTGTATTTCCAAAGCGAACATATTGCATTTTGGTTGTAGAAGTCATTTTTAGTTTTGAAATAGGAAAGGAGTGAAATAAATGAGCTCTGTTTATATAGTACTTTTGAGATTTATAAATCAAGAAACCGCTGCCGTAATCTATTTCTAAATTGAGGCTATGCGGATAAATAGTTTATCAGAGGGCTCTTGGTCTTTTGCTCAGATGTATAATGTTTATTTTTTTCACTACCACCCCATCAGCCAGTCTATCTAACCCATCAGATCATTCATTGAAAGCTGGAAGAGTACTTTTCTGATGCTACAAGTTGTTGAATAAGCCAAGCACTTAAATTTATGCAAAAAATAAAATTTTCTTGTGCATGAAACATGTAGAACCAGTAGCACAAATACCATTTCAAGCGTGGTTTATATATGATTAAGAAAGGGTTCTGAATATTCTAATATCTATAACATCTCTCTTAAAGGACAGTTCTCCTTTGTACTGCAGTATTTCTTTTTTAAATGCTCCGGAAAAAGGCAATAAGGTTTTATTCATAAGTAACTTTTTATTAGTAGTACAGGGGTAGAAGAGCACATTAGATAGTTGATAAAGTGGTGCTGTAGAGAAATGATGTTTATGGATAGAGTAACAATATATTAACTTTGACAGACAACATCCTAAAACAATTGAGAGTGGTGCTATACCAAGGGCGTATCTTCCTTTCTCTCTTATAAGTAGTGTAGAGCAGTTTATCAATCTGAGTCGTTTATCAAGAGCAAGTAAGCATTCAAGAGGAAAGCAGTAATAACAAATGTTTGACAGCCCATTTAAAAGCTAAAGTATTCATTTTGCGCCATGTTAAGAACATATACACAAGTATGCAATGCATTTTTAGCCACAACAATATTTATATGCATATAAAGATAGATCAAATGCAGTTAGAGATAAAAGATGTATCACACAGCAGGGTCAGTCTTTTTTGAAAGTAAAAAAGCATTAGATATAAAAGAGACTTGCTACTTCTTTATACATATTATCTTCTTTCTCTTCCTCCTCTTTTTTTTGGATGCCATACATATACACACACAAGTTTTATTATATCAATTCCGCACACAAGTTGAATGAACTCATTCAACAGTATGAACACATAATTAAGCAGGACTCAGTGGCTCGTTGTATGATCGGATTTGTAGCAGCTCAGCTTATCCGTGACCCAACGTTTAGTTTACCTGTTGAGTCTATTGAAGACTGGTTAAAGTCAAGAGAACCGATAAAAGATGCAGATAATATGACTAGTGAGAGCAACAGTGATCTGAGTACTCTAATGGACATATTGAAGGGTATTTGCTATGAACCTCCATCTGAAGAGCCATGCGAAAATGAAATGAATACCGACAAAATCACCGCATATCATGAACCATCTGCGCAAACCACAAACAAACTTTGCCGATATACCAGCCGTAGCCCTTATGACTTTAGAATATCCCAAGAATAACTTTACCCCTTTATCATTTTGTGAACGAGTTTTGTAGACAATGTATATTTGAAGCTGTATGAAATAAAAACATTTTTATTATTACTTTTAGATGGGATACAAGTTACTTGCGCATTGATAGAAAAGCATTTTAAATAAAAATGAGAAATAAGACAATGCTTCCTTTAGTGTAAGCTGTTACTTTAAGCTGAAAACGACATTCAAACATTTGATTATCATTATTTTTATGAAAAGGAGGTATACTTATTTTGTGTATAATTAATTATAAAATGGTCCTAATCGATGTATTCCTGCTTTGTCTTCCTCCTCGATAAGCTTCATAATGCTTGGATTTATTATATTTGACAAATTTTCCGGCTGTATTGTGGAAAATCTGTATTCCCTGAGCATCGACTTGTGCTCGCTCTCGAGATCGTGTACTGCATTCAAGCTTTTTTTTTAAGAACTAATAATCGGTAAGACATCAACGCAATAATATGTTTATATCAACTTACACTATCAATTACAGTATTCCAGTATTTTAAAATGTTGCTTGGCAGAGTACATACAGCATCTTGCTTCGCTGTTGCATTTGCTGTATTATAGATTGTAAAAGAACAGAAAGTCAATGATTAGCATTTTAAACTCTTTATCGGAGAAAGAAGAGAAATTTTATATTAAATCATCTTTATCCTATATATGTATCAGTTGTTGATGGTGCACTTACCAGCTGTTTTCTTGATTTTCTTAAGCTCTTCCAGGTATTTCTTAAGGAAGTGTCGCTTCTCTCACAGCTCCCATTTTCTTTACCTTTCTGAGCAGTGTTGTAATGCTGAGCCACTAGCAATCATCTATTTTTACCAATGGGGGGGGGGGAGAGGATTTACGATGATGAGGGTGACCAAGAGTTGATTGTCTTTCGGAGTGAATCTTTTGGTGCCTTTTTTGTTTCCCATATTTTTTCTCCATAATTGGTATCTTTTAGAGTAAGAGAGATTAAGAAAGTGTATATGATCTCCGACTGACTCGCTCAAGAGAGCTACTATTGATTTGAATAAAACTTGTAAATGGCTTTCTTTAGTGATATAGGCAAACTTATTATATTAGTTAATACTATAAAGTTAGCTTTAATCTATTTGATTGACTTTCCCGATTTAGTCTTATTTTAAAAGTAGGGGAGACACAAAGAGGAAAAGAAAGAATCGGAAATATTGATTTTTATAAATAACAAAGAGTGTTTAAACATACAAATATTAGTTCACCAAAAAGCCAGCTATAGTGAGTTCGTTTAACGTAGCACACTGAATTGAAGCATATGGACCTGTCACATGCTCAGATTCAATGCGGACGCAATTGGTCGGTCGTTGCTGATCATAATCCGTCAACTCATATACATGTCGCTTCTTGGATGCATCTGTAATATAGAAATATTTGACTTCCCTGACCAGTCTCATGTGATAGTAATTGGAAGGAGGACGTATTTTGTTTATCCTTAGTGTTTGGAGTGAATGTTGTGGCATGTGTATCCTAATCTCTTTGTTAGGGTCATCAATCAGTGTGCAGGAGTCCAGGTCAAGGTGACAGAGCCTTGGACAGTGACTGGCCAGGTCTTCAAAGAGTTGATTGCGGAAGGAGCAGTCTTGGAGAGTAAGCTGTGTCAGATGCAAGTGGTGTCTATTGCTTTGACTGGATATAGTTTGGATATGATCCAGCTTCAGATGGGTCAACTGACTGCAGGCGTCCAACAAGATCTTGTATGGAAAGTGTGAGTTACGAATGCCAGAGAGCTTCATGGAGAATTCGAATGATCTTAGCTTGCGACTACATTTTCCGACAAGGGTTATCGTTTCTTCCATTATTCCTTGAATGCAGAGTGAAGGCCATCCCCAAAGCGTCAGATGGGATACATGTTGACTGGAATTAGCCAGATCTTTAAGGGTCTCTAGCGTATGATCCGTCATGTCTCCCAAACCAATATTTTCAAGCTCTGTGCCAGCACGTTCAAGCGCCTTGAAGAATAAATGATTGATAGGTATATTAAGGAAGCACACAGACCTTAATCCACGACAGGAGTAACCAATCTCAGCTATAGCCTTATATCGATCTTCGAGTTCTTTGGGGGATACAGGCTCACTAAAGCTCTGATTTTGTTCACTCCAAAGGGATATTTGTTCAGCGTAAGGGTATTTGGCTGCAATATAGTAGATCCAATCATTTCCTTTATCTAGGCCTTTGGCGTTCTGAATTTGCAAAACTTTCATGCATGATGCAAATGTAGTCACAGGAGCGTCAAGACGATTTTCCATGTGAATATTGACCAAAGTAAGCTCTTGAAGCATGGGGCAAGCTTCATGGATCAATTCAAGTTCGGCCAGAGATAGGCTTTGGCATTCAATAGAAAGGCTTTTGAGATAGACAGCGTTTTGTAATGATGGTAGGATATCGGTCAGTGACTGATGATTGAGGTAGATTGACAAATGAGACAAGTTTGAAAACGAAAGAAGAGGGATAATGTTTTGATCAAGATGCTTGAGATACTTCCATTGAGAGAATATGTCTCCATCAGCTGTGCCTGATAGCTCGACGGCGGCCAAGGTGAGCGTAATGATGTTGGGACAAAGGAAGGGCAAAGATTCTAGTTGGTCTGATGATAAGTAAACATCTTGAATAATAAGTGTGTTTATATAAAATCCATTTCTAATAAGGGACAAGTAGAATAGCTTGAATTGTTTTTGTCCCTGAATGTGCACATGACGATATTGTGAGGCAGCAAAGAGTGGCCTCCATGATTGACAGACTGACTGACAGATAGCCTTTTGCTTATTGGTAAGATAATAACATATTCGATCAAACAGTTCAAATGGGAAATGAGTTGTAAAAGTCGTCATAAGAAAAGTAAAGAAAAAGAAAGCAGAAAAAAAGCAAGCATAATCATTTTATAGTGTGACTTGAGGTCATGTGTACTTTAGTGTATTTGCTCTTTGCAAGAAGCTCAGGGCATAAAGTTTAGTAAATATTACCTAAAATAGTAATTTGTGTCATCTAAAAGAGATGAAAGTTCTCATATGGGACCAATCAAATGTAATATTAATTGTTTGTAATGATTACAGAGAGAAAGAATCCAGTTATTCGTGGGCGTAGATTAGAATGCATTTATGTTGATAAATAATCATGCACTCATTATGCTAAAGGATTTTAAAAAAGTAACCTGATCTAAAAGGGAATTGATTTTCACGCTTTTTTATTAGGTAAAAAGACGCCATTTTTTTTAATAACAATTTCTGTTGGGTCCCACGCTTGAAGAAAGTTATGAGATGATCTTATTCTGTACATCGAGCGAATCAGATAATATGATATAAAGTGGGGTATATTATGTTGTGCATGGGATATTTAGCTTGGTTGGCACTTTTCTGAATGAACTTGTAAACATCTATCACAAAAATGACCGATACCACACCGACATGTCCTTTGACATTGTCCACAGACAAATCTTTTACCAAGTGTCTTGGTGGCATGGTTTGCCTTGCCATGAATAACAATACACTTGCAGTGGGCAATATTGACGTTTGTAACACAATGTCTACACCATTGGCCTTTACACTTTCCTGCACATATAATCAGCTCACAGTTAGGGCAGGCCACTGTTCCACATGTTGAGCACTGGTTAGAGGTATATGCGCCATCGTTTGTTCTACAGCGAACATGGAATAAGCCATGGCACTGAGCACACGGTTGACGAGCTTGTTGACAACTGGCACTTGAGATATCATTGCACAAAGCTAGAGGCAGACGACATCGACCACATTGAGTCACATCCACCTTCAGTTTAGGATCTGTACAGGTAGGTAATCCACAGCTTCTACTTCCGCATCTTTACGTTATTGATGTTAGTATAGTTCACAAAAAGCAAATCCACCTTATTTACCTATCACAACGAGGAGCACAGCCTGCACATTTAAACAATGGTAATATTCCACAGGATATGCAATGAAACTCTTGACCAGCAGCACCAACGTGGCAAGTATTACAGAGAGCTACATCAAACACAACATTCTTATTCGAGAGTCTGTTCAATCCAGCATTGATGTACCAGATATCTTGTCCAAATGATTTGCTATCTAAAGGTGCTTCATGTTGCTCCAACTGAGTGGGCCCTCGATGAAGCACCTTGCCAATTGTTACCCGAGATATTTTGCAGCTGTATCGCTTGGATGATTTTGCTAGACGAGTGAGTTCTGTAGCCAGTTCGTATGTGTGTATCTTCCAACACGACTGGATCGATAGTGTTTCCACATTTTCAAGGTGCTTAACGACCAATAAGATAGAGGATGCGGTCACATTGGTTCCATCCAAGATCATATGCTTGATCGCATTGTGTAAATCACGCCTTTGAAGAAACACAGCTAGTCTGTATAGAAAGGCATCATCAATCATGCCATTGTCATGGTGAGAGAACCAAACAGATGTCCATGTCTCTGGTCGAAATACAAGTCGATGAAGTCGACGGTTGACCATAGACAGGCGAAGTCTTGATCGAGTATCTAAAAATGATAATAAACCTCCAATCACTTTACTGGGAAGGTAAGCCAAGCTGTGAGCATCCGTCAAAGGACTGTCAATGAACGTTTGACGTTTAAATTGTTCTGTCATGGAAGAAAAAGATCGTTTTGGCATCATTCTTTTCGATTCGTCAGGGCTCATATGTCGAACTTGCTGATGATTCGAAACAGGAACCACCTGCTGTAGCGTCTCTGACGAACTTAGTAGGCGCTGTTCACTATATACCTTATTGCTAGCAACAGTTGAAACTGTGCCTTCTGAGCTAGAGTATTCAGGTGAGGAACTCAGTTGCAATGTAGGTAGTATATATTTTTCGTTCTTTTGGCGATCGTTTTGTATCATAGAGTCATTCTTTAAATGACCTGATTGTGTTGCTATGAAGGCAATGTCTTCTTCACAGAGTAAATTCAAAGGAACAGCAATCACTGCACCATTTGGTTTTCGGAGCTTTACTTTTTTATCTTGGAATAGGCACACATAGGAAGCATATACTTGATATTTCCCGTCATTTCCTAACCATAGTCTTTCTGTCATTTTTTTTTTCTTTGGTTTTTCTGCAGAAAAGGAACAATGTCCCCATTTCTAAAAATATAAGAGACACCGCAGAGTGTTACACGAACCTTATTTCTACTTGCCCTTTTTTTAATTTAATACTCAGTGATCTATTTGAGGGTGAATTTACAAATATAGATATTTATGTCTCTTTCTTATTTAGAGATCTTTATTTAAAAGTTAAAATTACAGCGTTATAAGGTAAAGTCTGCAGACTGTCTGATATCGCGGCTTGATGCACCAACATGAACAGTGAACTTGCCAGAAGGAACTACCCAGGCCTTAGAATCAGTATCCCAGATACTCAATTCAGTTGATGTCAAATCAAATTCGACCTTTTCCTTCTTGCCAGACTTGATAAACACCTTCTCGAAGCCACGGAGGAGCTTGGGAGGTTCATTTGCGCTTTCAGGGAAACCGAGATAAAGTTGAGGAATTTCAGCGCCATCAAGGTGACCTGTGTTTTTGATTGTTACTGTAGCAGTGACCTTGCTTGATTTACCGGATCCTTTAGCCTTTACTTTGAGGTCGCTATAAGTAAAGTTGGTGTACGACAAGCCATGACCGAATGGGAAGAGAGGGGTGACATTGTTAGCGTCGAACCATTTGTATCCCATCAAAAGCTTTTCTTTGTAAACAACATTGTGAGCAGGGTCTGGCTTGAGAGGATAGTCTGAGGCTTTCTTGGCAATGGTATATGGGAGACGACCAGAAGGATTGACCTTGCCAGTGACAATATCAGCAAGAGAGTTACCGGATTCTTGTCCGGGAAGCCCAGGCCAAACAACAGCCTTGATGTTGGGATGGTCAATCCAGGGCATCAGAACGGGGCCCACAGAGTGAATGACGACGACAGTATTCTTGTTTGCATCTGCAACAGCTTTGATCTTTAAAAAGAAAAAAGAAAAAAAGCAGTGTGTTAAACGAAAGGTTCAGCTAATAATATAAAGAAAAGCTTACCAAGTTATCTCCATTATTCCATAGGCTGAGATTGTTACGGTCACCAACATTACCATCCACAACAATATATTCTTCTCCTGAGTTAGCATTCGAAAATACAAAAGCAACGTCAGCATCCTTGGCAGCAGCAGTGGCAGCGTCAAGATTCCAGTCATCTAAAGACTTTGTATACTTGACACCTTTGCCCAAAGCGCTTGTGAGGCCAGTGATAGGCTACAAATAGAGTTTAGTTTGATATCTAGAGATATAACCAGGCTGTAAAACTTACATCAACAAGGTATGGGAAGAAAGCAGTACCGGATCCCCAGCCTTGAGCAAGGGTACCTTTGTCACAACCATGATCTTCACATGCATTAATACCACTAAAAAATGATAATGTTAATATTGTATGAGACTATATTCAGTATCAACTAACTCTGGATTGACTGCAGCATCACTTCCTACAAAGGCAACCTTCTTGACAGACTTGGTTAATGGCAAGATTCCATTATTCTTCAAAAGTACAGTAGAGGCTGCACCCATTGAGCGGACCAGTTTGTAATGATCGGATTGAACGTTAACATAGGGTGCTTTTTCAAGATGAAAGGAGTCAAGTGTAGTCTTGGGGAAGTTTTTATCTTGTCCAAGCTTATACCAAGCAGCGACAATACGAGTGGCCATATCTGTCACACGAGACTCTGATACTTTCTTGGTATGAACGGCATCCGTTAAGTTTTTACCAAAGTAAGAATCGTTAGAACCCATAGTGATATCACCTAAAACAACAAAAAAGATTGAGTAAGACGGGTTAAAAGTGATTCAAAATAGTATTACCAGGCATAGTCATATCAAGGCCATGATTTGCCGAATTAACAGTAGACATAGTAGCTGACCAATCTGATTGCACAAAGCCTTTGAATCCAAGTTCACCCTTCAAGACAGTGTTCAAGAGATAATCATTCTCACAAGCAAAGGTTCCATTAGCTTGGTTGTAACTACACATGATGGACGCAACGCCTGCTTCAATAGCACGGGCAAAGGGCCAGAGATATATTTCATGCAAAGTTCTGTCATCAACATCAGATGACCCAGTCTTTCTGTTAAGTTCTTGATCGTTCAAGATATAATGCTTGGCAGTAGCAATAACACCTTGACTTTGGATACCCGAGACAGTTTCTTCAGCGAGAACACCCGTCAAGAATGGATCTTCTCCGCCTGACTCCCAGCCACGACCACCCTCGGGAGATCTCATAAAGTTCACTGCGGGGCCCAATTGAACGTGAACACCTTTTCCACGAAACTCTTGGCCCATATAGACACCACGATCACGGATGGCCTTTCTATCAAATGAAGCAGCAGCGTTGATACCAGAAACACCGGAGGTGACGTTATAGGCGAATCGAATACCGAGAGGGGCATCTTGTAAGCAAAGAGAAGGGAAATCAGGATTGCTAATGGCATAAGTATTACCAACACAGGGACCATTTTGCCAACCAATACCAGTAGTAATATTGACCTTTTGTTCAAGGGACATCTTACTAACCAAGGTCTTTGCCATCGTATAGGCTTCATCCCAAGAACGAAGGTTGATCTTGGGTTCAGTTGGCTTTGCCAAAGTAGGCACGGCCAGCAGCGCTGTGATAGCAACAACAGAGAGAGAAGGAATATGCATATTCTGATTTGGATCAGATTTCAGAAAAGAGGTGCTTCATTTTATAGTCTATGCATAGTTCTCACCAATGAAATGATGCAGAACACAAGCTCTCATTCCAGTTTTTCCTAAGGTTTCATTATTCGGGATGGCTGGAAACTGTTCATACAAGGCTGGTGTTTTATTCCTCTTTCTTTTCCAAAATACTCATCTGCTTTGGTTCCCGCATCTGACCATTTCTACCATAAAAGTAAAGCTTATGTAAAAATATATGACAGTTTTGATCCGATGAGTACACAACAAAAATGCAGTGAGCAGCTGAATAAATACAATCTGATGCATTTGTTATTATGAACCGAGAAGGACAAGAGTGAAAATTTGGATTTTTGGACAATAGCAACCAACGATAAAAGTTCTCCCCCCGAGAGTTCGGTCGATATGTGTGCATAGAAAAAGCTGGAATAGAGCTGAAGTAAATAATTCCAGCAAGTCATCCATTCAGTAATACCAGTGGGTCGTGCTACTTGATCCCCACGGCCATATGGCACAGTTTGGAATCAGAAGATACTTTGTAAAAAAAGTTCAATACAGATTACTTTGTGATTTAACAAAAGATCAAAGCCAGTCCAAGCTTCTCTTTCCTCTCTCACACTAAAAATTCACTTATAAACGACTTCAATCTTTGTAGTCATGTTTTGCACATATTATGTAATGTAGAATTTCCCCACATCTACTTTGATTTTCCAGTTATTTCCGTTCATAGGACAGGATCTGTGCAGAAATATATAGATGAACTATTTCGAATGTACCGTCTTGTAATACGCATTAACCAGTTTGTTTTCTTGTACGTCATGCTGAGTAGAACATTTAACCCTTTTCTATATATCATTTTCCCGTGTCTTTTATTCCTGGTTTACCCCAGACCAACAAGAAAAAAGGGACTGATTTTCTCGTAGTACAGAATATTCATTCAGCTTACTAAAAGAAGAAAAAAATAAAGGAGACGATCAGATCTGCAAAGTACTCTAATTAAAGCGAGGATGTGAAAAAAATAAAAATCAACGTGGCTCAGTATATATGCGATGCAGCACATAATGGGGCATAGTCAATTAGTTCATCTATGTTTAAACAGAAATTATCATCTATCAATGTGCGAATAATTCGTAGTCGGCATGACATCAGGAACGAAATACCGAGTTTTCATAAAGTGTCCCTTCAACGTGTCAATATGGCAAATGATTCATCATAGTCCCGTTTTTAACTCTCTTTGCCCTTTTTTTAGGCTGAAGAAAACATCACTGTAGCTAGAGAATTGAACGATTATTACATTATATTGCATTAGTCTACAGTTGTGTTGACAAATAAAATCATGCCTTTATTTTACCAGGAATAAAACATTTACCACATGAGGTAAATATTTGTCATTCAACTACCAAATAATAGCATTTGATACGTGTATACTGTTCATGTTTGAGAATGTGTCATAGATGCAGATACATACAGACTGCTTTTTATTAAATAATGGCATCTAGCTCACTATTACCATGCAGCGGTACGTAATGACTAAGAAAAAAAAAAATAGATGGAGGTGTATGAATATTTTTACTAACTTAAAGAAACTTGTTTAATAAACATAAGGTATAATTCTAGAATAATCTTAGGGTAAATATATCTATATGCAATGTTTTTGATCATTATTATTACCTGTAAGTTTCATTCATATACTGCTGATAATCTACACCAAAACGATCGAGCATCATTTGCTCTTCTGCCTGAATTCGAAGTAAATATACAAGACTAAGAAGTAAAAAGATGATAAAGAAAGCAATCCAGCTGCCAGTCGTTAGCCCAAACCCAAACCATGCGAGCATAAACGCACAATAGCCAGGATGTCGAATGAGTTTGTATGGACCGTCTGTACAAATGAACTGATCGTCTGTAGTCGATAATGAAGGAAGATAAAATGGGTTGACTGTCGTTGCCCAGCGTAAGAAAAAGATGGCAGAGAGCATAATACCAAGGCCCGTCCATTTGACATAATCAGACATGGCTGTTGTTGTATCCAACAAAAGCAGGCAGACGAGCGGAGTGGTGATTGCAATCAGGTAGGAAAGAAGTAAAAGTCGAGTCGTGCCTCTGTCATCACCTGCAGTCTGTAGTGTCGTCGTAGTTCGTGTTTTGTAGTGGTATTCTACATAGAAAAGAGAAGCAAGTATGGCATAAGCCAAGACAAGCACGACAAATGTCATTATTTGTTTGTTTACAGAAAAAGAAATAGAAAAATCATGGACTCCGATAAAACTTCAACTTTTAAAAAGTGATAAAAAGAGTGATGCTTTTTTATTTCTTTCGGCTTTCTAGCCTTGTTTCTGTATAAAAGACTCTGTTCCGCTTGTTGCTTCGGTCGATCGATTGGAGGCTTGCTCAGTTCGATATTTGAAGGAGTGAAAGGACGGTTTATCATTCCCTATCTTGTGTGTTATATTTTCTTTTTGTGGCCTTGATTGCTGTCGATAAATAAGGTTCATATGACGAATACCATCCGATGATGCCATCTGATTAAGATTTGTATGTATCGCTCTTACTCGACCTTCTTCGGGTAGATAAGTTTGTGGGGTATAGGCAGCAGAAGGGTCGAATCGATGAGTTGGCTGCCGTTGAGTTATTGTGTCCTGATCAGGTATGATTGAAAAGGTATTTGATATGATTGAAAGTGTGGATCCACGATCATCTAGTGAACAATCATCTTCTAATACTAATTCATTTGCTCCATCTGGCTCATTCACCCCTTCTCGTGTCAAATTATCTTCTTGTTTGTAGCTTTCAACTGATGAATGGGAATAGTTAAACCAACGACGATGATTTGCGTCTACAGGCTTCTTATATTCTACAGTCGAGTAGTCGTCGTCAAATGGGTTACTCGTAGTCGTACTATTCTTGTCTATCCGTGAGTGAGTGGTATCTAGAGTTGGCTGCCTGTTGGAGCGTTGAAGGCTACTAGATGTAGCTGTATGTTGATATGCTATACGGGTGGACCGTAACCCGTCCCAGATCTGAGCCGTTGGAGGAGAATAGATAGCAGTGGGTGAATTTGAAGCATGGCTAGTTCCACTTTTATACGGATGCTGGGTGCTAGCTGAGAACTCTTCAAAGTTCGAATCCAAGGCTGCCTCGGCTGCTTGGCGTTGTCTTTCCATTTCAATCGCATCAAATTGACTTAAAGTTAACCTCACTAGTTCATTTGCGTCATCTTTGGCTTCTTCTTCTCTTCCCGTCGTTTGATCATGAGCACCTTCGTCTTCTAAAATCCCATGTCTACGAGCTGAGTGATGCCGTAAGGTTGCAACTGGCCAGACATCGTACCAACGACCAGCGTAGTCACTTTGCCACAGAGCCAATACTGGAAACCAAATTGAAAATAGAGGAACCGAGAGCACACAGTAGAGGGCAAACCATATAATGTATTTTCGACGACTGACAAAGAATATCAAGACATGCAGTGCAAGTAATCCACCAAAAGCATATGCAAACAGTCTGTTGGACATACCCACGCCCTTAACTGATCTTACAAAAATGATATAGACATAGATAGTGGTGGGTATCGAAAACATGGTGTCGACGATTTCAAAACAAGATAGTATCCAATATGAGAATCCCAATCGCCATGAGACACGAAGCATTTCAAGTCGGATATGGAAAGCTGCACGCATATGCCGTGTTTGTAACGCCTGTAAGGAAAAGAAGTTGTTAGCCAGCGTGGCGTATCCTTCGGCATCTGGAGCAAATCCAAGTCGGTGGTCTGGGTGCGATGCCAACAAGACAATAGATAGGTATCTTTCTTCACCTAGCAGTAATACATTTTGCATGTGCATCGTATTGGGTTGTGGTGTACATATGCCTCGTAGGACTGTTGGGTGAACACAGCACGCCTGGACGTTCATGCTGGGAGACAGGTTCAAACGTGAGTCTGGCCGTAATTTACTTGCTATTGTTGCCTTGCTGGCTCTGATGATTGATCTGTTATAAACAGCACTACTGATTGTTGCAGTACTGGCCGAGTCATCTACCATGTTGCTGTCAGCAAATGGGTTTGTAATGATAATTTCATCGCTTATTTTAGGCCACTTGTTTGCTGTTTCCTCTTGCTCTGGATTCTTTCGCTGTCTCTTTAAAGGCTCCTTTTCAGACCATATTTTAAACATGACGAGGCCGCCATTGATTGTCTTGACACTACGAAAGCATGCTTCGTAAGCGAGACCAGAAAAAAAATCCATATAGACAGCAAAGATCTGCATCATAGTAATAAGATTTTCTTCTGGATTGGCCGGCCTGACATGACCACTGACAGCAAGCATCTTGCAATCGTGCTCTAGACGCAAGACAAGCTTATGGACAACATCACTTTGAACTTGGACGTCAGCATCCGTCATCATAAGGTATTTGAAATAGCGAGGATCTATACCTAACACATTATAGCATTGATTGAATATTTCATAATCCAATGGTGTGATCAAGTTATTAGATAGATTCATGCATCTCTCCAGAAAACCAAAGATCATCACTAACGAGTCTCGTTTACCTCGGTTGCCAGGAGGCGCAGGATGTGATGCTAGCCGTTCCTTTGGATTACCAATCTTGACAATGACCAAGTAAGGTACTCGATTACGGCCTGTCTCGTAGTACCCAGAATAAACCTTGGCATAATTAATGCGCCGTTTACCTTGGCCCAGCGAGATATAGGCTCGTGGAATAGGTTCCTCGATAAAGCTGCTGTAACCAAGTGACTCGAGTAATAGTTTATAGGTCTCCTTTTTAGCCTTGTCATTGACAGCGACACCATCACAAACGAACAAAAGAAGCTTTTTTGCATCATCATAGCTTGACCTTGCCAATGTATCTAGCGTTTGCTTCAAAGTGTCTGATGATTCTGCAAAACAGGGTACCATCAGGAGAGTATAGGGCCAGCCTTGAGATTGAGAAATGAGCGATGAGGAGTGTTCTGGAGCTGATGAAGATATGATTCTTTGAATGAAGGGTATACGAATGAATTGGCCCAAGTTGATTTTAAAAAAGAAATAGATTAATCCTATGCCCAAGGTAGCCCACATCGCAGGGTTGCTTCGAGCACAGCCCGCAGATATGTGCGAAACACCTGTTTGAAAGAGATAGATGAGGCACTGGCGGTATACACCATAGTCTACGGTGTCATCTGAATCGAAAAAGTCTGATATGTCTGTGCCAAGATGTGTATACAAGTAAAGCGATAAATCAGTTGGAAGAAAGGTGCGATCAATTGCAAATGATCGAGATGTGTAATGTGGTGCAATGATGACAGTATCGGTTGCTCCTAGCAGATAGGCGGTGACATCAAGCACTGCTCCATCCAAAATAACAAACGCCTGTCTTGTCATATTGTTGGTTGAAGGTAAAGCAGAATAATACTTTTTTACACTATATGGATCATAGAGAACGTCTTTTTTTTTTTGGAGTCGTTAATATATGCAAATGTTCATTTCTCAACTACTTTACCTCCTTTTATTCTGTATTCATCCATTGCACTTGTTCCATCAAAACAAGGTGCACCTGTCATATTGGGCTTACCGGGAATAGGGCAGTGCAATAGGGTGCCATCTTGATAGTCATATCCAGGATGCTTTGTGAGATAATGCTTGAGCCAGGCGTCGGCTCTGTCTGTCATGTTTAAAGAATAGATGCAATTGTTGAGTATAGGTTCATTGTAATCAATATTGGATTGGCTAAGATGTAAAAATCTTGGAAAGTTGTAAGATAGATCCTGATGAGGATGCTCTTTTATAAAATTGGCTGCGTCTGAGGAATAACCTGACCAGTCTACAGCGGTACCATGAATGGCTGAAAGTTTAGAATTGTTGGCAAGGACATCACGGTAATAATAGTACTTGATTGGGTTACAAAAAAGACTCGAGACGTATTCCAACCAAAAGCATAGACAAGTTGCTGAAAATAAAAATAATGAAACTAATGCCATCTTTTCACGCCATGCGATTCTTGATCCTATGTAGAATGTATATGTATTTTATTGTTTGTTACTAAATATATCTTTATATACCAGAAGTATGTAAGCCGGCTATATAATGCAATAAGACATCAGGTATAAAAAAAGTAATCAATCTAGCATAGGATATCCATATGATTCGTCTTAACGTCGGACGCTGTGAATATGAGTAGTCTTTAGCACTCATGCACACTAAATACGACTATTATTCCTCAATCATAAATTAACAAGAAAAGAAAAAGGATTGTACGACATCATCATGTCTTTTAATAAAAAAAAAAGGGAAATTCTTTTTATTTTTAATAACAGGTATTATTAACACCTACTTAATCATAGCGATACTTCCTAGTGGGTGATCGTGAACGGGATCCTTTGACAGGGGAGCGAGAACGGTAGTCGTCTTGATCACGACGAGATCTTCTGCTGTAACTTTCAATTGCTCCTGCAAAGTCATCATGATCACGTCTTTCTCGACCATGATGGTATCTATCCCTGCGCTCTCGGTCAGAATAACGACGGTAATCTCTGTGCCTACCTCCATCTCGGCGGTCATGGTAATCATAGCGTTGACGTGAATAGTTATTATTATTGTTGTTGTTGTTATTATGAGAACGCTGTTGACGATTTTGCTAAAATGATCGTTAGGGAAAGGGATGGGTAATAATGATAATTGCTTACCTTCATTTGTTCAATTGTATCACGAATTTTTAGATAACCCTGATGTTGTTTACCTCTGTAGTGGGCTTCCAACCTATCTGAAGAATCGTTTGTAACTAAAAATGCTCCACAAACATCGCATACCTAGACATGGATGAGAGAGGTTCAAAAGATGATTAGTTGTCTACTCCTCATCAACTTACCTCCATTCGCTTTTCTGTTGGATTAAGGCCGTCTTTATTCTGTTTAACTAATTCTAATTCAGCTTGAAGTTTATCAACTTGAGCTTGTAAATCAGTTGCTTCTTGGACACGTCCTTCTTCACCAGCTTCTTCCACTTTTTGTAATAATTCTTTAATCTTTACGTCTAACAAAACCATCTTTTCTTCTCTTTCTTCCTTTCGGATTTCAGCTGCCTATGGGAATAAAGAGTTACAAAAAAAAAAGATGCTCATCATGTGTCGTAACTTACTTTATCATCTGATTGAATGTTCAATCTACCATTTCCTTGACGAATCTTGCGTCCCAAGTCAGAGATTAACTTGTTGAGATAGTCGTAAAACTCGTTCTCATAAGGGTATTTGCTTTTATCAGGGCTTTTTTGATACTTGTCTTTCAAGCGATCATTATGAATTTTATCACAAGCACCAAGATCAGATTTAGTGTTGGTAAACAATTGACTGGGACAAAAAGCGACCAAGTAATGTTTGCATACCTTTACAATCTGTAAATAAAACCTTTTTTTTTTATTATTATTATTATGTTACTTACACTATCATCCCAAAAATCTTTATTGTCCACGTCAACATATTGGGACATTAATTCCTCCAGCATTGCTTTTTGGTACTCTAATGGGATGATCTTGTTAGAACACATATAGATTTATACTTGATGAATCATACCCATCTTGATAGTTTTTTATTTGAAAAAGAAAGAAAAAATGTTGCAAACTGCGCCATTCCAAAAAAAAAAGGAACGCACATTTAAATTCCGTACGAATGACGTGCATCATAGGTTTCGCGTGAGTGTACCTTTTCACATCTCACTTGAAACCTTCAAAGTTGATATAATCGTAGAATAAAAAGAGAAAAAAAAAAACACACCAAGAGAATGTATGTTGAGATACTTTTTATTTCTTGAAAAATAAGGCCACCGTCAATGACAAGGATTAAGGGAAGCTATTTACACTTTTTCAGTCTTCAAGAGCTAGGGAAAGAATCACGAGGTTTTCTTGTGCTAATTGGTTTAGTTTTATGCTATTTGTTCAATTTGAGAACAGTTTTATTCATGCTAGATCAGTTATCATTTATCCGCATAGATTTATATTATAAAATATCATTCTTTGATCATAGGTGTCTGCTTAGAGTTCTTCTTTTAGACAGCACTTGGATTTGTGCCTGACCAATTGTTGATCTGAGACCTGAAATCCAAGCACAAACAGGAGAGGATTTATTGAGAGGAACCTTATTTAAGCTTTTAATGCAGTAAGCGGTAATTCCTGTTCCAATTCTATTGTTATGTCGCAGTGAAGCCTCATCTTGTCTTATTGTATTCATTGGTTTTCTACATTTCTCAGTGCAGCTTTACTCTCAATACTGGATCATAGATGTTTTAATGGAAAGATTGTAAAGTTTATTCATCACTTGTAAGTCAGTGTTCGTTACTTATAATGCAATTCTTCATGAGATCTGAAGTAAACCTTGCCTGCATGAGTGGTGCTGCTCAAGCTTTATTGTATAGTTTACTATTTATTATGTTTAGCTTATAACAAACGTTGCCAAGATTTTTGTAGTTATCTTTTGTTTTTATAGAACCAGAAGCGAAGCTTACATTTAATAATGAGCAGCAATTTAATGAATGGTTTATAAATACGGAAAGTCGTCATGCTGGATGGAGAATTAGGCCTCGTAATGCTGGTAAGCTAAAATGTACCCTTTATGAACGTAAGGACGGCGCAATTACTACCAGTTCATATTGCGATGTATGTTTGTGATCATGCTGGTAACCGTAAGGTTGTTTCTGACGGTGATAGAGAAGATGACCAAACACGTCAAAGAAAGTCTAGTAGAATTGGCTGCCCTGCAAAAATTAAGAAAGTTACAATGAATGATGGTTCTGTTTCTGCGACATATCACTGGCAATATCCTGATTGCCAACTATTTGATATCAAGGAAATTGCTTCTTCACAACTTCTTCCTGAATCGAAGGAATGGATCGAAAAGCACGTGAATGACTTTATGGATTGGAAGGCCATCAAAAGTTTGTTAAGAATGAATGAAGATAATATCAATGAGATCATTTCTGCTTCCGGATTTGGTTTTCCTACATCCTCAGGCCAACATTACATGCACCAAAAAATAAGCTAATGTTACAGGCACTTTTACTCCTATACATGCAAGGCTGTTCAATGGAATATTCTTTGATATAAAATAGGAGTTTATCATAATTATACGTGAGCTAAGTTGTCTTTGTTGATCAAACTGACAGCATAGAATTAAAATAACAGCGTTTCTTTTTTATCCCTTCTTGAAAAGAAATGCAAACCAAGATGGCAACTTTATAAAGCCATGTTTAGCGTGACACCACACATTGAAGCGTTTGTTGACGCCATCCCAGGTAGTAGGTATAATGAAGACGGGAAAAACTCTGTGAACAATACCGGATGCTTTCCAAGCACATATCTATTATGCCGTTCCTCTTCTATTTTCACAAACGATATCCGTTGTAGACCAGCGGCTTTGTGTGCGTTGTCAGATTTTGACACAAGCAATGGCACCACATCCGTAGCATCTTTGGTGCCAGCGAGCGTGCTTGAGCATGGAAAAGACGCGACCTTAAAATTGGAAACTGTCATAACTATTTTCAGCAAGCTCAAAAATGGACCAGATAAGAAAATCTTTCAATCGTTGATCGACCAGTTCAATGACATGCAAGAAATTCTTATCTTGGAGAATTAAAACTTGAACAGCTTGCAGACAACCTAACCACGACAATTTCCAATGTAAATAACAATTTGGCAAGAAATGTCCATGAAATATTTTATAATAACATATAAAAAGATCAAAAATATTGTAAACACCATAATAAAAGTTTTATGTTATAATAAATTTCATTTCTAAGGGATTTTCATAGAGTTTCCGTATTGCCCTTCATTGCGATAATCTTTACACCAATTGGATCGGCATAAAAACTTATAGGATTATATTGCAAAAATAGGAAACTAACATGTACTCTTTATGACACACATCAAGTAACAGCATTTGAGCAAACACATTTTATACATAATAACAGAATTCAATACAGTGATGCTTTCATTTTGACATCTTTGGGATAAGTTTAATTGGTGTGACAGAGTGAGAGCGAGAGAGAGACGTGACTGTTTGTGTAAACTCCGCGATTTTTTTGAACATGACAAGCCTTCCAAAACTTTTTTTCTTGAAAAGCAACGCCGTTTTCAAACAGAATAGAAACACAATGGCTGCAACACATGACTTGACGATGAAGATGATTCCCTTCTTGGATCGTCATCTTGTTTTTCCTCTTATAGAATTCCTTGAATTAAAGGAAGTTTATGTTGCTGAAGATTTACTCAAAGCCAAATACGATTTATTCAAAAATTCAAACATGGTTGACTTCGTTGTTGACCTTTACAAAAAATTGAACAAGACTGAGGAAACTCCCAAGGGTAAAAAAAAGTTAGACAGTTAAAAGAGCCGCTCATTGACTCGATGAATGCATAGAATTTGCCGAAAAGAGAGAAAGCGTTTTGGCTCGAATGGAAGATTTAAGAACAAAAGCTCAAAAGGTGATGGAAGTTCTTCAGAAGCCTGAAGTCATTGCTGTTCTCCGTCAAGATAAAGCAGAAAGCATTCAGTATTTAAAGGATAACTATCAAGTAAGAAGGATAGACACGGCACCTTTCGAATATTACGATGATCTAACTCATTTTATGCTAGTTTACTGATGATTCTATCAACATTTTATACGAATTCGGTCAATTCCAATACAATTGTGGTGATTATGGAGGAGCCGCTGATTATCTTTACCATTATCGTGTTTTGGTAAGAAAGGGAAAAGAATGGTTTATGAAAAAGAAAGCTTATCTTTTGTACTAGTCTTCTGATCCCGAACGTTCTCTTTCTGCCACTTGGGGAAAGATGGCTGCAGAAATCTTGACAGGTAACTGGGATGGTGCATTAGAAGAAATTCAAAAGTTGAGAGAAGCTATTGATCAAAAGGTAAAAGAAGAGATTATATAGCAGGAACAATGGGCTAATGATTCTTGCTGAGTAGAGCTTTATATCACCTCTCCAACAACTTCAACAACGTACTTGGCTTCTCCACTGGTCTCTTTTTGTTTTCTTCAATCACCCCAAGGGCCGTGATTGTATGGTTGATATGTTCCTTACACCTCAATACATCAACACTATCCAAACCTCTTGCCCTTGGGTTTTGCGTTATCTCACAACAGCTGTTGTTACAAATAAGCGCAGAAAGCACCAGATGAAAGAATTAGTTAAAATCATTGAACAAGAATCTTATGAATACCAAGATCCCGTCACTCAATTTGTAGAGGCGCTTTTCGTACACTTTGACTTTGAAGGCGCACAAAAGAAATTAAAAGAATGTGAAGATGTACTGATGAACGACTTCTTTTTGGCTGCTACTCAAGAAGATTTTATGGAAAGCGCGAGACAATTCATCTCTGAGACATATTGTAGAATTCATCAAAAGATTGACATCAAGTAAAGAAAAAAAGAGAAAAAAAAAAAAAAAATAGAAAAACTTATATATCATCATAGGCAAATGTCACAAAGATTGAACTTGAGTCAAGAAGAAGGTGAAAAGTGGATTGTTAACTTGATTAGAGATACACGCGTTGATGCAAAGATTGACTTTGAAGAAGTAAATAAGAGAAAAAATGAATAAACCAAAATTACTGACTGTCTTTTTCTAGAATACTGTCATCATGAACACACCTATTACATCTGTATATCAGCAAGTTATCGAACGTACAAAGACACTCTCTTTCCGATCACAAGTGCTTGCATCTACCATCAAAAGACGAGAAGTTCAAGTTGCAAATAACTCAAACGAAGTTTCAGCTTAAAAGTTTTCTATTGTTTGTTAAATTAAAAAGACTCTTGGTTTTTTTTTCTGCGAAAAAGAAAGTAATTGCTTTTATGAAATGACTGTAACTTGTAACATTAAAAAGGAGAAGAAGGGCATTTGGATCTCCTATCACCCCCCACACTGTTCTTTGTTTTATCCCCCAAGTGAGATTGATCATATGACAAATCCATTTACTTATTTAAACAGACGTACTCAGATTCACTCCTTTTTTCTTTTTTTTTTTTTATTTTCAACATGACAAACGAGCAATCGCCGTTATTACAACAAAATAAACCGCCTGTTTCTAGGCCAAAATATAAAAGAAGACGATCTTCATTTGATCCGTCTACTTATAATAGTATAGGAACCGTACCAGACGCCATTGCCAATCAAGAAACCACGCGGGAGTCAGGCCTTAACTTGCTTCAGATATTAGGTTTGACCGTGTGCATGGCAGGTGTTCAATTTACGTGTAAGGATCTAACTATAATCACCACTTGTAACCATAGTAACCTCTTCTTTCTATTATCGTAGGGACGGTTGAACTATCGTAAGATGAAAACGTGAGCTTAAGATATAGATGAAATAACCATCAAACAATAGCTACGGCACGCCCTATTTAATATCGCTTGATTTATCCAAGGAGCTAACGGCCCTCGTCTGGCTGGCAGGCCCCCTCTCTGGTCTTATTGTGCAACCCGTAAGTAGCTTTGACATCATGCCATTGATCGGTTCCTGAATATAAATGACTTCATAGTTAATTGGCGCATACAGTGATAAATGCACGTCTCGATTTGGAAAACGTAGACCATTTATTGTAGGCGCAGGCATATTAACGTGTCTGTCTATGGTTGGCATTGCATATGCAAGAGAGTTAGGAACTATGATCGCCGACCAATTTTACAATTCGTCCAAGGAAGCTGTAAAGGGAGCTGATTGCTAGAAAGTGCGGTAATTAATTTGTTGGTTTAGGTTCACACGTATTCCATCATCGTAGCCGTATCCTCATTCTACTTTCTTGATTTTACATTAAACGCTGTTCAAGCTATTTGCAGAGCCTTAATCCTGGATATACCACCTCTTTGGCAGCAAGAGTATGCAAATGCATGGAGTGCACGCATGAGTAATACAGCCATGGTCTTTGGATACTTTATTGGCTTTATTGATCTTGTCAACTTCTTTCCTTGGCTAGGAGACACTCAGATGAAAGTATTTTGCATTGTAGGCACTCTAGTATTTATTGCAACTCTGGCTATTACATGCTTTGCCGTGAAGGAAAAGCAGCATGTTGAAAATGATGACCAAGATGACTTGTAGGTTCAACCCTCAATCAACGTGCCATTTATTAACCTCTCAAATAACAGGCCGTGGTATAGCACCTTCCAATATGTTTGGCGTGCTTTCCGTTATTTACCAAAACCAATTCAGTCATTATGTAACACACAATTCTTTGCTTGGATGGGTTGGTTTCCTTATTTGTTCTACAGGTAAGAATAAAGAAATTAGAAATTAGAAAAAAGAGGTCTTACTTTGCGGCATGATCAGCACACAGTGGGTGTCAGACCTCTACTTCATATCTCATCCCGACAACGGAGACTGGGCCGAAGGTACCAGAGCAGGTTCCTTTGCGTTATTGTGTAATGCCCTGGTCTCTGTGGTTGCAGGCGTGGTCATTCCTGCTCTTGTCATGCGTTTTGAAAAAAAGGGCATCTGGTTTCTTTCTTTGCTGAATGTCTATACTGCATCTCAGCTGATCATTGCTGGCTCCTTGTTGTCGGCATGGTTTGTCCGCTCAGTCACGACAGCTACTGTCATCTTGGCCATCATGGGTATCCCATGGGCTATTGTGCTCTGGATCCCATTCTCGTTAGTCGGTGAATATGTTAGCTATGAAGATGAACAACGCCAAAAGAAACTTCCTACAACAACAAGTGAGCATCAACAGCAAGATGACTTTGATGCAGGCATGATTTTGGGTGTACACAACATGTACATCGTGTTCCCTCAGTTTGCTGTGGCTATTATTTCTTCTATTATATTTGCTATTGCTTCGGATAGCAAAACATCAGGTGAATCTAATGTCGCTATTGTATTGGCATTTGGTGGTTTAATGGCTTTGATTGCTGCTGTATTTAGTAGATTTATTAAGCGTGTGAAATAAAGACTTTATTGTCATTGTTGTTATTAAAGAAATCAACCTCTAATCCACTCTTGAACCTTTTCAATATCTTCCTTCTCCACTGAACAGGATACAAACTCTACTTGATTATCTACATGATCAAACTTGAAATCTTCTCCTTCATACCCCAAGTATGCTTCAGTCTCATCTTCTTCTGATTGTTCCACTCTAGCTGTACGAGTAGATCTCAGACGATTACTATAAAATAAAATCAATCATCTCCTTCTTTTATAATAATATTTTACATACATCTCGTTCTCAAGCATCAACTTGACTTTATCCGTTGGTAAGGCCGTAATCATATCTGACTTGTTGCATGCAATTAAAATAGGAATACGATTTTTTTGTACTTGAGCTTTAGCTAATACATCATACAAATATTCAGCTACTGATCGAATCTGTCTATTCAAAGTTGTACTATCCACCACAAACACAATAGCTCGAGTAACAGGTAAGAAGTCATTATAACGATAGCGTACACGTTCATGGCCTGGTAAGTCTACAAGATCATATGTCTGTATTGGGTTTGATTTAGCCTACTTTTTTTTTGTCATATGTGTATATAAACTGTTACCTTATTCGAAAGTATAAGTTGACCTTCATTCTCTTTCATAGATGACACGGTTGGACGTTTCTCGTTGAATCGCAACTATAAACAGATTAGATATGTGTGTAATAACCATTACTATTATTATATTACAAGTGTATACATGGCTGTTTTACCAGCATCACAGATGCCTAATAGCAATACTGCATTTCTATTTTGCTTTTTTGTATAAAACGACAATACAATAACTGATTGACTTTTGATTAACACACAACACAATTTTTACTTTACTCATTTATATACCAGTCGTGATCAATAAGACAGCCACAGCAACAATTGCTTTTATTAGTAGCGATTGGTCCATTTATACAGTGTTTCTGGAAAAGTGAAGTAATCGCACTTATTGGAAATCTAAGTCGTCAAAACTTGCTAGAGTGAATATTGTGGATTTTAAAAATAAATGCCGCCCCACACCGACAAATTAGATGTTGCATCTTCAGAGTGTTTTGTGGTACACTTCTTGAGAGATATAAAGAGGGCCCTACTAGTTTTACATTTACTACAATCACACTCTGAACCCATTTATGAACATTCAATTATTGTATTAATATGAGAATGATAAGCTTAAGCTTATGTGCTATATTACTGATGGCAAGTCGTCTTGAAACATTGGACTCTTATAGAGAGCATTTGGCTAAACTATCTCGACAAGGAGATAATGCAACAAATAGAAAAAGATGTAAAAGCCGATGCTGATGTTGCTATGCCAGAAGCATTAAGCAAGCGTAATTAAATGTTCTATACAAATCAGAAAAAGCAGTGAGAGTCTTCAAGCTGGAAAGCACCAGAGCACTTCTTCTACCCAGAACAGCTGAAAATTTACGTCTATATGGCAAATGCTGTGCAAATAGTAAAACCCGAATAACCTTGGTTCTTTGTTGATAGAACTGACAACATAAAGTTAAATAAAAAAATAAAAACATTTCTTTTTACCTTCCTTCTTGAAAAGTTTTGTTGGATGTTATCGCGGGTACCGCTCAGTTGTAGTCTTTTCGTGGATTTCCTCGTGCGCGTAGTGTACACCTAAAATAAAAGAAACGTAAAGAGTCCCATTGTATTTTCTGTCTATCTACGCTAATACAACAATAGTCACAACGATACAAGCACCACAATGCTACCCAGCTTATTGGCAAGACTGTCATCTTCCCTATAGTATCTGAAAGTATTGAAGGCTTTTTCAACATTGGCCTCCCCCTACTATTACTGGAAGGTGATTAATGCATGTATCAAGTAGCTTCAAAATCTGCAACTCATTTTTTACAGACAATTGCTGAAAAAATCTAAGGATTATGCAGTATGGGTTGAGCATTGACGACTCTGACTTTGGTGATTCCGATGAATCTCTGTCTACCCCTGACTTCGTGAAACCAGCATGGTTGGGTCCTAAGACTCAAAATTCGAAAGTTGTCCCTCCTTTCCCAGTTTTGAGGTTTTAGAAGGTTTATTTTTTTCTCTATTCTTTTTTTCTTTCTATATATCCTTTTTTTATTTACTGATTAAAAACTATACATACAACAGCTAAAGCATTCCTACTCAAATGCATTTTATCTTGGATACCTAAATAAAGTGGTTTTTGGCCTAAAGCAAACGAACTTCTTTTCTTACAGCGTGCACTTCTTTTTGAAAATAAAGAACTGCTTTATAAAATAAACACCAAGGCAAAAAAGTTATAAATTTGCCTTGCTTAATAATGACAGCGACAAATCAAGAGTTGTCTCTTTTTTAATTTTGATAATGCTTTACATACGGGAAGTAATATAATCAAAGTCATAACAATTCCAAGCTGAAGAATCTAGAGGTAAACAGAAAATCGAGGAATATCACAACATAGGTCTTTTACCTCAACAATCAAAAAACCAAGAGAACACACATAATTTGTACGCAAATTGGTACTGCAAGCACTGTGTACTGGTGTAGTAAGCATAAAACGACTTAGAATACGCAACTATCAGAATTTATTTCAAAAGTGTTTATTTTATCAAAAAGTCAGGTCAGTGCTTTTAGGACCCTTTTATTCGATAATAGAAAGAAAGAAGAAGAAGAAAAAAAAAAAGACCAATGTTAGGCGCACAGCACAGGTGCAGTACCGTTTTACGTGAATGCGCCTAAAATCACTCGCCGTTTCCTCTCAAAAATTGCGTCATCTTCAAAGGCAACGTCACTCTGAGTTTAGAGTGTACACCTCTTAAAGCGCATACGCGTTCCTATTTCAAACACAACACTTTTTCTTTTTTATTCAAAAAATCAGTTAAACACAAATGGAATGTCTTTTTGGAATCACTGGTAATGGATTCACATTGCTTGCAGCTGATACTGTCAGCGCGCGAAGCATTGTCGTCATGAAAGGAACCGAGGATAAATCTCGTGAATTGAACCCACACACAGTCTTACTTTATTCTGGTGAACCAGGAGACACTGTAAACTTTGCTGAATACATCCAGCGAAACATCAAGTTATATGGCATTAGAAACGGCATTGAACTTAGTCCCAAGGCCACTGCAACCTTTACTCGACGTGAATTGGCTGATTCTCTTAGAAGCAGAGTAACTTTGAAAGAGAAACACACAGATGAACACATTTTACTCATATTGTTCATTAGCATCCATATTCTGTTAATTTAGTGATTGGTGGTTACGATGTAAAGAAACAAAAGGCAGAGCTTTATTGGATTGATTACCTTGGAGCCATGGCAGAATTACCATTCTGTGCACAGGGCTATGGTTCTTATTTTTGTACATCATTAATGGACCGCTATTATAAAGAAAACATGTCTGTGGATGAAGCAAAGACCTTGATGAAGATGTGTATACAAGAACTCAAGACGAGATTTATTGTCAATTTACCCAACTTCAAAGCTACACTAGTAGATAAAGATGGAGTTCATTCTATTGAATTGTAACAGAATAAAACTTTATTATTAGTTGTGAGGAATAACCTTTTGCAGAAACTCTGAGATATCAGCAAGCTCTTGTGCATTGGCAGAATGAGTGAGGCCAGGATAGGTTTTGAAGCTGACATTATAGCCTAAGGATTGTAATGTTTCAGCAGATTCTTTACCATATTCATATTTAACCACTTGATCTCGATCACCATGGCACATCAAAATGGGAGTGTTCTTGTTGGCATCTGACGCGAGCTATATATATAAATAAGTATGTTATTTCATCCCCTTTTTGACTATCTTACTTGAGATATTCTCTTTGATAATGCAAGCCAACCACTACAGCCAACAATGCCTCCAAACTTATACTCTGATGTTAAACCTGTCAATAATGAGAGCGCACATCCTTGAGAGAAGCCGCCTACGACGATACGATTAGCAGGAGTACCGCTATCGACTTCATCGCGAATGAGCTTGCCAACTTTTATGATTTAGTTATCATCCTTGTATATATTACGAGCATTTACCTGATTCTAATGAAGCAAGCATGCCCTCTTCATCCTCCGTCTCTAAACTTTCTTTAGTGAGCCCATGAAGATCAAACCAGGCTATATACATACATATGAGTGTGAATCTTTCAAATCTCTTATAATCTACCTGGCATAAGATAACCAAAATTCATAGAGATTGGCGCAACAGGACTAAATTTGATTAATAAAACAATCGAGTTTCTGATTAAAACGTTCTTACGCATTAGGAAGAATCCACTTGACATGAGGGAAGGCTTTACCAAGCTCTTCAGCCAGGAATGACCATCCAGCACCTGAGTCACCGAGGCCATGAAGCCAAAAGACAGTGGCTGTATGTTTTGCTCTGGCACCAATTACAACCGAAGTCAAAGACATTGTGAGTGGAAAGGTACGGAAAAAAGAAAAACTGTGTTTGGCCTGTCGTACTTTTTTATTCGACTTTCAGCATGTTACACACTATTTTTGACTTTACTTTGGCAATCTGATGGCTGTGGTGAAACAGTAGCTCCACAACATCGGCTACCGCAGTAGATGCGTACATAGTTCTTAAATAAATAAAACAATATCTGCAGCATCTATTAAATAATACTACATTTAATTTATTACTTGATGAACTCTTAGTGATCAATCACGACTGAAAGGGCAAGTGAAGATGTACGTACAATGCAATAGAGGCATAGGGATGACATGAAAGCTTTAAAGCATCTGATATTGTTTTTAATTGGCTTGATCCCCTCCAAGTGAACAAAAGCAAGTGATCATCGTTTAAAAAGAAAACGAGGGTTGACATAAACTTTATCTTTATTCAACGTATGAACGCATAAAATACTTTTTGAAAGGGTTAAGCTTTAATCTCATAAAATGATTCATCACCAACATAATCCTTGATTGATTGGTAACCTATGTTTATATGCGTCAATCAATGATTTTAATCAAAAAAATCAAATTTACCAAATGCTTCAACAAGCTTATCAAGATGTGGCATGAATTCTTCTATAGGAACATAAAGGCTAAATTCAAGATCAGCAAAGACAGCAAACTCGTGCCCTCGTATATCCTTTGATCCAATACCAATTTCTCCAGAGATAGCCTAATGAAAGACTAATTAAGTAATTCAGTTATCATCACTCATGTTTACCTCGAAAAGATCACGAAAGCAAACCCCTTTTGGTTCGTTTATTTTAACTGCTAAATATAAGCAACACGCTAACGCGTATGAATATATATATATATATGTGTAACACCTTCAATTTTTATGCATCTCACCTGCTACAAGTTTCCTATTTTGCTTTGTGACGACATTCTTTTGTATCAACTTTTCAACATAGACATAAGCGTGAGATAAGGTTGATAGCTCAAGGTCAAGATTCTTTGTTATATTCTGTAGGTGGAGCTTGATAGACTTTATTTTTGAAAATGTGAGTTCTGGCATTATTTCCGGATGAGACAACCGAAAGCTTTCGTTTAATTCATGTTTTAATTTATGCAATGAATCCTACACAAAGAAAAAGGGTTTAATTTACGGCACACCTTTCTTTTGAACATTGTTACCTGTGTTGAGCTAAAAGAGAGCAAAGTACTGTTTTCGTCAAAATCCAGAAGATGAGGGGTATATGACTTGGTGGGCATTTCATTAGATGCTAAGAAATGACTATAAGACATTGCTTTTTGATGCTTCAGATGTCGATTTATGATATGTTCATGGCTACTCGAAACAATTAATATTGTACAAAATATTCTCATTATCAATACTTGCACATAGCTATAATGAAAGCGATGGTTTGTCTTTCTAGTTGACTGCTTGACAACACCTTGATAATAACGAAATAAAGACGCGAATCTACGACCTGAATCTGGCTATAAAAAAAATGCGATATCACGCGACGTGTGAATTATGGATTATTATTTTTTTTTTAAAAAAAAAAGGACGCATACTTTATGTCGAAATGGGTCTGACTTCCTTTTCACTTTTTCTGAAGCAATTAAGCGTTGATTATCATCATCTGTGAGTTTATATAGTGCTGCTCCATTACTTTGATTGCTTGATGAAGATTGGTTACTTATGTTGGTGCTGTTACTAGTAATACTACTATTACTGCTACTATTATGCATTTTTCTTTGTTCATGAAATGAAGTCGGCTTATCATTCAAAGTGGACTGTAAAGCTACGAAAGAATTAACCTTCTCCTCCTCCCTTTTCTTTATAAATATAAAAAAGGCTACCGTCATTTGAATAAAGATCATTTTCGCTACCAAGTGAAATATTAGATAGAAAAGTAGCTGCATCTTGCTTTTCATAACTTTTCCGTTTTGGGCACTTTTTCTTTGAACTCATATAAAATGAAGGAAAATAGAATAAAAAGAGAGGTACAAGTCTGTCTAAAAGCAGATTGGCGGTTTTTTAAATAGTTCGTCGGAAAATGAAAGGCTATGTCGTATTTGCATTTAAGAGTGAGATAAACAAAAAATGCAATTTCAGGGCAAAGTGCTACTTGCCATTTGCTCAAGCTAAAATAATCCCTCGGTTTATCATGGTTATACTTGTTTTCCATATCTTGGTAAAGAGTATTCAAAAAGGAGAGGGAAGTTTGTCTTTAGAAGATTGTTGGTTCACTGTGAAATACTTGAGGTCTTTATGTTGAACGACAGTAACTTTGTTCATAATTGCAAACATATCCTTACCTTTCTCTCTTTCTATAATATGAAAGAAGAATACTTTACACACAGGAAGAGAGAGAGAGACATTATGTCATTCATCATTTCATTGTGCATGAATTTACAGTACATAAACTCAGACATTCAGGGCACACGAATACACAAACATTCCCTATTTATTTTTATTATCTACAGATATTTCTCTTAGTGCTTTTATCATTTCAGATCGAACATGATTCGATAGTGTTTGTATACTATCTGAAGACTCTTCAACGTTGTCAGTTGGGATAGGAGGCAAAACTATTGGAAAAAAAAAAAAACAAAATGAGATGGCTTTCTTTTTTTTAAAAAAAAAGAAAAACTTACTCTTGATCTTAATATCACCATGCTTGAATGTCTTTGATTTTTGGTCATAGAGGTGATGGTAGTTTTGAACTACAATAGGGATAATAGGCGCCTTTGCTTGAACAGCCATATAGAACGCCCCCTTCTTGAAAGGTAACAGATCAAGTTCAGAAGAGTGAGATCTAGTTCCTTCAGGGTAAATCCAGATACTTGTTTTTGACTTCTTCATATCTTCAGCTGCTTTACGAGCCTGTGCCACTGCAGTTTCTCGGTTGGCACGGTCCAAAAATATAGCCTTACTGAGATACACTTTATGAAAAAAAAGGGGGGGAAGAATTAGCTCTATGTACATAAAAATGTTTACTCTCCCCTTCAAACTTACTGAACCATCCCAGAACAGGGACAAATTTTATCGACTTTTTAGCTACGACCGAGGTTGACTTGGGAAATACATTGGCCATAAAAAAGATATCAAGCATTGTCTGATGGTTGCATACATACACAGCCTGTCCTCCGTCTTTTCTAATATGTTCTTTGCCCTCGATTGTACAAGTGATGCCCAAGAAAGTAGAGACGACTGTCTTGTATACCCTAGCAACAGACCAATTGATAAGATGTCTCTTGCCAAAGATGGGTAGAATGAGTGAAGCAAAGACACCATAGCATGCTGATACAGATAGACAAAGGAAACAGACCAACGATCGATAATAATATCCTCCTCTTGTTCTAAACATGGCCTGAAGTATAATAGGTGCTGCAACGAATGGGATCATCTTGGGTGAAACTATATAAACAGTAAGAATACAAATTATGCATTAGAGTAATATACTTGCCTAACTTCATTTTATAACAAATAAAGAAAATAAGGTTTTTCCACGTGAGCCCCCCTTTGTCTTTGGACGGTGAAAATAAGAAAAGAAAGTGAAAGAAAAAAGGGGGGTGAAAAGATTTTATACACACTGGGCTGATCTTCAAAATTATCTCTCAGTTGACTAATAGAAAAAAAAGGCTGTAGAAAAGAGCAAAGTCGCTATGTGTCATTCTCTTTCTTGCATACTCTGCACTCCAAGTTGAACATCTTATCAGTCTAAACACAAACATCTGCATTCTATTGTTCATGGTCCCTCTTTACGCTGAACTGAATTCATTGAAAGCTCCACCCACACCATTTGCAAGAGTCAGAGGGAAATTCAACTAATTTCAAATAGCGCTCGAGACTTGGCAAGTAGTTATTTAGCTTCCCTCTTTCTGCTTTTTTAAATAAAGAGAAATGATTTTACTAGATTACCACAACGTCATTATTAAAAACACTTTAGAGTCAAGACTCAAAAAGTAAGTTGTTCAATAAAACTGACGACAGACAACTCATGCACCTTTGTGTAGTGAAAAGTTTGACCCCATTGACATGACGGTTGCTGACTTTGATGGCGTCACATACCACATTTCAACACCTGAAACCAAGACAGTCGTTCATATCTCGCTCGCCTGGGCTTGTTCTCGTGAATTATTTTCATATGGTGCCAAGGATATCTTGAAACGCGAGTATGGAGATTACCTCTTGGATACACCCGAACAAGGCTTTGATATCACGCTTGCTCTTGATTTAGAAAAGATGGTTTCTGCAGAACAAGGTAAAATAAATTAACCTTTTTTATTTTTCTTACTAAGTTCCTGATGGGAACCATTAGATGCCAGAGATGAACTCATTCGAAAAGTCAGTCTGTTAAAACGCAACCTGTTAGCTGCACCTTTTGAAAGAGCGTTTGCTGAGCAAGAACAGTGCGAAAAGGAAGGAAAGACGGAATGCAACTCAGAATTGATGACAGTTCATTATCGTGAAGAGGAAGCAATCTATGTAAAGTCCAATTTTGACCGTATTACTGTCATCTTTAGCACAACCTTTAAAGATGAAACAGATAAAATCTTTGGCAAAGTGTTCCTACAAGTAAATAGAATACTTCTTTATAAATAACGGTTTAATGACACTCCGTGATAGGAATTTGTGGATGCACGTCGACGAGTACCTGTTTTACAGAATGCACCTCAAGTGCTTTATTCTATTCGTGAACCACCTATGGAACTTCGTCATTTGAATTTGAAAGATAGTGATGATATCAGCTATGTTACCTTTGGTAATAATGATAATAACCATTTGTTTGTGTATGTGTATATCCTAATCACCTTATCTCTATAGTCCTCTTCCCTAACCATTTTACCGCGGGTGATGTTCGTGAAGAGACTATCTCACGTATTCAAATCTTCCGTGACTATCTTCATTATCACATCAAGTGTTCCAAAGCCTATATGCATACACGTATGAGAGCTCGTGTTCGTGACTTTTTGAAAGTATTGAACCGAGCTAAACCTCAGGTGATGAATGCAGAAAAGAAGACAGCCAGGTAAATTAAATTTCATTACTGCTGAGATAATATAAAATTTAAACTTTCTATTTTAGTGGAAGAACCTTCCGTCGATCCTAAGCTTTTTGGGATCTCTCTTTTTCTTCATTACTGACTTATAAATAATAAAAATTCCGTTTTTTAATTTATTTCTCTTTCTTTTAAAAAGATTTATAATGGGTGCCTTTTGTTGCTGTGAGCCAAGATATAATTTTGATAATGAAGAAGGCAAGTAGACGTCATCTCTATTGAAACCATTGGCATTAACTTGCTTTAAAAAAAAGCTGAGCTACGACATTTCTATTTGCAAAGAGTCATTGGAAAAGGTGCCTTTGGAAAAGTGCGGATGGTTCAGCACAAGATTGATCGATCAGAATATGCATTAAAATACATTAGTAAATCCAAATGTATTGAATTAAATGCAGTACGAAATATATTGACAGAACGTGTCATACTCGAATTACTCGATCATCCACTGATTGTCAATCTAAGATATGCCTTTCAAGATGAAGAGAACCTCTTTATGGTGCTTGATTTAATGCTCGGAGGAGATTTACGATTTCATCTTGACTCACTTGGTACCTTTAATGAGTTACAAGTTAGGTTCTATGTTGCTCAATTAATACTTTCCATCAGTTACATTCATAGTCAACATATTATTCATCGGTGAATTAAAAAAAAAAAAAAATAGAGCCAAATAAGCGCTTGTGTTGACATTTTCATTTAGTGATATCAAACCAGATAATGTCTTGCTCGATCATAGAGGACACGCTCATCTTAGTGATTTCAATATTGCCACTCAATTGACACCACAAAAACCTTATAGACAGAATAGGGCGGGTAGTTTAGCTTATATGGCACCTGAAATCCTTTTGAAACAAAAATATACGACTGACGTGGATTGGTGGAGTTTAGGCATTACTACTTTTGAATTATTATTTGGACAGAGACCCTTCGAAGGAGATTCAAATGAGAAAGTACAAGAATCCATCTTACATGATCCACTACAATTTCCAGAAAAGATTCAAGTATCAGTTGAATGTCGGCAAGTGATTCAAGGGGTAACAAAAAAACAAAATGGGAAATTAAATTGTGTAATGTTAAAAAAAGGAAAATTAGTTATTAGCAAAGCGTCCCAAAGATAGATTAGGTCATGGTAAAGAAGGCTTACAGAAATTAAAATCACATCCTTGGTTTCAAGGCCTTGATTGGGAACAGCTTGAATCTAAAAAGGCACAGCCTCCTTTTATACCCAATGTAAGATAATATATACTTGTATACTTAATCTAATACTTTTTCTTATATCAGAAGGATGTACCTAATTATGATGCAGTACATGAATTAGAAGAACTGCTGTTTGAAGAGGAACCTTTAAGAGTTCATCCGAGATCAAAAGACTCTACTGCTACAATGGAAATCGATACCAAGTTTTTACCCTATGATCATACAAAACAAGGCAAGGCATCTGCTTTGGAGCCAAATAAGACCAATTTAATACGTAGAAAGATTGATCAAGCAAAATATAATGCACACGGTTACTATGAACTAGATCATCAACTATAATACAGTAAAGGTGCCAATTTGCGTAAATTTAATTGACTAAATTCGCGCTAAAATAAAAATCAATTGGCGTACATCTTGTCGAACAAACGAAGAGAGCACTTTGTGTTTGAAGAATTGCGGTAATACTTTAAGTGCAAAATCTTCCTGTCGATTGACAAAGAAAGAAGTCCCATCTTCGGCCCAACAAATGAGGTCGCTCGACTCTGGATCATTGACCACACTAACGAGTACCTGTCTTTGAGGATGTCATGAACGCCGACGGAGTTAACACTGGCAGTAAAGCCTATAACTCTGTAATATAGCAAGCTGTATCATTTAAGTTGAATTTATATAATTATAGAGGATGTTTCATTGAACTTATTCTTGTTTATGCAGCTCCTTTACGTAATGAGCATTATCGATCCAATTTTGTACTGCCAGTTTGAGGTTTGGTGTATCAAATTCATCATCAGCTTCCATTAGCAATCTATCTATTTTATCCTTTGGCTTTAGAGTGGTTGTTGACTAAACAACAGAAGGTTAGCGATTAATAGAGATCTAAAGTAACATATTTAATAAACTCACAGCAATCAACTCCTGCACTGTGATATCTTCCTGTAAATGAAGATTGGCGTGAAATCTTCGCCTTTACGTGATAACATTAACAATTTCTCCTAAAATTTACAGGGTATAGTTTTAAGATTTGCCCGATATTAAGATGGGGATCATGCAATACCTCTAGAACGCGATCTACTATATTCTCCCAATCGACATTGCTGTAATATGCAATAAACTATTTGGAGAAAAAAAAAAAAAAAAAAACATTAACAGCCTTCACGTACAAAGTTACAGATATATACCTTAAACTTCTCTTCTTTTCTTTTCAAAGAACTAAATAAACGTGGCTGATTATTTTGCAAGCTGTTCAACAGCTATTTCTTGTTCCTCAAACTCATTAGCAGACTGTTTGGCAATAACTTCTTGCTTCTCTGCAACAAGCTCACTCAGTTTAGCTTCAATGTTGCTACTCAAGTCCTGCAGGTATGCTGCTAAAATGTCCATGTTATAACGGAGAGAGAAGAGTATACTTTTATTTTGGAAAACGCTACATGCACCAGAAAATACACCAAAAGCTAGACTAATTCTATGGGAGCTAACTCCAAATACTACCTATGATGTCTCTCAACAAAACTTTCCAGTGCGTAGCATCACGCTAGACTTATTCGAAAACAGATATTTTTGTATTCTATAAAGTTTTCAGCTTGTATTGTCTCTTTTCAAAAAAGAGATAAAAAGAAATGTTGTTATTTTATTTTCATGTTGTCAGTTTAATCAATAAAAAATCAAGATCAATTCGAGTATATTAATAAATATTCCACTGGTCAGCCTTAGGTTAGACAGGGGCTTTGATGGTGTAAAGTTGTAAAATAATGTCACAGATAGCGCCTCGTAACATTAGCCACTTTATCGTGAATTTTTTCGTGCCTGTAGTGTTTCTCTGAATTAGAAGAACTTCTGTTTGAAGTGGAACCTTTAAGAGCTCATCCGAGATCAAAAGGCACTACTGCACATAGTTGCTATGAACTAGATTATCAACTATAATAAAACAAGTCACCCCCTTTTCTTTCTATTTTTTTTTTTTCTTATACAAAAACTTGACATGTTAAAGGGATTAGCAAACAAACAACAACAATTGACATTAGCACTTTTAAAACCAGACATTTGTTCTAATGCTGCATTGCCACCCAAAATTAAACAAGCCATTCTTAACCGAGGAATGACCATTCTTCAGGAACGTCCCGTGCTTTGGACAGAAGAACAGGCAGGTCAATTTTATGCTGAGCATAAAGGAAAATTCTTTTATCATCGGTTATGTGGATATATGACCAGTGGACCCTTTCATGCCATGATATTATCATCACCCAATGCCATCAAGGAATGGCGTTCACTGATAGGACCAACTCATCCTGTTAGGTACAACGATATATACATACGCATATATAAAAAAGTTTCTTATAAATCATTTCAGGGCAAGAATACACCAGCCTGATACATTAAGAGCACTTTATGGTTTAACAGATACACGGAATTCATTTCATGGTTCAGGTAAAAAAAGTAAAGAAAAAAGCATCTGAGAGTTATCATTTATAATATATTATAGACTCTGATTCATCAGCAAAAAAAGAAATAGAGTTCTTCTTTCCAGATTTTTTCAAGCAATAAGTTAGGCTTTATCAATCTATACACGTATTAGATATGCCCCCTCATGCACATATGGACGTGCTTACCGGTAGAAATAATTTAAATTCTGAGGGCAATTCTTCTTCGCTGTACAGTCGATCTGTAAAATAAATCCTTCGTACCCTACAATTTGCATGGACTGTCACTCGACTCGTTTCACAATAGTTTGTACCAAATGCCTTTTTGACATAATCAGCCAAGTTAACAACAACTTGATTCCAGCCAGGATCTAAACGCATTGGCATGGTAGCAATATAAGGTTTTACTCGTGTTGAAATCTAGGAATTAACAATAAATATATATACATGTGTTGTGTATATTCTTACTTGGTAGTTTGAAGCACGGATACGTCTCTTTTCATCTTTATCGTCTAATAATTCGAGTTCAAAAGAAAAGTACTTGTTCAAGTTTTTGACAATCAATACAACAAATGGAAGTTTGATTCCTAATGTTTTATTCGCTTGAGCAGGACAAGTGATGTACGTATTGGATAGATTAGGTGAACATAGTTCAATTACTGCAGAACTAATGTGATCATCCACTACTCTCTTTATATGTGCTTCGTTGTCTTTATCTACTTCTGGCAAATGACATGACCATAGCTGTAATGGTTCATTACTTTTTTTATTTTAATTTATTTACTGATCTGAAAAAGAAGTGTTGAATCTGTTTTTTTTACCCTAAGCTGTATAGAATCGAAAGGAATCCAGACTAAAAGGGAAGGTTAACATTTGGTATGGCATGGCTAAACACGTATTTACTTGAAATGTATTTCTAAACATTAAGAAAAAAAAAAAAAAAAAAGAAAAAACTTATTAAAAAAGCGCTAAGCCTGATGCTTATTTTTAAGGATTGTTTAATGATATCAACCAAAGTTTAGAATTTATTTTAAATGTTTAAATAAGACAGGCTTTTTAGAATATGCAAAGGAAAAAGAAAAAGAGAGAGAGAGAGAGAGAGAGAAAAGGGGGGCTTATGTCATAAATAGAAACACACATTCCTATCTGGATCATTCACTCTCTTTCACCCTTATTCATTCTTTTTTTTTCTTGATGACTCTCTCCTTTTTTTTTTACGGGCAATAGTCATTTCTTTTTAAAAAGTTTTTTCTTTTTTTTTTGTTTGTTTTCTGTTTCCTTGGAAACAAGCTCGCTTGACATTTCTTTTGTTGCACGTTTTTAGACAAAACTCCGCTCTATTCATATTTTCTCTTTTTCTTCTTTTTTTGTTATAATATTATTATTAATAGAACCAGCAATGGGTAATGCACTTTCCAAAAAGAAAAAGAAATCAAGAAAGAACAATGGAAAAAGACAACAGCCACCGCCACGGATTGATATTTCACAAGACAATGAACACAGTGTGAACACAGCACGGTCTGTCAATTCTATCCTTGTTACCTCGTCTAACCATCGAAAGCACCCAATGAACTCTATCAACAATACAGGAGCAGAATTATCTCAATTGAATCCTGATCAAACCAATGAAGACACAATACAAAATGATCCTTTCAAAGGCAAAGTAGAACACCCACAACAACACAAATTATTGGCTCAGTCTGACTATTGGCCACCCAAGAACAAGGAGGGTTTAGAAGTCGACGTGGACCAACAGAATCAGCTGACGGTATCCTCAGTCAATCAGTTGACGGTCAATTCAGTATCTAGTTTTCAAGGAGGGTTGGCTCAGATCGATGATTATATCAGTCGACTGTTGGACGCTGGTTATACCAGTAAAGTACCTAAACAATTATGTCTCAAAAGTTCAGAAGTGACATTTATCTGTCGAACGGCCATGGACATCTTTTTAGGGCAACCAGTTAGTATATGTGTGTGATAAATTGTGTGTACTCATCATTTTTCCTTTCTAGTCTTTACTCGAACTCTCTGCACCTGTCAAAATCGTTGGTGACACACATGGACAATACACCGATTTACTACGACTGTTCGAAATGGGTGGCTTTCCTCCTTCCTCCAATTATCTATTTTTAGGTGACTATGTCGATCGAGGCAAACAGAGTTTAGAAACGTTTTTACTCTTGTTGTGTTATAAGATCAAGTACCCTGAAAACTTTTTTATCTTACGAGGCAATCATGAATCGGCTAATGTGACCAAAGGTAAGAGATAAGATGTGTTGTTTGGAACGTGTACATTGACGTAAACAGTGTATGGGTTTTATGATGAATGTAAACGTCGATTGAGTCCCAAGATGTGGAAAACCTTTGTGGATGTCTTCAATACGTTACCCTTTGCAGCCTTGGTCGCTGGCAAGATCTTTTGTGTTCATGGTGGACTTAGCCCGTCATTGCATAGCATGGATGATATACGAAATATTTCCCGCCCGACAGATGTGCCTGATTTTGGATTAATAAATGATCTACTCTGGGCTGATCCGGCAGATATCATGGCTGATTGGGAAGAAAATGAAAGAGGCGTGTCCTACGTGTTTGGTAAGAAGGTGATTAATGAATTTCTTTCCAAATTTGACTTGGATCTTGTCTGTCGAGCACACATGGTACATATTTACATACATATACTTATATCTATATACCAACACTTGATTCAATAGGTTGTAGAAGATGGATATCAATTCTTTAATGACCGTACACTGGTCACAATCTTTAGTGCACCCAACTACTGTGGCGAATTTGATAATTTTGGCGCGATCATGAGTGTGAATGAAGAGTTGCTGTGCAGTTTCGAACTACTGACGCCAATGGATCATCCGTTGGCAGCTGTCAAATCTAAAAAATAAAAAAAAAGGGAAGGGATACCAATCAATATTTTTGTTTACATGTGTTGCATTAACATCTAATAAAGTAATTTTTCTTCTTTTTTGTTCTATTGGATAATAATGTTCTGTTCCACATTATAGTTTTAAGGAGAAAGTGTGTGATAGGACGGGGGTTTACTGCTTTTGGAAGATTTTGAAGATCATTTCATATTTTTAATTTACAATTAAAGTGGTCATCTACTAAAAGGATCCACTCTTTTATTCTATTGGCAATCGGATCCATTAAAATAAAGGGGGGCATCAGTCTGGGGTAGTAAGGAAAAAAAAAGAGGGAGACATCGGTTCAAGGCGATAGGTGAATTAAAACAAAAGGGGGGGAGTAAACAGAACCCGATCATCAGGAATTCGGCTGAGCAGTTCAAGAAGATCGATTCGTTTGCTTTCATCTTTACTAAATTGTATATAAATGAGTCGTACACATGGAGTTGCAAATAAATAAATAAAAAAAAGAAGTTTATTTTATCTTATTTGACATTTTCTGTAAATCCATGGCTTTTATAACGCGATATGTTTATATTCTCCCCCTGAGCTGCTTGTAATAAAGGGTTATACTCTTTCAAAATATTGATTATCTTGTTTGGGAGATAAAAGAAAACATTAGGGGGGAACATTTCAAGGGAAAAAAGAAAGAGAGAGGGGGGTGAAAGGGGGGAGTTTAGTAAAATAAGAAGGTTGATAGACAGAAACTGTGAATTGAGAGTAAAGAGGGAAAGAAGGATAGAGATGGACAAAGCAGGAGGCGGGGAAGTGTGTATATAAACTCTATCTTATTTGCTTATTTTCCCCTTCTTTCTTTATACTTTGTAATTCTTCGATATAATCAAACCTAAAAATTATGGCCAATTACTCTTTTGAATACTATTCATCCATTCATATTAAAAAGGAACAAGATACAACCTACATGAACTATATGCTTCCTGCAGTAGACAGCTGTCTATTTCAACAACTAGTCAATTATTACAATTATCATTACTATTTGTATCCTCCCCATGCTCCTACAAGCTACTTTATGCCATCCACTGAACCCATGACTTCTTCCGACTCTGACTACTATTCCATTTCACCATCACCATGTCCATCAGATGCATGGCCTTGTCTACAAGATCATTCTCCAGAGCAACAAGTAAAGCAAGAGCCAAAGCAAGTAGCCAAGTTGGTTGAAAAGAAACCTGTAGATATGTCCAACCGACGTTACAAATGCACTCGTTGCCCTAGAGCATTCACTCGCAAGCATGATTTAGAGCGCCATATCCGCGTTCACACAGGTGATAAACCTTATCATTGCCCTTGCTGTAAAAAATGCTTTGCTAGAAGTGACGCATTAAAAAGACATATTCAAGTAGAAATCAGATGTCGTACAAGTGAAGAAGTTATTACTTTTAGACAAACAAGCAGAAGACGACAACAACAAAAAAAACTGTAAATCATTAATTTACTTCCTCCTACTTCACTCCCTTTCTTATATTCATTCATTTGCACACACACACACACACACATATATATATATATATACTCCATCCCTTTATAAAAGCAGAGAACAAAAAAGTAACTGTTGACAGTAGCTTCCCTTTTTTTAATATACACATTATATCTTCTTTATATGCCCTCTTCTTCCCCTTTATTATATTGTATACATGCTTCTTTTTTTTCTTCTTTTTTTTTTTATAAATTATGTTTTTGTTAGAATAAAGCAATCCTTATGCAAGGGGAAAGAAATAAAATATAATCTTATGGTTACAACTGATGACTATCACTGTATATTTAGACGCGTGAACTATAAAGTTTACCCTTTCTTAATAACAATCGGTGTTCTTGCCCATAAATAGTAAATGAAACTAAGCAGATCTACCCGCCCTTCTTTTATTTATTTACTTTTTACGCCATCGTAATTTCGTCATCGCTACGTTGTGGCAATAAAGCTAATCGAGGTAAATATAATGTCTTGGTAGCCAAACGTGTCTCCTGTTGTGGATTATGAGTGATCAGGACGCATGTTCGCCCCTTTAGTGATTTCTCGACGAGTAAAGTCGACTCTGGATCTAAAGCAGAAGTAGGTTCTATTACAAGTTAGATAATGAAATCATGCATTCTACCCCTTTTTTATATTTACCATCAAGTAATAGAATCTCTGGATTTAAAGCAAGTGCAATAGCCAAGGCAGCTCTTTGCATTTCACCTCCCGATAAACAGCTCCAATTTTCATAAAAATGACTTTCGGACAAGTTCCAATCTACCCCAATCTTTATCTATACTTGCATTAGTATTAAAAAAAAAAAGAGGGGGCAAAAAGGAGGTAAATTTTATCTGTTGTATTACTCACAGGATCTCCAATATATTTTCCTTTCTGTGAAGTATAATTTTTTGCCATATTAAACAAATCCATGGGTGTACCTGGATGAACAGCAGGTCGTTGAGGTACGTACATGACCCTTGACCTCCAGATGGGAATACCATACTGTGAGGGTGTCTGACCATTCAAATAACTTCTGCCTGTCGTATAAGGCACTAATTCAGCCAAACATTTCAAAAGGGTTGTTTTACTTTAAATAGAATTGAGACTTGTTATTATATATTACTTTATGCTCCTTACCCTGCGCCACTCGGGCCTCTCAAGACAAGGATATCTCCTTTTTCTAATTCTATATCAACTTGTTTAAATAGCCATCTTCCATCCTCCAACTGCATAGATACACCCTGAGCTTCGAACATGGGCATTTTTTATATAAAAATTTCTATAATAAAAAAAAGGAAAAGTGTTGTGTGTGTAGAGTCAATTTTTTAGTTAATTTACAAGTAACACCAATTGTGTATCTTTTTATTTGCAGGACTCGCTAATTATTTTTACTATTATTTTTTTGTTTTTGATTTCCCTTTTTCTTTATCTTTTTCTCTCTCTTTTTCTTTATTTTTTTTTTACTCATGATGACAAGAAAGAGAACAGCTGATTGGGAAAAGGACTTTTATAAAAATGGGTATCCAAAGGAAGTCATCGTTATTGAAGATTCACCGACACCTTCTCCTCCATCTCCGGTTCATTATGCAAATGCTCCATATACCTCGACTTTCTCATCCCATGTTACCCGAAAAAGACAAGCTGAACAATTACCTGTAATCACCAAACGAACTAAACTGGAGACTATGCACAGTAAATATATATTTTTTGTTTTGAAAAAGTAACACATCTCACAGTTTTTTTTTTTTTTATATATTTATAGCAGATCCCATATTTGCCTTTCACGTATTACCTACACCCACCATTGCTTATACTTTTCAAATGCCACCTCCTATTATATTACAGCCACCTCCTATGCCACCCGTATATGATGATAAGGATGGTCATTATCTGGTGAGGCTCAATGAATCACTCACCCCACAGTGTACGTCTGCATAAAAAAAAATGTATTGAATTCTAATCTTATTCTGAAACAGATAAAATCATGCGGTTGCTCGGTCAAGGCACTTTTGGTAAAGTAGTCGAATGCTATGATAGAGTACGACGGACATTTTGCGCCATCAAGATTATCAGAGCTATACCCAAATACAGAGATGCGAGCAAAATAGAGATTAGAGTCTTGAATACACTCAAGAAACATGACCCACTCAATTTGAAGTAAGTTTCTGAAACCTTCATATTTCTATCTTTAATCATCCCTATTTAGTAAATGCATTCATCTTGTCGAATGGTTTGATTACCAAAATCATATTTGTATGGTCTTTGAATTACTTGGTCAATCCGTATTTGATTTTCTCAAGGCAAATCACTTTAAGCCTTTCCCACATCATCATATCCAACAGTTAGCAAAGCAATTACTTACCAGTGTCGCATGTAAGATCTCTTGATAACTTGAAATAATGTACTCATCCAATGTATATAGTCTTGCATGATCTCAAGTTAATACACACCGATTTAAAACCAGAAAACATTCTACTCGTCAACCGAGGTAGCAACACATTGGATGAGAATACAGACATTCGATTGATTGATTTTGGATCTGCTACATTTGAACAAGAATATCATTCTGCCATTGTCTCTACACGTCATTACCGTGCACCAGAGATCATCATGGGCTTGGGCTGGTCCTATCCCTGTGATATGTGGTCTATGGGATGTATCTTGATCGAGTTTTTTATTGGTGATGCTCTCTTTCAGACACATGATAACCTGGAACACTTGGCCATGATGGAATCTGTCTTGGGACCTATACCAACTCATATGGTAACGAGGGCTAGTAAAGAAGCGCAAAAACTGTTTGAAAAAGATAGCAAAAAGCTCAATTACCCTCTATCCAAAACATCAAGACAGAGTAAGCGATTGGTGAGTGGTTTAAAGCCATTGGATGTAAGTTGTGGATACTTTGAAAAAGACTTCTTTATTCATCTCTATTCATTAGCAAATCGTGCCTCCCGTGACAACCTTCAACAAGCATTTAAATGATTTGTTAAAAAGACTACTAGTCTATGAACCATCTGCTCGTATATCTGCAAGGGAAGCTCTCAGACATCCTTTCTTTCAAAACCAATGCATGGATTGATCTTGTTCTTTTATCAACCTTAGACTTTTTTTTTCTTTCTTATATGACACAGTTCAGACTTGAACCATGGCAAAAGTATATTTGCAATATTAATATTCATTATCTTCATCCATTCTCTTAATACACATACTTTATTCAGAAATTATTCGCACACATTACAAGATCAATGACAATTAACACTCTAGTTGATTTTCTATATCTTTATTGTTTAAAAGACAGCATTTAATAATACGTAAAATAAATGTGGTCAACACTTATGAAAAACATGTAACTGAAAAAAGTTGTTAGAAACTTTGTTTAAACAGTCTGATCTTGACTTCTTTTTCTTTTCTTTTCTTCTTTGGACCAAAAAGTAAGACCAGCTATTCCCCAGCTAGCCCTAAGGTATGTTATATTCTTTACTCTTGTAAAGTATGTAGTATTATAGATTGCCCATCGGCAACAACCCGGTGTTGGCTGGGGGTAGTTTGGTTCTTACCAAGCCTTGGCCTCATCCGCTCTCTTTCTTGCTCCTCTCTTGTCTCTTGTCTCTCTCTTTTTTTTTCTTTCTTTGCTCTTTCCGGGCTGGTTATCACCAGCCCTATTTAATGCACTTTGGTAAGATATTCACCATCTCTTTACATGTCTACTAACGATTCTTGTCTCTGTTTTTCTCTTATAGATCCTCTTCTTTATAATGTAAATATTTAATAACAATTTAAATAGCTGATTTACTAATCATTTCTTTATTCATTCTTTTGCTTCTTGTGGGCCCTCTTTTATCATTATTTATTGTCTGAAATTATCATTTTTTATCAACGTGCGAATAATTTGTGAAAAAAGCGTACACGTCTCATCCTTTATATCCCTTCTTTTTATTCGACTATTTGTGTGCTTGGTTATGCTTGGGCAACTTTTTCATGTTTGTATAAACTCTCGTTTCAAACAAAACGGATGAAATTCTATTATTTCAAAGAAAAATAACCCGTTCCAAAAGTTTATAGTTGCTTGTTTCATATGAAATGAACGTGTAGAATATCTTGAAGATTATGTGTAACATAGATCCAAATGAGGAGAGAGTGGCTGGTAGAGCTTATTTGTGAAATAAAATCACGACCTCAAAAGATATATTTGATAATCAATTTGCTTCTTTCATGAAAAGAACAGGAATTATTCCTTTATATGTTGCTCAGCCATTACTTCTCAGGGTCGTACCAACCTTATCGTTGTGGTACATGTTCAGAATAAAGATTCCTCTTACCATCGAGGTTCTATAGGATCAAAGTTATTGTTTCTGGTTGCCATATCCATGCAATCTCGCATAGATGATACAAATATTCGATCCATAATTGACCTTGCTGGGTTTCTTCATAGTAACCCCAGCAATACTTACAGAACAAGTACGATAGAGCTTAAATATGCAGACAATACACACGCGATTATACTAGATTTATGTAAGAAGTGGCACCACTGAAAGCTCGTGAAATCAGGGTGATTGAAAATACAAAAGAAAGATTATCTACTCTCTTATATTTTGCTTCTGATATGCCTCGTCGATATGCAATCTGTTGAAGAAGAGTATTTTTATAGTATACTGCTCTTATGCAAACAGCGTTTCTGATGTTAGGACTTTTTTTTTTCCATATATGAAAAGAATGACACCAATGTAAACAGGTACAAACTGCGGCAAATGGGCCTTTCTTATCTCGCCAAAACTTTATTTCACTTGTGTATGCACACCAGCAAGCATTCACATAAATACATCTTTTGAATATGAATTCGTCTTAAAGAAAAATACATCTTCGCATTAGACTGACAGCTCAGTTACCATGACAACGACACAAAGACAGGCTAAGGCTGAGTTTGAGCAGAGAGAATTAAGAACGATGAATAAAAATAAATTAACATTTGACTATGTCTACTGGTTGCCTGAATAGAGACTTTTTTCCAGTTAGGGTTTTTTGAACATGTAGACTTGCTTTTCCTGATCTTGTGTGACTTGAGCCCAGAAAAAGGTTTTTCACTCTAGACATGCTATACAAAATGTTCTAGTCTTTATTTTACGAATTTATATATTGATTTGTATTTGTATGCTGAAAAATAGGTCACTACAATGATTCAAAAATTAGTCCACCCCTTCCTTTTCTGCAAACTGCCCTCTTTACAATGGTTATACCAGCCATAATTTGTGCCACAGCTGTGTTTGTTATTCTTCTTTTTCAAGTATTCTACTCGGTCCGCTTCTTTCTTTCTTCTTCAAAAAAAAAATGCAATTGAAAGTCTATTATCTATTACTCTTATCAACAGCCGTACACGCGTTTCAAATACAGTTTTTTGGAAGCAACCGATATCATAATAAGTTGGCAGTAGCCAGTCTACGGTTCATAAATCCTCCAACTGACATTTATACAGTCAAGATATGCGTAACGAACTCCAAGGGCTCATTGGACGTCGTCTCAACCGTTGTAAATGTCATGGTCGATTCATTTGGATTCACACACTTTAATTTTGAAGAAGGATTGCCAGTGGGATCAAATTATTATTTTGCTGCTTTTGCTGTTAATAATCCAAGTGATTATGCCACTGCGGGACCCATTACAATTTACAGTTTTGACAATGGCTCGCCTACCAATTCCGTCACCACGAATGCAAAGGAGACTGTTGCCTTCCCTACTCCGACCGCTGCCAGCAAGACGAACTCACCTACAAACTCTGTCTCAGGCAAGACCGATTCGCCTACAACTGGTCCTACGTTCCCTTCGACGTTCAACTTTCCAACTCAAATGCCAAAGCCAGGATCAGATATTACTGAAGACCCAGTAAAAAATGGATCCTTACCGATACCTGCTATTGTGGGAATAGCCATTGGATCAGCTGCAGTAGCCACTGTCACTGTTGCTCTTGTATTCTTTGTAAGTCCTAGCAAAGTGCCATTATACACTCTTAACTTATCAGCCTTAGTTCTTTATGCGTAGATCACGTGTGCCAAAATCATCAGTATATCGCCCTAACAACTCATCAACAACACCAATCAACATGACAGAACATAAGCCCAGCTCACCAGGCAACCCAGGCTACGCTCCACCGACCAAATCGTATGACAAACCCTCCTCTGTCCCTCCTTCTCCTCTTCCTCCTTCTCCTCCTTTACCAGCCTATACGCAGCTATCATCGCCGGTCGATTACAGTAAACAACAACATCCTAATCCAAGTCAACTGCCTTTCCCTCAGTATGACACGATGCCTCTACCCCAACACTTTCAGGGACAACCAAATCATACATTGCAAGCACAACAATGGGGATCACAACAACAGTATTCAGTCAACCCATTTCGTAACAATTGGCCCCCTTCAACAACGGGCAATAAAGAAGAGATTGTACAAAGTCTGGCAGAAAAGTTTGAAATGAATGAATCATCGACAAAGCAAGAGTATCATCAAAAACCCGATTTTGTCGTTTATCAAAAGCCTCATCAATCATCCTAATACTTTGTCTCTTTTATTGATTACAATTGACTTAATAAAAACTTGTAAATATAGTCAACTTGATCTTGAGATCAGTAAATTTCAATTCAGAAAAAGGGAGGGATTATGTTTACTCGATGAAAGTATCGTAATACTTGGCATCATCAGGCTCGCAAATCTTTGAGTTTGCAACCATAGCTAGCGAAGGACATAGTCTGGAAACATACATTTGCAATTCACTAGTAACGAGGATGGTTCTAGAACCCTTGTTAGTTTTAAGTATACACATGAATTTTCTATTTCCAAATGGTAATGCTTATCAGATTCAATGGAAGACTTGAACTTTTTAGTATTTACTTCCTTTATAGTAGTAGAATTCTTTATTGTGACATCGGTATGCGATCGAGATATGTACAGAATTGTACAAGTTTATTGATCTTATCGATCTACTACTATTCAAAATCAGTGTCCATACAAGGGGTGCTCATCAAAAATTGATGGCGCTTGTAGTATTACCACCAGGAGACGATACAATGGTGGTGGTGAAATGAAACTCAGGCAGAACTCGGCCGACTAGAGAGAGATCTTGTGCTTTGTGATAGTTCATAGTCGCGTTGGATGCCGAAGCATACTTATCTATGACGACTTGAAAGATGCTGAAATTTAGACGGATCTTGTAGAAAGACATGAGTATTATCAGCATAAGCCAGCACCTTGGCAGGGAGGATGTAGAGGACTAGTACTAGATAGAGTGAGGGGAAGGATGAAAAGTAGTTAGCGGTTTTCAAATCAAAGCCTGAAAGACCAGTACAATTGTTAATGTCAGGTAAAAATGGATCAGACATGATATTGAACAAAAGTGAACTAGTAGCATCGCCTTGCCATTTAGTACAAAAAGAATCCATTCATATTGAGACAAGCAAAAATATTGGAAAGCGTTGGAATGAGAGACTGAACGAGCATAGACGAGCATATTGAAAGCTCTAAGAATTGTAGGACAAATAATCGAAATTAACACAATCATAAGCCTTTTCCTGGTTGTAGGATCGTGACAGAGATCTGCATGTAAGGCTGTGCTATATCGGCGTAGAACAGTCATTAAGAGTGGCGTCAAGTCAATAGGCCGCAGTAAAGGAAGCTTTTCTAACAAAAACAATACATAGAGCTTTCAAGTGGGAAGATACACGTGCCATTAATTGTAAAATTACTCACATGTACGCCTATGGCGCAAGTGGATGTGCGAGCCTCAGGAGTCTCAAAGGCTATGACAGTTCTGTTCACTGTTCCTTAACGAACAGGAGCAGTATCAATTACTACAGGATACTGAACAGAGAGAGTATCTCAAAAAAGCTATTGATAGTACTGGAAAGTTGTTTGAGATAAAAAATAACACTGTTGACTTCACTGGACTGAATCCACAATTAGTCCTGACGACGTTATTTCGCGGCAGTTTTGGAAGCAGCGCCCTCAAATACTGCGAGGCTTAAATCTCGAAAATCTCGTGCGTATGTAGTAAAAGCGGCTCAAGTTCGGCGGATGACACAGGTCGAGAGGATGTTGGTGAGGTTGAACTTGAATCGGCTGGGCAATGCCGCGTATGTGTGTTGTGATTGGTTTGGCCTCCTTGTAACATTCTTGTAACGAAAAAAAGCGTTTGTATGAACAAAACTTCTTTTCTCTACTATAAGGGGGCGATAAAGATTAAAACATAAAGATTGAATACATACTCTAGTTCTAGAAAGACATAATATTGATGATTTAAATTTTATTGTTACTAATAAACTGCGAAGGGATTGGTAAGTCTACCTTCAGACATAAGCTATGTCGATATAAATCTGGATGTGGAATTTGAACAATTACAACAAAACGTACATAAAGTTGCTTGTGGAGACTTAGCTTTAGCTTTTATTTGATCCTTCAAATAACAGAAATGAATTGATGGAAAAAGAAAGGGAAAGGTTGAAACAGTTTAGAACACTGTACAGAGGTAGGTATAGAGGGTGCGTCTAAAAAGCGGCTCTACCTCCCACTATATCCTACATTATCCTTCACTCAAAAGAACAGAAATAAGAACTCTGTGAAAGACTGGTGGCCCTTAGTGGCACCTGACCAACCTAATATGCTGCATGAAGTTATAATTTAATAAAAATAGCCTTCTTTCGTTAAAAAGATATAAGAGAATCCCCAAAAATTAAACCATTGCAAAGACGATATCTTATAAATGCTTGTAATATTAAATCACAAAAGGTAAAAAGATCCCTCTCGACAGCACAGAGAAAACTGAATAAAGATGATTAAAGGCAGTCTTTTTTTTTTTTTTTTTCCTTTTCCTTACTATAGGTCGCGTTGAGAATGAATAAAGTATATTTTAAAATTGAACACGTAATTGGAAACAAATATAGAATACAACTTGCACATCATTATAGTTATTACAATGATGTGTTGCTGTGGTATCATATTACGAATGACCTTATCGAACATTTGTATGGCACATCTTTGGAGAAGAATTGAAAATAAACAAGTTGAAGTTATGTACTTCTGACTGGGTATACTTCACATCTGATAAGCCTAAAGAAAAGCTTATAAGGGCCGCGTGGTTTTAGGTACAACTGGTCCAATAATTATTTTTAGTAAAGCAATAAAGCCATATGATAGAGTTTTTATAAATTATTATACATGTTAGCAAATTGCCATTAAAACTACAAGCAGTGGATGACAATATTTCGTGCGGAACAGAGGATATCCCAGGGAACTGTGCAGGGAGAGTCATTTGCCAGTGATATCATTACAATACTGACAAAGCGAGACCAGCTTTACTCAACGCTTCCTCGGCCTCTCCAAGGCGGCGGATGATACCCCCTTTCTCGCTGGTAGTGTCATTTGTGGTATTTACCTCTGCCGCTTAAGGCAATTACTCACTGGTGACACTTACCCCACGGTACCATTCGCACTCAAGAAAAGCATCGCCGATAGAATCCCTACCTCTCTGAAAGTCGGCTGTGTACCGTACATGCGAATTAGCCGTCGAAAACCTACATCATTTTACGACGGGCTGTCCTGCTGAACAGAATTACTGGAACCTATCACCTATGTTCCCCTCGATAGACTTCATCTGGAGCCGCTCTCGTCTCCTTGTCCACTTTCGAAGTTGACCTTGTTCCTCCAGCACGACTGTGTCGTTTCGGGTTCATTTTTTCCGTTCTTTGGCGGTATCACATATTGACTCCAGTTGATCAACCACCGTAGCACTAGATATGCTTAGCACTGTTCAACCACCGTGGCAATAGACATGCTTAGCACCGATCAGCGTGTGTACGGTAACATAAATATAGTTTTACAACTTTTAGACAATACACATTAATAATTTCAATACAAAAAAAGTAAGAGCCTTCGGGACCCTTGTCTGTGCTTTCGAGTATATAAAGCTTTCTTTTTCTTTCTTTTTTCTTTTATTAATATAGGGGTGCGTGATGATTAAGAATTATATTTTGCTGTTACTCTTTTTTGGTTTGGTCTATGCAGGTGTTGTCACTGAATGCGAAAGGAAAAGATGCACTGATTATGATACATGGGACTTCAATGCAATTAAAACATGCTGCGATGCCTGGGGCTCTTATATTAGATATGATTCCTGCGAAGTCAGATATGGAAGTGGAGGCAACTTTGATGCATGTTGCAAGCGTTTAGGCAGAGGAGTTTATACTGAAAAGGGATACCATCCATGCTAAATAAATAGTGATTTTTAAACAACCAACAAAAGCTTTTCGTCTTTTTTCTTTTTCTTTTTTGTTCCAGCTATGGAAAGTTGCTGTACATGTATATATTTTTTCAAGAATTAAAAAACATAAAAAGAGCGAAGATTGTTATGCAAAACAAAGGCAAGCGCTTGCTTCACAATGATTTATTTGATATTGTTTATGTAGAAAAACGTATTACATTTGAACAAATGAAAGCAACTGAAAAGCTATTAGTTTATAAAGAAGGCAAAATTAAGGCAATTTAGAAAGAAAAGCTAGAATCTTCGTTCCAAAACTATTCAACATAGCTTGGATCCATCCCCCACAGGACGAAAACCTGTTCTAATATCGTAGAGGGAAAGAAAGAAAAAAATCCGAATAGACCCTTGAGTCTAATAGAATTGATAGTATTTGGTAGTATTGGGGCCAACGTGGACCTTGCCAAGTATAGAACGCGTTGCTGTACTGCCTATAGTGAGGCCATAATCTATACCTATAACGGTCGTTGAGGCCGGCTTACCAGCCTCACATGGGAGAGTCTGTCACATAATGAATAGCAGAGGTGCAACTCGATCTTTTGGAGGCACTTTATTCAACACTAGAGGTATTAGTCACGAGAAACCCAATAGAAATACCTCACAAAGCCTCCACTTTTTGTACGTGGATACTACTGACAAAATTCACCATGTGTATATAAAATGAGAAGCGTCTTCAGAGGCGGCAGAGCATAAGAGGCATAAAGGGTCCACAATAATAGCAGGAACGAATCAATGTAACGTAAGCCGACAGGGGAGCTTATTGCGCAACAAGCGGAACCAAACGTCTCTCGCTTTAAATGGAATACCCTTATTCCAAAACACATTCCATTGTTTTTTGGCTATTGGTGACGCAACGGAAGGTTACTCGTGTTGAGGCAAGAGAGCTTGACAAAACCTTGCAGTAGACATGGCAGATGAAAGCAAAGCATCAGGCAGCAGGTTATGAACAAAAGGAATTAACTCTATAATACCAAAAGAAAGCTGGACATTGTCATCAGGAGGACGAAGACAATTGCGAAGAAAGAAAGGTGCTGGACATGTATCGTGCGTATCAAGAGCTCGGAAAAAGTGACCTTATGATATCTCTCGAATAAATAAAGAAGTAATAAGGGAAATGTACATTGATGAGTTCCTATGTAACCCCTTTATTATATATTAAGACGAGAGAAACCCCATTATTATAAACAGCACCTTTATACAAACAGGATTATTGCTTGACCAATGAAAATTAAGCACGTCGCGTTATATGTTAATAGCATGTATTGTTGTCAGCCTCTTTGTATTATTCATTCTTAGAGAATAGATTCAGAGTAATCTCAAACGACTAAGTATTTATAGAGCAAATACGACACCTGCTATTGTGGGAATAGCCATTGGATCAGCTGCAGTAGCCACTGTCACTGTTGCTCTTGTATTCTTTGTAAGTCCTAGCAAAGTGCCATTGTACACTCTTAACTTATCAGCCTTAGTTCTTTATGCGTAGATCACGTGTGCCAAAATCATCAGTATATCGCCCTAACAACTCATCAACAACACCAA